AGACGAAAACCCCCGGGGGTCGCCGCCTGTAAAGCACCGGTTCCCCGATCCACCGAAGTTGCAGGGGGCCCCTCCGACCTGTGTGCGGAGGTGGGGAAGGGCCCCCTTTTTTTTCTTTTTTTCGATTTTTGTACCGGGGGGGGGGGTGCTTGGCCTAGGTTTTTTGTATCCCCCCCCGGGCCCGGCCCGGGGGATACTCCTCGCCTAGGCTCTTGTACCCGGGGGGGATGCATTGCGCCTAGGCGACGTGCATCCTCCTCCGGCCGGCGGGGGATACAATAAGCCTAGGCAAAATGTACCCGGGGTACTTTCGCCTAGCCGCATTGTCCCCGGGTAAAATTTCGCCTGGCACCTAGGCGCATTGTCCCCCTGGGTACATTGAACCTAGTCGTCATGTCCCCCAGGGTACTTTGGGCCCCAGGCCTTGTGTACCGGGGGTACTCGGGCGGGGGGGTACACTTACACGCTGACACCGGCCTGCACTGCCATGCACTGGCCATGGACTAACTCTCAGTCTCTGGTCTTCGGCCGCACACTGAATGAAACGCAGGGCAGTCAAGATGAGCTCAAAATGACGTCAAAATGGTGTCATTTTCACGACAAAAGGGATCGAATTCCGCCGCCGTGAATTCCGCGAGCCGACCGCGTGACCGCGCGAGTGCGAGAGAGACAGTCCGGTGCCGTCCCCGCGGCCCGCGGCTCTCCGCACTCCGTCCCGGGAGAGATGTTAAATTAATAGAGCACTTGGCCGAGGTCCCCCGGGCCGCTTGGCGCAGCTCGGCGTGAGGCAGCGCCAGCAGTGCTTTCGTTCGCTCTGTCTCTCTCGCACTCGTGGGGCGGCCCGCAGGGGCGCGAGAGAGACAGAGCGACGAAAGCACTGCGGCGCCGCTCGCCGGGAGAAGCGCTTCATAAGTCACCCTGGGGACGCCCGGCCCCGGCAGCCTCGGGTAGGGTAAGCATCACGGTGGTCATCGCGGGGCTCGCGAAGAAATCGCCTTCCAAAAGGGCCTTCGGGGAGGGGAGGGGAGAGGGAGGTCGGCGCCCTCCTCGTAATGGGACGGAGGCTATTCAGGTTACGATACGATAAATTCAAATTAAATTATGGCCGGTTTTACCGCGCGCGAACAGGCAGACAGACAGACGGACGGACAGACAGACGAACTGCGAGTGAGCCAGAGCGACGACGTAGTCCTCCTCCGCGGCGGACCATCTCGATCTCGATTCTCCGCAAACAGGGCTGTTTCCGCAAACAGGGTTGTTCTTGGGATTGCTCTGCGCGTTGCTGGTGGCGTGCGTGCGTATCTTAGCGAGATCGGTTGGCCACGTGACCCCCCTGCCTATTGGAACACCATTTGCGTGGCCTCCTCCCCCCCCCTTTTCCGTCTACCCCAGCGGCTCTAATTCGTCGTCGAGGCAATAAATATACATTACGAATTGACTCGATCGGCTGGGCCGCGCTCAGATTTTGCACGAGAGAGTGAGAGAGTGAGAGTGAGTGAGAGAGAGAGAGAGAGAGAGAGAGAGAGAGAGGGGAGAGAGAGAGAGAGAGAGAGAGAGAGAGAGAGGCGGCCAGGGGAGGGGGTTGGTGGCGTGGAATACATGATTCATGCCCTGGTGCGTAGCCTACAGTGTACGTAACAAGGGCCGCGCCACCATTTTTCACAACGTCCGCTCCTCCTTTGGCGGATTTATGAACTGATGGCGATCGCGGGAGAGAGAGAGAGAGAGAGAGAGAGAGAGAGAGCGACGGGAAAAGAAGAGGGAGAGAGAGATAGCAGCCGTGGCCAAGCGGGAGGAGGTGGAGGAGAGCGTTGTCTTACTCGACGGCCCCATACGATGGCAGCAGAGGGGGAGTGGAAAATTGATATTTGTTGTGGTGTTGTTCATTCCGACGATCTCTCGAAAGCGGCTTGGTTGGTTCGCGGTTCGGAAACATGAAAGGCTAGAGACTTTCACGCGCGGTGCATAGCGCACAGCGCACAAGTGCCACGCACAGTGGGCCAGAAGTCCGGCGGAGGCGACCAAACTTCTAGACGCGTTTTGGGCTCCGGAGTTGCTAAATGGGACTCGAACCGAACGTGTGACCCCATCAATGGATCGCTCTCCGAACGAGCGATCCATTGGTGGGGTCATTCGCTCGGTTCGAGTCCCATTTAGCGACTTTGGAGCTCAAAACGCGTCTGGAAGTTTGGCCGCCGGCGCCGGTCTTGGAACACTGAGGACCGCTATTGTGATGTTATCCCCGCATTCTACCTTATCTTCCAAAAGAAAAAATCCCGGCGGTTTGCAAACTGCGCCTTCCCTCGTCTTGGTCCGAACGTCCCCAACGTTCAGTCGTCGAACTTTGGCGGTGGCAGCCAACCCTTGATCGGATTCCGAACAGAGTCATTTTCTATCGCTCTTACACTCATAGTGCGTGTGCCGTGCTACGTAGGGCCCCGTAGGGGTGCGAGTGAGACAGAGCGACGCCGCAGGGCAGCATCCTGCTGGTCGAGGGCCTGGCCTGGCTAATGGAGCGCACTGGCCACGGCCAAGGAAAGGGTTGCCTCTTGTCGGCCCGGTCCCGCCTCGCGAGGGAACGCAGTGCCATCTCGACGACCTTTGTGTGCCCAGACAGGCCAGACAGCCGCGCCACTGTATTTGCGGATTCACGGTCCATTCTTTCGACCACGGAATGTGTTCCCTCAACCTCCCCGCCCTTTCGGGACCCTCCCAGCCCCCTCCACCCCCAACCCCTTTTTTTTGCCCTCCTGCAACGCGACTAGTGACTTGGGAGTTCGCATAAAGTTCTTCGAGGAAAAGATAAAACTGAACGCTGACGCGAGGAAGAAAAAGTCTGAACCCGCAACGATAATGCTCCGTAGCTGAAAAAAGAGGTCTTAACGCAAAGTGCACAGTTTGAAAAACAGAAAGGAGACGAATGAGGAAGGGACGGTCAATGTCATCGAGGGTCGCACACGGGGCCAGAAGACCGGTGGAGGCGGCCAAAATCCCGGACGCGTTTCAAGCTCCAGAGTCGCTAAATGGGACTCGAACCGAACGTGTGACCCCACCACACCAATAGGTTCCTCGTGCGGGAGCAATCCATTGGTGGGGTTACACGTTCGGTTCGAGTCCCATTTGGCGACTCTGGAGCTCAAAAACGCGTCCTGAATTTTGTCCGCCTGCACCGGTCTTCTGGCCCACTGTGGGTCTGAATCGCGCAAAACACCAACTTTTCTACGCCCTTCCGTTGGGGCGCAGTAAAAGCAAGCTCCGCTCTGTCTTCTCTGATCGCAGACAAAAGCCGAAGGCAAAGCTCAGGGCGCTCGGAGTGGCAGCGAAGTTCCCGGAAGTTCCGCAGCAGACTGATTCCGAGAGTCGTATTCGTCGCTCTGTCTCTCTCGCACCTGTTCGGGACGCCTCATGAGTGTGAGAGGGAGACAGGGCGACGAAAACGGCTCCCGGAAGTTCCGCAGCATCCGGTTCCGGCGGGCGGGAGCAGCGACAGTGGGAGTCACGTGTTTCCTGCGAGGCAGTCTTACAGCGCCCCGACGACCCGTCATCCCGGGCCACGCCGGACGTTTCCGGTGCACTCGCAAAAACAGCTGCTGTATTGCACACTTTTGTTGGTCCCTCTTTCCATCTCCGTCCCAAACAACATGAGCATTCAAGCTGCGCCTCAGGGTTTGCACCTCCTTTCCAAGAAAAAAAAAACGTGTCGTTGAATAGTCGGTGATAATATTTTTTGGATGAGTGTCGAAAATGGGCATTGATACGGTGCAATGGCGTTTCATGAAATCATTTCGGGGCTGTTTCGATGCTTATTTGTTTTTTCGTGAGAGTGTAGCGGTGTAGCGGTTTGCACTGGCGGCGACGCGCAGCTGGGCTGCCCCAGGCTGCCCCAGGCTGCCCAGTGCGACGAGTGAGGCGAGTGCGGCGTGTCACTCCGCGAGGCCCCCGAAACAATTCAATCCGGAATTGAAGGGAATGGGGTGGAAAAGAGAAGCAGCCAAGCAGCCGAGGAGAAGACGCCGCAGAGCGAGGCAGGGCGGGGCGGGGTGGGGCGGCGGGGAAGAGCATCCCCAGGAGGGGCCGGGGCCACCCCTCCATCTCTCGGCAAAATGGCTGGCTCGTCCAGCATTAAAAACAAGCCGAAAGCGCAAGCAGGCTGCAGTGCCGAACAGCGCTTTCGTCGCTCCGCCTCACTCACATTCATGGCGCGTCTTGTGAGAGAGACAGAGCGACGCGGACTCCTTGTAGCACCGAATTATAGCTTCAAAGTGCACCTCTAACTCTGTTGCTTTAGTTCACACTCTAGGGTTGGAGTGCTTTCGAAGGTCACTCCAGGCAGAGCACACTCCGAGTTTTGTACTGTGCCGTCATACGCATAGTAGGCCAGATGACCGCTCCAGAGTCGCGAAACGGGACGAACAGAACGTGTGACCCCACCAATGGGTTGCTCTCGGAACGAGGAATCCATCGGTGGGATCACAGGCTCAGTTCGAGTCCTGTTTTGCGACTCTGGAGCTCAAAACGCGTGTGGAGTTGTGGCCGCCGGTGTCGGTCTTCTGGCCCACTGTGACACGCCTGAGTGCGATAAGAAACAGTCTTTTGACCAAACCTCTGTCACGCGCAACCGTCTGACCGTGTCCTTGAGTGTACTCCAGGTGCGTAGGCACATTGGTGGTTTGCCCACTGATGAGGCACCACTGCGTTGTTTACGTCCGCTGCTCTTGGCGCCTGCAATGCAGAGGCATGCCGTCCCGCCAAACACACGTGTGTGCGTGGAGGCCTACCCTGGGCTGTCAGGGGCCCAAGAGAGGGAAATTTCAAAGACGCGACGTAAGATGTTTCGATGTTTCGCGTAGCTATGGGCGTATGCGACCGAGTGCCCAAAGTCATTCAAGCCAAAAACTACGAGTGGCAAGGGTAGGCTGGCCACCGGAACATACCGGACGTGCCGGAATGTACTGGTGGGCAGAAGGGAATTGAAAGGAGCCATATCAATGTTTTCAATACACATTTATTATTTTTATTTTATTTCTGAACAACAATTAGCTACAGACTAATAGCTAAGGTTGCTTCATTTTTACTGGGGTTCAGAGTAGTGCTTTGGAGATACATTGCTCCGCAGCTTAACCACTTAGCAGATTACGTCTTGCGGTCCTTCAGAGACCCTGGGAGATCAGATCGACAGCTTGCCTTATAATAACAAAAAATTTCCTTCATTTAATTTGTTTGGAATACATTCACTCTATTCAGAACATTATAAATACACTTAATCACAGCATTTAAGTGTTGCACATTTTGTTTGATTCATGATTCTTGCCAACAGATCTGGTAGACAATTTCAAAGAGAAGAAAACACAAAATATGTCCAAGCTAAAACAATCAAATTTATATTTTCGTAAATTCTTGCTGTTAATTTTGTTAAGGAGGTGACCTAACAGATTGAAAGCTTTTAAAGGATAAAACAAAACATAAATGCAAAGTAGAAATGCCCATGGTCAAACATCATATTCAGTAAAACCACATGTTTGTTTTCAAATCCATCTGTGGTAAATTTGAATCACAAACCAACCTTCTTAACAACAGTACAAACCATCTTCCCCACAGTTACAGAAGGAAGCTAACAGTAAACATTTCAAATGTAATTTGAAGTAACTATCCTGATATGCAGTAATCTGATATTTTAACATGAAAATTTCACACAGCAGCCTACTAAAAAAAGCAGATCATATGGGTTGATCAGAAGCAAGTTCAAACAAAAAATGTCACTCAGAATTCGTAAATAATGAAATCCACACACAATTTTTCAGAATAATAGAGGCAAGGGAGAGCATTTTCAAAGAATACACATAGCACTCAGTTTTAAGTCTTTTTCAGATGCCATCACAAAAAGAATATGGAGGGGCATTTTCCAAGAATACAAAAAGCACACTGGTTTAAGTCTTCTTGAGGTGCCTTCACAAACAGAATTAACAACAAACACCTTTCACTAAAAAATCATATAATTTGGCATAAAATCATATAATACATTAAAGTACCTATATAAAGGATCTTAAATGCTGATCATGCTAAAAAATGATCAATATTCACACTAGTACCATTTCACAGCATAAATATGTAGTAACAATATGCCTCAATTGTGCAATATGTGCATGTTGGTTCAATAAATTTAACAGAAAAAACTTGTATAACATCAATAAACGAACAATCTCTGGAAACCATAGAGCCGGCTCTTCTAAGATTTGTAGTCAACTGAAGAAAAGCAGTACATTTATCGATAAGTTATTGGTCGCTCCTATCCACAAAATGTTGACTTGGTATGCAAAACATTTTAACAGACAATGCGTTAATACTGAAAGACAGCTAAGCTCTTGACATGAGTCTAGTCAACAACATTCATGGAATTCATGCCTCTCCAGATCATGTATTATACTGTATACATCACCTTCCTCTTTTTTTTTTGCAAGCTTACAGTTAATTGTTTCATTAAATTTTAAAGTCAGAATAAGTTACATACATTCACAAAACCAAATAGAAACATTGGTTGGAAAACAAGGTTGTTTTTGATCAAAGATATTGTTCAAACTTTTTGTTCAAACCAAGGTAAACTTTAACAGAACATTAGCTTATGAGCTCTTATTGCATTCAGTAGGATATCACCATAATCCATTACAATCACAAAATGTGATTAGATTTTTGATATTTTCTTAAAAGACAGAACAACCATTCATTTTTGCTTAAAAACAATAAAATCAAGAATGTAGATGAGAAAAAGTTGTTTGAAAATAAATCCTGATGGAAATTATGATTACGCTTCAACAGAGCAATTCTATCACTAGCAACAGGAATATTTGTAAAAATAATTATTGTAAAGAAAAATCTGACTAGACACATGTAAAGCCACTACTCATTCTTTTTAGCAGACTTGCTCTTGGGCTTAGTATTGTCAGCAGGAGCAGATTCAATGGCCGGTTTCTGACCACTTGAAGATTTGGCCTCTTCTTCCATCTCTGCAGAAAATCCAAACTCATTTACACGAGTAGGATCAGTCTTATAAATGTACCTCTGGTACAAGAAGATAAGGAAGACAATATCTGAAACAAAAAGTTGTTTACGTGTGGGACAAGATAAATAAGGTCAAATGGGGAAAGTGCTGATCAACAGCTACAGTTGCAACTACATTATTAGTCAAATGAAACTTACCATCTCTGAAGCAGCCAAGGCGATACATCATGGGCATTTTGATCACAAAGGCAAAAATATCATCGATGAATGTATTGAGAAACTTGTAAGAGAGCATTCTCCATGGTAAATGGGCAACAGACTTCATTTTGTAGTTGATAAAGAGCTGAGGAGTCATCATAATAAAACCTGGCAACAACAACAAAAAAATTACAATCATGTAAATAAATGTTTCTAAAATGATAGTTACAGAAAACATACCAGCCAAAGCCAAATTGACAAAAATAAATGTTGGAACTCACCAAAAGTCAACAAGAAACCATAGAGCATATTGAGGATGAATGAGTACCATCCACGATGTTCCACATAAAGGAGGGCATAGACAGCATAAGCAGCTAAAAGTGGGTAGAGAGCCCATGAGAGATAACGGAAAGCCAGCATGTCATATTGCTTGGTGCTAGATTCAGTGTAGGATCCCTTGTCAGCAAAGCTGATACGTGGGAAAATCCCAAGCACTTTCTGTTCCCGGTTGACTTTGATGTCTACAACCTGAATTGATTAAGAAACAACACATCAGCCTTTTCAAAGAAACAGTGCAAAATGAATGGTACACATGTTAGCATGTTACCAACCTTATGAATTTTCCAAATTTCAATAAGAAGGCCAATGCCTACACTGATTCTGACAACAGTATTAGTGTCATTGTCCAAAACATACAAGAGCACGACAAGCGATTGGAAGACATTGAAGAACACTGAGCGAACAGACAGTCCTTCTAATGATTTCCTGTTGTTCCAGAATTGAATATCTGATACAAATAAAAAGGAACAATTAGAGTGAACCAAAGAAGAAAATTGATAGGTAAAAGAAGTATAAGAGAATAAATTAAAATATCCACCATTTTTGAATGCAAGGAGCTCAAAAACACTATGCAGGATTGACACAACTGCAGTCAAAATTAAGAGGTAAGTTGGAGTTTCCAGCAAGGCCTCTTTCAAAGAGTCTTGGTCTTCATCTTCCTCTTCAACAAAATTGTCACCAAAAACACTTGAAGTCCATTTGTTCCTCATAGACTGGGCAGTATACATCTGCCACTTAAAAAGTGACAGAGGCTGGAATGTGAGTTCAAGATCAAGGGTTCTGTAGGGTGATAAAAAAAATTAGTTCGGTTTCAGACAGTTTAAGTTAAAAGACATGTGGCCATGGCAGCATGCTTACTTGACAGTTGAGTTGATGGGTTGGTAGTCGCGAAGCATATTCCAGAAATCATTAAAGTAAACAGCTGGTTTGTAATGAGTACCAGCAGGAAGAAATTCAATAACTGCAAATTGTGAACTGTATTAATAAAAATGGTTGAATATCAACTTCTTAACTATCAATCCATACTTACATTCATTGAGTGGAGGAGGAACTGTTCCCTGAACCCAATTTGTTTGATCAGTAACCAAACTAATTGTGAGATTAGGATGCCAGTGGGACATTACTTCTTCTTTTGTAGTCTCTGCTTTCTACAATTTATAACACACAAGAGTTTCAGATCAATAAAAAGTTTAACTTCAAATTTTTCAAGTTCAATGTGCTTTAGCAGTATTTACCAAGACTTCTTCAGGTGTCGCTGAGGTTTCTCCAGTCAGTAGGTTCTTTGTCTTCATATAACGCCTACGCTTAAACTTGTTGAGTTGTCGCACATTGTATGTGCCAAATTCAGAATTTTTGGGAGACTTGCCATGCTTTGTCACATATACATGCAAGTATAATGATCCATTGTTTTGAACAGCCTTAAATAGAATGAATCAAAAATTAATGTAAAAATACTTATGACAGTGTTTGTTGGAATAGTTGATGACCGCCTCACCTCAGATGTTTGAATTTGGGATTTTAAAACATAAGTTCCATCCCCATTGGGACCACCATACCAGTCTCCATAAATTAAATTATTCTTTCTCCAGATTAATGCTTCATGTTTATCAAAATCTTTGAAGGTCTTTGATTCTGATATAAATACATACAGATCCTAGTTGTTAAAAAAGAGAGAAAAAATAATTTTTAAACTACAAATTTTGAGAAAATAATGTAAGTCATACATGTAAAAAAAGGTCTGTTCCTTACCAAGGCAGTTCCATTTTCAAATAAATTAAAGGCAGGCAGGTTTCCCTTAGTTTGGACACCAGTCTGTGGGTCTGTCGTAGTAACTGGAGCTGATGGTCGTCGGAAGAAAGAAGTGATAAAGTAAATGACAAGCGCACGGATAATTAAAGACTTTGTGATGGCCATGAAGGACTCCATTCCAGTAGGTTGTCTAGCTTCCTGCTGGTTTTGGGGAGCCGGCTGATCCTGCAACATAAAGCAGAAACCTTGCATAGTGATGTCTGTACATACTTGGCAACATAATTTCGAAGAAAATTTCATCATCATTGAGAGCCTTAAGCTTTCGTAGCGAACGTGGCAGCAAACAGTTTTTTAGGGCGATAAAGCCTCACGCCGTAAAAACACATGTCTGAACAAGGGTAAGTCAGGCTGTTCAAACTACGTCAGGTTGGAGAAATGTGGCATTCCGTTGATGAAAAGTGAAGAGGACACCTAACCAGTAGGTACACCTACTTGAGAGCCACAGGCGCCACAGGACACTGGGGATGGCAAACTCACCACTTGTTCCTCGGTTGCCTGGGCCACCGCCCCGGCGTCGCTGGGCGGCCCAGCATCCCTCGGCGCTTTCGAGCCACTTTGCGCTGCCCCCTGAGCCATGACCTCTTCAATTCGGGCCAGACTGCCCAAGGTTTCGGCCTTTGACGAGACGAGCAACTAGCACGGAACAGGAACTAGGCAACGGATCGGCTGGCCCTGCGCCAACGTCTGCAGCGGTCTCCGAGCTGGTTTCTGGTTTCACAGGAGAAAGGGGGTCAGCACACGGCGGAAAACCCGACAAGCAACTTGCACTTTGGTCGGTAAAAGTATTTCGGAGAAACGGCAAATGTCATCGTGAATCAGAAAACAATTTGCTGGAGTACTCACCGGAGTCACGGGCTCGGTCGGTCGTCGTCTGCACTAACTCAACGCCTTGCGAGAAGAGAAAACAAGAACCAGCATGTACGCGGACAGATGACAATCGCACCAAAGTGGCTCCAAAGTTCAAGTTGGAAATTTCACCGTCATCGTGAGTGATGTAATTGCAGATTTCACTCTTGGCTGTACTCTTGGGCAGGTTCAATCGTCTTCTCATGTTATTGCACAAGTCGTTACATGAGTTTGTCTTGTTTTTTTGTGTTTTTTTTAAGATTTTTCGTGTGACGAGTCTCCATGATCAGACCAGTATATCTGTGTTGTGTATTTTCGTGATGCAGTTATCGTCTTTTGTGGATCGAGCGCTTCAGTTACACGAAACAGGAAATCATCACTGAATTTCTCTCTCCTTTTAGAGGAATGGGCAGGCTCTTAGACTTCTTTCAAATCTGGAAAGTGATTGATCGCGGCCCTCTCCTGTTCAAATGCTGCCGCGCTGTTCTGCGGATACGCCTCGGCCGTGCGGATACCGGCCGCAGCTATTGGCCCTCGAAGTGCGTCGTCTGCTACGGCCCTGCGCACAACAGACGCGCATCATACAAGTCAACCATCGCCATCGATCGGCTTGTGGAGTGTCGAGTCGCCTGCAAAATGACGTCCCCGCACGGAATTTGATTCCAGCTTCCAGCGCGGGCCGTCCACTCCGCGGCTCTGGGAGAGGACCTCGCGCGATGCCCGTGTCTCTCTCGCTCTCGGCGCGGAGACCCGCCGTTCGATGTGAGTGCGCGTTATCGGGTGTCCTGGCTGCGACCTGGGGCCTGGGCGCCTTTGTTTACGGTGTGGGTGCCCAAGTGTCAGTCGGTGCAAATGCCCGATAACAAAGAAATGTGTGTATTGCGGTCCGTCGCGCTCGCTGGCTCGCTGCACCGCGCCACCCTGCGTCCGCGGGGTGACACTTGTCGTGCGAGGGTGCTCGACTGGGCGCAGTTTGGCAGCGCTAAAAGTGCGCAGCAGAAGGTGTTATGACTGCAGTGTTGCATTGTGTGTCGTTGTCGTGTAGCGCAGGTGTGTATGCACCGAGGCGATGCCTTTGTGTGGGCCTGCCAGTGTCATGGGGCTCGGGGCGCGGGGCGCGGCGCAGTGCGTGGGTGGCTCGGCAAACACTGCCACTGAGGACCAAGTTGCTCATTCATTGTGGTTCAGGGATCTCAGCCTGTTGCCTATCCTAGCTTTGTACAGTCTGACTCAACTTCCCTGCTGAAACACAAGATGCAGTCTCTGAACGCACGAACTTTGTGAATTCTGCTGCACGTCAGCATTTTACAAAACTCCCTATGTACTTCCCCATCTTTGTTTCATTTATTATTGCCACAAAATACACTGTAATTAAATCAATAGTCTGAGCCCTGTGAAAAGTCTTTTCTATGACTAAGTAGTTATCATTTTTAGTATTTGTCATGTTCAACAGTAATTCTTTTTGAATGTTGCTTCACATATCCTGTTACGTAAGAGTTTTCCTACTAAAGTAATATATTTTATTCAGGTCTGACCCGAGTGAAGTGATAGAGGTGAACCCTCTAGGAGCCTTCTCTCTGTAGAATGCTAGATCATTCACTGCCAGCCTGGGAAGAATGGATTCTGCTGTGCCTATCCCCATCGCTTGACCAGTTCAATTGCTTTTCTTGACAAAGTATCGTTTCGACTGGTTCAAAATGGGCACTGCGTCTTCCAAGTTCAAAAAGTACCTTCAGCATGGAGATGAATTTGCAGCCATGCAGGTTTGTGTTTTCATTAATATACTTTATATGTGTACCTCTTTTTACAATTCTATTTTTTCTTGACTGGCTGCTCCTAGTGTGAGGATGTTTGTCTATCTTGCTTTCTTTCTTTCAGGTGTTTCAAAGCTCAGGAGATTTAAAAAGACATCTAGACCCCAACACAAGCTATGGGGAACACCACAATCATAATACTCCTTTGCATTATGCAGCAAAGCATGGAATGAAACATCTGCTTAGGTACTAATAATTTTCTTCCTTTTTTTCTTTTTTTTTTTTTTCTTGGCTGTAGCTGAGCTATGATTTACAATATTCATTAACTTAATTCTTGTGTTTCAGGACATTTTTGCATGACCTTGGAGGTAATCCAAACAAGCGAAATGCATTTAATGAGACTGTCTTGCATGCTGCCTGTAATCTGGAAGTCAACAAATGGTTCTCAGCACAAGAGCGCAGAGCAGCGTGCGTGTCTTTGATCTTGCAGTGGCGAGGTGCAGACCTTAATAATGGGGGCAGAGAACGCATTGATCTACAAGCTCAGGACCAGGTAAAATGAAATGACAATATTCCTCAGCTTTTAAGAAGTTAATCAAAACTCTTAACACACTTTTCACTTGCTGGTTGCAGAAAGGAGATACTGCACTCCACTGTGCGGCCGGCTCAGGCCTAAAACGTTGTGTAGAGCTGCTCCTTGCTCATGGCAGCCCTCTGTTTGTTGAGAACACAGAGCACCTCACTCCATGTGATGTGGCAGTGCGTGCGCAGCATCATGATATTGCTGCTCTTCTGGAATCAAGGATGGTTTTCGTAAGTATAACTGAAAGCAGTTGAAAAAAAAAAGTTCTGATTGGGTGACCGTGTTGACCCTCATTCTGTACTTGGCTACGTTCTAGGCTGACACTAACGACACTGTTAATGAGGCTGAGCTGACGGGAGGATCTGAGCCTGATGAAGTGTACAGTGGTCTTCGTACTCAAGATTTACAAGAGGCCAAAGACCAGCTTTTAGTCGAAACTAGTGATATGTTACACATACCTCTCTTTACTGCAGAAGCGCTTCTGAGAGATAATGGTAGGATTTACAAGAGACATTTATCAATCATTTATTGATATGCGTTTTCTCTTGCACTCCATAACATGTGTTTCCTTTCAGAGTGGTCTCGGGAGTCTCTTCTTGATAAATGGATGAAGGACCCAGTTCAATGTTGCCATTCAGCAGGTGTTCAACCACCTCCTTCAGCCTTAGAAGGGGGCCCAAGTACATTTTGCCTGACCAGACCAATGCATTTTCCTAGTGTGGTTGAAGAATCTAATAGCTGTGATGAACAAGAAATGGAGGGAACTGGATTAGAAGACTCTTATAAGTCTCCTATTCGACAAAGGACGCACTCTGTGGACAAGGGCCCTGGACAACAAAATGATGAAATCGAGGTACTTATAGGACTCGATTTATTTCTACATATTAATTGTCCTTTTGTTTTTTACAGACCTGATTTCTAGTTTCAAATAATGTTTATATTTGTTTCAGTGCTCAATCTGTATGCTTTCTGTTAATACTTGGGCTATGCTGGAACTTGGCTCAATGAGTTGTGGTCACACATTTTGTTCAACTTGCTGGGAAAATTATTTGACTATGAAAATACAGGATGGTGATGCTCATCACATCAGCTGTCCTGAGTATGGCTGTGATATTTTAGTTCCTGTTGAAGTGATAGAAAAGTCTGTGACTCCTGAGGTGGCACGAAGATATTTACAATTTGATATAAAAGTAAGATTCTTAAAATTCTTTCCAGATTTAAACACTAAAATTAACATATTTGTGATTGAATACTTATTTGTTAAAGCAACTTGACTTATTGACGTTTTGTTTGTATCTTTCCAAAGGCATTTGTGGAAAGCAGCCGCTCCATCAAATGGTGCCCGAGGCCTGGTTGTGGGCAGGCTGTAAGGCTTCCAGAAACCGAGCAAATTCCACCGCCAAACCAATCAGCTGCTGCAACTTCGCATGCTGTTGACTGTGGCAACGGTCATTTTTTCTGTTGGTTAGTTTAACATCAGCTCCATGTATTATTTGTTTGCCCAAAACCTTCTGCAAACTAAAGATTGTATTTCTGTTTGCATAGGGAGTGTCTTGGTGAGGTACACGCCCCAAGTGGGTGTGAGCAATGGCAAATGTGGCTGAGAAAAATTGCTGAAGTGAAGCCAGAGGAACTGCCCACGTCTGGAGTAGACATTGAAGATGCTGCTAATTGTTTATGGCTTGTGACAAATTCCAAACCGTGCCCCAACTGCAAATCTCCCATCCAAAAAAATGAAGGCTGCAACCATATGAAGTGTTCCAAGGTAAGATTGGAGAAATCAATACTCGCATGAGACTTTGTGATTCATCTTTCTAATATGTACTATTGCTGTAATTGCAGTGTAAGCTTGAGTTTTGTTGGGTTTGTCTGGAAACCTGGAAGAAGCATAGTTCTTCAACTGGTGGCTACTTTCGCTGCAACCGGTTTGAAGCTTCGAACAAGGCAGATGAGCGTCAAGGTGTACTCATAAGTGAAGTATGTGTCTAAATTGTATTATTTCAAATTCCACCATATTATACCACATGTAAAATGTATCACTGCTATTTGAATGATATAATCTTTCGTTTTACTTTCAAGGCCATGGTGCGCAACCAGCAAGCCACTGAGCTGAGTCGATTTTTACATTTCTATACGAGGTTCAGGAATCATGAAAACTCACAAAAGTTAGAGGAACCTCTGTTAAGTTCAGCCCCTGCAAAAATGGCTCTTCTGGCTGCTTGCTTGGTACCTTCCACCAGGACCAGGAGTCCAGGAGATGGTATGACAGGTCCTTTCATTTGTTGAGGGCTTCTCCATTGTTCTGTCTTTCATTGAAAAAATGTTCATGTTCCCCTCTTTTCCTCTCCTACAGAAAGCAAAATTGAGAAAGGAACACAGTTTGTGGTCTCTGGTGTCAGAGAGCTTCTGAAAGCCCGAAGAATCCTTTGTGGTTCTTATGTGTATGGCTACTATCTCCAAGATAATGGATACAACAAGAGCATATTTGAATTCATGCAGGTAGTATCTTTGCTTTAGAAATTTAAAAAAAAACTTGGTATCCTGTGTGGGAGTAGGAATTATTGTTCCTGTATTTATCATAATTTTTAATTTGTATTTATTGCCATTTTGTAGAATGAATTGGAGGAAGTAACAGAGAAGCTCTCAGAGCAAATTGCTCGCCCTTATCTGAGAACACCTCGCTCACTCATAATTCAAACAACAGCTCTGGTACGCCGTAAAAGACATGAGTTTGTACGAGCTGTTAATAAGGGTCTTGTGCCTCCAGAGACACCACCTGTTTTGCGTAAAAACCGAAAACGTCGATTCCCTGGACTAGTTCCAGAACTTCTGGATGATGTAAGAAATATCCTCAACTTTTTAGAAATCAAAAAAATTCTCATAATTCATGTTTTGTTTTGTGTTTAAATTGTTTTCTCTAGAAGGAACTGTCACAAGCCATAGCTGCATCATTAAAGGAAATAGATCCCAATGATAGCTGGGCCAAAGATGTTCTGCACCATCATGCATTACAGCCTCCAGACTATGACTCTGATGAAGAGGTTAGTATATTGTGCCATTAGAAAATACCTGTCCTATCCTATCCAAAATAAATGGAAACATAAAAATGGATTTCTTTGCAGTCTCCTTGTTCAACTACAACACCGCTGACTTTATGTGGGAGGTTTGGTTGTGTGCGCCCCTGTGCACAAAATGCAAGAACTCAGTCTTTACACCAGTTTTGTAGTTTACGCTGCTCTCGTGCAGTCAAAGTGTCTTCTACAAGTAGTGGTGATTCCTACAACCTTGATCTGGTCATTGCCTTAGAAATGTCTAGACTTCAAATGATTGAAGATGAGCTTAAGAGGCATCAACTGCAAGTTCCATCTCAAGTTTCATCCAATTCTAATGAGTAAGATACTTAAAGCAGGGAATAAATTCTCTCTACGATTTTACCATATTCAACCTTTTTTTTTTGCGTATTCTCTCTGTTTTAGCAGTGCCTGTCAGTCACAATCAATTGCCAACCGACCCCCTGCCCCACTTCCTATGGAAGTGGAGAATCGAGCCTTCATGGAGGGCACAGTAGCGCATCCCCAACAGGGTGAGCACAGCATGCCAGCTCTGTAAGTTTTCTTTTTAGTTTTCTTCTTTGGTCCAAGCAACTGGGGAAACATAATTAAACAACAAAAGACAAAGCGGTATTATATGGCATTTTTCAACATTTATTGATTTTCTCTGGCTAGCTAGTCTGCTCTGAGCTGACTGACAATTAGGTGCATCTTGCTGCATTTTCAATATATTTTTTCTTCTAATGAAAATATGTGCATTAGTTCCAGTCTGTTTTAAAATCTTTTTACGTATTCCAATTTCGGCATTTTCCTTGTCTTTTTTTATTGCAATATTCGTGTGCATGGAATCTGGAAAATGTCTCATTAGTCTTCTCTCATCCTGCTTTTAGGCTCAAACAATTTGTAGTGTTCCATGTTACCATGTTTCCTTTTTCCCTTTTAATTTCTGGTCAAAATATAACATGTGTGTTGTTCCTTATTAAGAGAAAATGATCAATATCTGAAACTGCATTGTTGCCTGTCAGATGCTCTGACTGTAGTAGCCATGTGCATCAATGTGACGTTTTACTGTGCCATAGTTGCGTGCTTTTCCATGTGCTTCATTTATTAATTTCCTCATTATAGATGAAGGCATGATAGGAACATAAAAAGGATTGTGGATGCTTAAAGTAGATCCTTCCTAACATTAATATTTTTGTCGCCTTTACAGAAAATTTCGATGAATCAACTAAGTCATCTATTCATCTGCCCCTGCAAGATCTGGAGCATCTGAAAGAAATCTCAGAGACACAGGAATCATGTCAAAATGAGGAAAGAATTGCAACATTGTATACTACAGGCCAAGTGAAAATGCAGTTAATCAACAGACCATACTATGAAAATGGAGAAATAAACAATTTGTGAGTAAATTAGATGAGCAGTCCCATTGAAACCAGTTTCCTTCAAGTTTGAAACTAATTTTGTATATCATTCATCATATTGTTGCAGTGGAATCAATAGAAATGACTGGGCAAAGCCATTAGCTGAACCTTCGTTTCTTGTTGGAAGCTTTAAACGGGAACACGGCGAAGATGGCCGTTTTGAAATAAGTGACATACATGAAAATGGCATATTTAATGAAGAAATTATCAGAAGTACCAATGGTGATGATACATTCGATAATTATAATAATTTTGAAGAAGACGATGGCTCAGGCGAAAGGTCTCTGAAGCGGTCTCATTCAACTGGCGATCTCATACCTCGGCGAGTATGGGGTGCTTCTAGGAGAAGAGAGCCACGCTACCACTTGGATTCAGACCATTCTAGTCAACATGATGACAAGCCGGAGGAAATAGCGAGGCGTATTCTTAAGGCGGAACGCCATACCTTACTTCTGGTTGGACTACATGGTAGTGGTGGTAGCACCGCCGGGAGCACCGCCGGGAGCACTGCAGAAAGCACTGCAGAAAGCACAGCAGATGACACTGGTGTTGACTATGGCCTACAATCATCTCTGGATGAAGCGAGCACCACTGCATGTGATTCAATGAATGCTGATCTTGAGGTAACTTGTCAGGACTCTCATCACTTGTGAGCATGGAAATATTCCTAATCATATTTTTTCTTAAGTTGGATTGTGTTTTCCACAGGTCTGTGGCATTTTAAGCAGCTGTAAACCAAGCCGAAAACCCGGTGAAAAGTCTGCGCGTAGCTTTACAAACCTTGCAGCCATTGGTAAGAAACCAGCACTAGACCTTGATTTGGAGTTTATAGACGAATGTCGGGTGGACACAAGTCAGCAGCAGGCTCCCTCAACATCTGATGCGCCTCAAGAAAGCAAACCTCTTATTGTCAAAGAGAAAGATAGTGATTGGAAGGCAGTGTCCACCTCCGCATCTGGTAGTTCCTGCACTTCAGGGTTTGCGGGTCCTTCCAACAGCACAGCAAGCTGCATAAAACATTGCAAGCAGACTGGCACAAGAGCATCTGGCTCTGCCGCCAACCAGTGTCTTCGCATACGGATCTGTAAGTCCCCTCAGCTTGTGCCTATTTCGTTGCCCAACAAACCCTTACAAGAGACTGATAGTTCTAACGAGTACGAATCCGAGACTGGTATCCCGAAATCCCCCACCCTCTTCATTAGTGGTGTCTCCATCAGCAGAACCCCCGAGCCCCGGCCACGGTCCCCCACCGCGTTCTCTGGACTCGCTGTGTCCAGTGTGGCTGTGGGGCGGCAGTCACGGGCCTCCAGCCTCACAGTCCCAGCCGCCCCTTCCCCACCATCGTCAATTGAGGCAGAATGTTCTCCAAATCTGTCCCCAACGCCTGGCCTGTCCCCCTGCCTGTCCCCCTGCCCCTGCCCCAGTGGAGTAGCCACTGCCCCTGGTTCTCCCAGAGCTCATCCTCACTCGGGCACACCATCGCCTATCTTGAGTCCACACACAGCCAACATTCAACAACCAGCGACCAAGAGCAAGTCTGCCAATGAACCTGAGCGAGAGAGAGAGATGTTCAGGTTCCCTAAGTCATCGACAGATGGTGCTCTAAGTTCTGTTCTCCATGTCCAGGAAAGCAATTTGAGCTCTGATGACTTTCATGAAGCCCTGTTCCTGCTGGAACGCAGTAAAGCTGTAGGTCCAAATGTTGTCACCAAAAAACGTAAAAAATCGAAAAAAGAGAGAGACAAAGATAAAGAAAACAGCAGTGGGGGAAGCAGTAAGCCCCTTGATATTATAGAGGCGAGTTCTGCACTCTAGAAGTTCTCTCTTAATGGTTATTTCCTTACAATTCAGATTTCTGTTTTGCATGCTTCAGTGTGAAACTGTCAAAGTTGTCAAAAAAAATGCTTCCAAGGTTTTTTTCCCAAGCGCTCTTTTCTTGTATTCCTGTCTATATGATATGATGGGTGCAAATCTTCCTTTGTGTGATTCTATATATTGTAAATAGATTAAATTTCTTGTTGCTTCATGTTATATGCAACAGGACTGTGTCCAATGTGGCTTCATAGCCGACTGAATAACTGATGACAGGTTCTTGTAGTGGCTGGATGAAAATAAAGTAAGTGAGCTGATTTGTTAATTCTAGAATATATAGTTTCTAATTCTTAGTTACTTTAACATTAAAACACATAAGTGTTGTTGACTGGTCTCCATTATCTGCATTGTAGGTGCTCTTGTAAGCTTCTGTACACCCATAGCACTTTGACAGTCCCATTCCTTCAACTTATGTACATTGTTCCATTTTCACATAAAAATTCGAATTCGACTGACTTAAAGCATTCAAATTTTGTTTTTGATGCATAAAATTTGTGATTGATTTATGCCCTCTGTTGGTGTTTTGTGTCTGCCTTATTATACTGGTGTGCAACACGTTGCTGCGATACTGATAGTCGGACTCCCTACGGTAAACATGATCTTTCCTGGTTTAATGTGTTCTTAGAAGTGCCCTTTAAACATTATTATTACTAATATTCACCTTGTCCTTAATACCATTGTAACTAGACACAAAAAACCTTATAAAAACATGTAGTGTTTAGAAGTACATAGAAAAGTTTGCAAGTGAAACTGACTTCTGACTTTTGAGTCTTGCCTGTGGATCAAAAACCATTTCTATCAATCAACCTTTATTAAGTTGTGTTAAGAGTCTGTACCGTCAGTTTTTGTGAGCTTGAATGTTTCTCAGCCTCTCATCTAAGGATAGTGTTTATCTCTCCAGTTTTTTCATTGCATGATTTATATTCTTGTCTAAATGTATGATACAATAACCAGTCGCTTAGCACCTTATTAGAGCTTTAATTAATATGCAAATATCCTTAATATTTGTAAGATGTGCAGTAAGAAATGCAATGTTAAAATATGTGTGTTAGTTCCACCATATTCTTGTGTACATGGTTTTGCTAGTCCAAATATTTTGTGTCCAACATTACTAGTGATCACAATAAATCAATGATTAAGCTTGTAGAATTCCAAAAAGAAAACCACTTTATAGTCATAGTTATACTGTCAAGTCAGTAGTGTTATTACTGTATGTATGATGTTATGTGTAAACCTTTTATTTTGTAGTACATTTCTGTGTAAAGTATTAAAATTTAATCTGTATTTTTATGACGTTTTAATGTTTGTCAAGTTTCGTGTAAGAGCTTAATTGGTGCACCATTGGAGACTAAATTAACTGCCGAAATACTGATGATATCAACGAAAATGTAGCAGCATTTTTCTTTCTTTGGTCATTTTGGACTGTTTTATCTTATTGCATTTGCCCGGTATCAAAAGCTCTAGAGTCTGTGTCGTATAAACCAGTGTTCAACCAAACCTTGATTACTCTCCTTCATTGGGATGCAAATTTGTTGCCAAATATGCTAAGATTCATTATTATGAGGGCCATTTTCATTGTGATAGAATTTTATTTCTGCAGTGCCTCCCTATTCATTGAAGCCAAATTGTGTTCAAACAATACCCTTTAGTCATGCCAGTTGATGTATTTAGTCTCATTAATTCTTTGAACAATTATCTTTGCTTATACATCTCATTATTTTAAAGCAAACAAAGAAAAAACTTATTATGTGTTTTTGAAAAGTGGCTCATGGTTGCCTGCGTATCATAATCAACAATATCCTTAAGTGTATTGAGTGAATTTCTGTGTTCTAGTCAGTCTTAATAGTTTTCAGAACTTTTCCCGGGAAGGATGTGTCTTTTTTAAAAAAAGAGATCTATTTAAATTTGTGGATTTTGGTTGTGTGTTTGTAGTTTTTTTGTATGAGTGTGTTTGTGTTTTCTTGATAAGAAACACATCTCGTTTTTTTTTTTTTTTTTTTGTTTCTTTTTTTTTAACGGATCAAAAGTTTCAAACCTTCTGCATTTTTATTGTGATATATTTTAACGACTGCCATTTGGTCCCGGCTTAAGATGAAGTGAAAAGTGTGAAGTTGTACTTATAAGCTAAAATATCAGCCACATTTAAACAGTGTGGAGAAGTAATGAAAATGAGATGGGATGTGAGGCAACAGAATTAGGAGTTGTATTGTGCATGGAAGTGTTGGAAGTCCAGTATTGTGCCACTAATATTCGGTTTCCATTTGCTTGACTTCTTCCAAGTGCTGAAACAAACAGCATTACTGTTTTGTTCTAAATTGAAAATAGATACCCTTCACTAAGGAAAATACATACTTTTTTGCATTTGATAGCAATAGTGAGGTGTTGAAGGATGAAGAGGCTGGAGCTTGGTGTTTATACTTCTCTCCATGGTTACTATTCTACTCTATTGAACCAATCAAAACTACATAAGTGCTAATCAAGGCAAGCTTTTCCCGTTTCTTTATTAGTGTCTTTTGTACTGTCGATAACATATTACATGTGGTTGCTGTGTGCCACTAAAACTTCACTGATTTGATTTTCATTACCCACTTACATTATTTACCGTAGTAGTATTTGCTCACATATCTTCTCCATAAGCATGTGCAATGAATTCTATGTTTTAATACAGAAAAGGATAACTTTGCAATATGACGGGATTGCCCTTATTCAAACTCATTCCAACTTAAAATTTTTGCACATGACTTGAGAGGCCTGCAGAGCATGAACTTTGAAATGCACCGGAATAATTGTAAATACATTTGAATTGCTCTATAAAAAATTTGGCGCCAGGATGTTTTGCTTTTGTTTTCAGGGCATTTGCAGACGGCCCTAAATTTGTGCTTTTTCAGCTCATTATTTTATTAAAAATTGTGTGATATTTTCATTTGACTGATATGTGCATCGAAGAAATATACACTTGTAACAGGACGTACTTGAAGTGTGTTATGTTTTTCTTTTCAATCTCACTTCTCCTTCAACGCACCAAAGCAAAAAACAAATCAACAACAATGAAAACAGTTACACAATATTAAAATCAGTGTAAATTCTATTCTAAAGTTTCAGGGTAAAACTACTTAATAGAAAGTGGACAGTATCCTTACGACTGGCAGCGTAGGCCCTAAGTTGAATGGCATTGAAAATAAGATACGCGTTAACATCTTACAACAGACAAAAGGTTTTATCAGTCTCATGTTGTTGGCAAGAAGCCCTTCAGCTCCAGCCTGACAGTCTTGTTGATTTCCGTCTAACGGTGTTTTCTTCACTGTCGCTCACGTCTCCTGTCTACACCGCCTCGAACAGTGGCGGATACAGAAATAGACAAAAAATAATTGTCTTTTTACATCCAAGGACAAGGTGCGACTGGCGGGGTGGTGGCCATCCAAGGGGGATGTAGGGGCAGCTACGCCCTTCCCCCTTCCGCTGGATTCGCGCTTGTTCTCATTTCTGCTCCGTCCGGAACGACTACCAGACCCGTACTCTACCGCCTAGGCGTGCCTCGCCTGGCCTAGCCGTGCACGTTGGCTATCCTGTGTTTGGCGTTTTGGATCTTCCACCGGCGACGCAGCAGCTCCCTGTCCCGGCCGTGCGCCATCAGGTCCTCCTTGAGCTCGCCCAGGCTGTTGGGGCGCTGGGGCCGCTGCAGTGCCGGCCGCGTCCGCGTCGTCGGCCCTGGCTGCACCGACGATGACGACGACCGCGCACTCTTGGCGCCCCTCGAGCTGCAAGGACAAGCCAGTCAGTATCTCGTTCTAAAATAGGACCCGGATGCAGTGGGCCAAAAGACCGGCGCAAGCAGCCAAAACTCAAGACGCGTTTTGAGCTCCAGGGTCGCTAAACAGGACTCGAACCGAGCGTGTGCCCCACCAATGGATTCCTCGTTCGGAGAGCAATCCATTGGTGGGGTCACACGATCGGTTACAGTCCTGTTTAGCAACTCTGGAGCTCAAAACGCGTCCGGGATTTTGGCCCCCTGCACCGGTCTTCTGGTCCACTGTGCGTGGGTTTGGAAGGAGGGCATCCGCCTCACACTTACCTGGAGGCTTTCGAAGTCTCTCCCAGCACCTGATCCCGGATGTCCCGCTTTCTGAGAGCGTGGATGAGGAGGGACTTGAGCAGGACGGCGTCCTCCGGGTGGAGCTGGACGCCGTCGGGGACGCCCTCGCCCAGGACCAGGGTCAGGCTGCCGGGGGCGGGGCGGGGGGTGGGTCCGCGGGCGGCCCGCGGCAGTCGGCGGAGGTTGATGGACCTGGCGGGGGTCATCTTGAGCGGCACGGTCCTCTTTGCCACGTCCAGGAAGTTCCTGGACACGCCGTCGTCGACACTCGGCAGCGGTATCGAGTCGCCCTGCACTGACCGAGTAGGGGGTGACGTGACGTGGTGACGTGTGGCTCCACGCGCCTTTTAATGAAACCGCGATTTAAAAGAAAACGGAATCGATCAGACGTTTCGCACTGTACCTGTTCCTGGAGGTTGGCGCGGTCGGCGACGAGTGCCAGCAGCGAGATCATCGACATGAACACCGCGATGATGGGCGTCATGGTGTACACCCTGCGCCGAAAGTAAAGTAAGCCTTGGTGTTGGCTGTACCACAAATCCCTATTTTACAAATTCAAACACAGCCTAGTTTGAATCACAGGAAGGACGCAAAGCGTTTGGACGCGTGCTCTGACGCGTGGTGTTCGTTCCTCTTTGTGCCGCTGGACCGGCTGAACCGGCTAGACCTTCACCGCGGCCCGAGCTGTCCGTCCTGCGAGGCTTCACGGCCAGGACCTTGATGTCCTGCACTCTGCGTGAGGCAATTCGACTTGGGGAAGTCCCGGAACAGCTTCTTTCCAACTGGCCGACACGCCGGCACAACGAGTCCGAATGTATTTGATCGCAATAATCAATTCGATCAATTTTCCGCCGCCCGTTCAAAATAATAAAACTTTAAAAAAAAAATAACACTAAGAAGTGTCTCTCTCACTTTCTCACGCGCACCCTTATAAGAGCGAGAGAGACAGAGAGACTGTCTGCCAGTGGCGCGGCACTCACGCGTTGAAGGCGGGGAAGTCCAGCGGCAGTCGGTCGTCAAATGGCGCCCGCGGGACAGCGCCGTCCTATAAATAGGATGAGTCGCGGGACGCGGAGGAGGAAGGGGGGGGGGGCATCCTCACGCACATACATAGACTCGTTTCTTTTGTTCGGTACCTTTCAATTAAAAGGACTGCCATCGTGGACACAAGAGGAAGAAGTTTCTCTGACCACGCACCTAAAAAAATCTATGGCACCCGAAGATTATTTCGGCCAGGGATCCAAGTGATTGGTTTCCGAATTTCTCTTGGAACACCAACCAACACGAAAATCGCAGTGTTGTCATTTGGACGTCGTTGTGCCTTTCGAAGGTCAAAAAGAAACGTAAAAAAGAAAACGAGTCATTTTTTGTCACCCGTTTTGACGTCACGCATTGCCATCAGACCGCATTTGATGACCTCACGTCGACAGTCAAATTGAGCGCCGTTTTGGTCGATCCGATGTTGGTCGCTCCGATTTTTTGGTCGCTCCGATTTTTCGGTCCCTTTGCTGGGCTTGGGGGCGCATACATTCATGCAGTCGGGCCCGCCGCCATCTGGCCGTTACACTTCCAGCGGCCTTGACTGCATTACGGTGAAGTGCGGTGGAGCGAACAAACCTCCTCTAAACACAGAGAGTGCGCGACCACGCAACGCAGCGGCGACGCAGTCGATCATGTGGAACGCGTGGAACCCGCGCTCATGCATACACCGCTTCGAGAATATATATATCTTCACATGTTAAAAAAAAAAATGAAAATTTAGATGATTTCGTCTTACTTGGGGGTCTGAATTTGTAAATTCATAAAATGGCACGAATATTAAGACCAACGGGCTGAAAAGTTTTACCTGTTGTCTGAAATTTGAATTTAGACTAGCAAGTCTGAATATTTAGAGCGATGGCTATCAAGTTTTGTACATTGTCGTCCGAAAAAATAAATTCATACTTGTGAAACGGAAAAAAGAGTGAAAAAAAAAAAAGTCCCCCTTTGTTTCATTTTTCGATTTCTCAGAACTTTTATCAATACTACGTTGTATTTCAAAATAATTTACGTTTAGTGTCGTAAAAGCATAGAGAAGTTTCAGAGCTCCGAAATGGACATTTTTGCTCTATCCGCTAGGTGGCGCTGTGTCGCATGGATGATCTTTTGGAGCTAAAATGCCACTTGAAGGGCGAAATCGCGAATATTTTGTTACAAAAATTATTCCCAAATGATTGTTTGAAAAGGGGATGAGCGCACCAAAGCAAGATTCAGGTTAATAAGAGCAGTATAAGCTAAATAACAAAGAATACAATTTCACTCTCGCGCATGGCCACGGGTTTGGCGCGTGGTTGGGCTAAGGCCGCTCTCCCTCGCAATTCAGCAGTCCCTCTAGCCTTTTTTACCACCTTGCAAGGGGACCTTTGGGGCCCTTTTTTTTTGAGGGGGAATGCGGCGTTGAAAACCGATGGGTCGCCGATTTTTTCCTCGGTTTTTCGCCCCTTTCGCTTGCAACTTGGGTTTTTTGCCACTGGTTTTTTTTTTCCCCTGTGATCTAAAAATTAGACAACTCTCTAAACCCAGACCGCGAAAGAAAGGGAGAAAATTCGACTGTGAAGTAACGTTTCTTAAAAAAAAATTTTTTCGAAAAATTTTTTAAACTCATTCAAAAATACTATTGCCACAAAAATATTTTATTTGCCAGTTTTGATAAGAAATGTAGCCGCGTGGAAAGCGCATCGGACTTTTGTCAGTCACGACCACACTTTTCTGTGAACACAATAAAATTAAAACAAAAACAATACAAAAACAACAACAACCAAACTTGGCAGATGTGTGCGAACTCCTCGTGCGGTGCTTTCTCCGTCAGAAATGACCATCAACAAAAACAAAGGAACGCGCTTTTGCTGTCTGCTGGCGTCACGGCGGCGTCACGACGAATGCATGACTCATTTAATTTTCGACACGCACAATAAAAGGCGAAAAGAAAATGACTCTGGCGGATGTTGTGCCGCATGGCCGCCGCGCCGGGTCCGGGCCGGCATGCCTCGCGTTGTTGTTGATGTTGTTGGTTTGTTTACTCGTCTCTATTTGACTGAAAACGTGTGATCTTGAACGCAGCGCGTGGATTCACGCGGATTCTTATCTGTGATAATAATAATTCTCTCTCTAATAATTCTTTTTTTTTATTTTTGCCGTGCAGTACCGACGCATCCATTTGATCCGCCCAGCACGCCACGCGTACTCGCTAGTCATTCATTAGAGCAGTGCAGTGGCGCAGTGGCCGGCCCACTGCATCCGTGTTGACCCACGCTCGGACCGGCTCGGAAAAAAAGAAGGGGGCAGTATTGGGCAGGTCAGTGACCAGACACAAGAGAGTGCCCGGGAAAATCGGGGGGGGGGGGGGGTCATTATACAGGCCAGGTGCGCGAGATCGGCATCGACATCAAATCTCGAGCCAGGATATGAGTCGCGTGCTCGCGCCTCGGCGGGGGTTTTATTATGCTTCAGTCATTTCTTCACAATTATTTTTATGGCAGGTGTTATATTGCCAAACCGGAGACAAAGTGACGAGAAGCCGCTCTGCAGCCGCAAAATCACAGATGTGCGTCAAATTTGGACATTAATTAAAAATAAAAGAAGAAAATATTTTTCTTTATTTTTGGGTAACAGCTTTTTGTTTGGTTTGCACAGACCGTTGTCCGTACCTCCGCAGCGCTCCGCGTCATGTGCGCGTCCAAACCCTTCGCCGAGACTCGCTGCTCTGCAGTTTACCTACTCCTCGTCTATTTCCGGCCGATTTCCCGCTGCTGATGCTCGTCACTGGAATTATCCAACAACGGCAACAATAACAACGACGACGACGCGTCGGACTGGCGCATCCAAATATAGCCCAGGTTATTTCCAGGTAACGGGGGTTTCGGTACGGTCAGATGATGCGCTTTCCCCCTCCTGCTTGTCTGGTTTTCTGGTTGCCTGCTTGTCTGTCTGCCCGTCTGTCTGTCTGTCTGTCTGTCTGTCTGTTCGTCTGTCTGTCTGTCTGTCTGTCTGTCTGTCTGTCTGTCTGTCTGCCTGTCTGTCTGTCTGTCTGTCTGTCTGTCTGTCTGTCTGTCTGTCTGTCTGCCTGTCCTGATGCGTTTGCGTCAAGCGGAGCGCCTGCGAACTGCGAGGTAGGCAAGCCAGTAACGCACACCAGTGGCGCGGGCCTGCCCACCTCCCTGGCGATTGCGATTGCGATTAATGTCTGGACCACAAATGATCGTCTGCCTTTCGGGCCCGCCCTGCCATGTCGGTGATTCACCAGCACGTGACGGGTCGTCCCTACTGAGGCGGCCTCGATCTCGCCTCTGAATGCCACCATAAAAAGATGGAAATTCCCTCGACGCGCCTGGGTCGGAAGGATTGCCAACCAGCCTGCCTACTAGGCGACTTCTCGAGGTGACTTGCCCAGTTGGCAGGCGGAGGTTGGCAACCCTATGGCGCACCGCGGCGGGAATTTTCGCCAACTAATGTGGCAGCACTGACTGGGGCAAAGGAGGCCCGCTTAACTGTAAAGACCCCAGGAGGTGGAAAACACGACCGTCTGCCTCAAAATGTAAAACTGTGCCGACCCGTCCGGGCCGCGCCGCCGCCGACTACAAATTCGCCGCGATGTAGTTGGGGCATTACCGGCGATAGCCCTCCCCCCCCCCATCCCCACCCCTTTCTCTGCGGCCACTCGCCCTCCTTTGTCGTAAACAGTTTTCTTTCTTCCCTTCCGGGTCAATGAATAAAGGGCAGTGAGTGAGGTGGAAAGGGGGGGGGGGTACTCCAGGGGGTAAGTGCAGGGCAGGGACCGCCGGTCTAGTTGATTCTCCCCGCGGCCGTTCGCTGTTTTCATTTCGCGGATTGCTTCCGGATCGCGGAGCGACTTCTTAATGCCGGGGCGAAATTTCAATGATGTCTTCATTCACTTCAGCGGCCAAATATCTACATTCTTCGGTGGGAAACGAGGACAGTTTTCAGATTCGATTTGCAGAACCTTCGAGGAGCGTTCTACTGCAAAGGAATTGGGATTTGAAATTGAACTGATACTGCGGGTTACCTTAAGTACTTTTGTGTTTGGTTTGAGCAGTTGACAACCTAACAGGAGCACTTCGGACCGAAGCCTGGATCCACAAAGTGGAGTGTGTCTTTAGTTCCCCACTCGCGGCGAAGCTTTCAAGCCTTTATGCCTCGGCTTCGCCTGGCTTCGCCGACCGCCTTGCTGTCCGCCTCTTTGCCCCACCTCCACTTTCACTGGCCGCCACTGTAATGGCCCTCGCGCTGTCTCCCTCGCACTCACGGGGCGCGGCGTCGCGGTGCGGGAGAGACAGAGCGCGGCGGCCCCGCCAATCGCATCGCGCCGTCTCGAGCCGCCCTCTCATTCGGGCCAAAAAGAAAACATGGAAATAAAACCACCACAACAACAAGAGCCACGTAACTGACGTAACTGCACTGGGTCCGGCACGCAGGTGCACGGCTCTGCGCAGCCGCCACCCCCCGGTGGAACAGGGGCAGGGGAGGGCGGAGGGGGGGCACGCAGCGCGAGGGGCGGTGCAGCGCGGCAGCGCGGAGGGGTGAATATAGGTCACAGAGCGCCGCGGCGCCGCGGCGCGCACCGCCATGCCCGCCGGATAACATCTGAGACGGCTGAACGGGCCACCTCAGGGCGCGGACGGCGGCGGTGCGGCGGCGGTGGAGGGGGCACAATCCAGCGCCGAGCCCTGACCCCCGCCAAAGAGCCAAACTGACCCGTCTAAGGCACGCCGGACAAACCGCCCTCGTCAACGCGCGCGGGGCAGGGAAGGGAAGGGGCCGGTTCCACCCGGCCTTTCCGTCCGTCTGTCGGCCACGCGGGCGGTTAGCACACTGCGTGAGGCGGGTATCGCGGTCACTCCATATTTATACCGGCATGGCGGGCCAGGCCGAGGGCCAGACTGAGGGCCACCCTGAGGGCCAGCCCGGGGCCGCGAGTGGAGTGGCGATCTGGAAGTCGTTTCCGTGGCGGGCGGTGCCGAGGCGGTGCACGGCGGGGAAGTAGGTTGAATCAGTCTACTCGGCTGGGGATTTCAGCGAGACCGTTCCGCCCGCGTCGCCGCTGCGGAGGTGGTTACGGAGGACTGCTCCCCGCACGAGAGGGAATTACCCCAGCATGAAGAGTCATGAAGAGGCTCGGTGGCGGCGGCGTAGGCTCCGCGTCGGAGAATTTGCCTAGCGGCTCTCTACCTGGGGGGTCACGACCTCATTTAGGGTCGCGGAAAAACATAAAGGTCGCAGAAAATAATTTTTGGGTTGTGTGGCAAGAGCATGTTATACCAGGCCGAGAGCATTGCTCCAGGCCAAAAGCATTTCTCCAGGTCAAGAGCATTTCTTCAGATCAATAGCATTTCCCGACGCCAAGAGCATTTCTCCGCGACATGGAGCATTTCCATGTCGGATCTTGCCGCCTGAAACACGTCGCGTCGAAGAATGCCTCGTAGACAGAACACAACAGTGCAATGCAGCGGCACCCACACACATGGCAGCACTCATACACACACGGGGGCTGAAGAAAGCGAACGCCATCCGATGCAACGCCGCCGCCGTGCTGGCCCGGGGCTGGCTGGCCTGGGCTGGCCTGGGCTGGCCTGGGCTGGCCTGGGCTGGCCTGGGCTGGCCTGGGCCCCTCGTGGGGTGCCGCTGCGCCGCTGCCGCGTGGGGCGGGCCTAGGCGGGCCCGGGCGGGGGCGCGCAACAGCGGAGGGCTGTTCTCGGCCAGTCTTGTTCGCGACGCTGCCCCGCAAGGAGCTCAGCGCACTCGCCGCCCTCGCCGCGCGCCCCGGCCTGGCACCGCGCCCCCACCCCCGCCTCGCCCCGCCGAGGGTAAACAACGTGCTCCCCGTTGTGCCGTTGTCCGTCTCGGCCGAGCAGGCCGGGCTATGTTGACGGCAAGGCGGCCCGGGACAACACAGCGCCGCGCTCTCCCTCGGAATCCCCGCCACCCCGGCTGCGACGGCGGCAGGCTCCAGCCCCGGGCCGGAGGTAGTCCCGACCGGCAGGACGTCGTCGACGTCGTCGTCCGCGAGGGATGCCGCCGCCCGGGCCGGTGGCGCCCCGGGCCGTCCCCTGAGCGTGCGCGCGCCCCGCCGGCAGCGCGGCATGGAGGTCCTCCATGAAGTGGCGTCGGCCGTGGAGCCGCAGCCGACCGCGGCGGACGACGGCGACCTGGACGAGGACGATGACGCCGTCCCCAGGGTGCTGTTCCCGTCCACGCCGCACCGCAAGCGGCAGACGCGGCCGGCCAGCTCGTCCATGTCGCTCACGCCGCTGTGGCAGCAGGTCATCAAGTACCACCGCCTGCCCGCCGCCGTGGACAAGGACAAGGTGTTCGCCGAGGTGGCGGCGCGGCTGCGCGACCCCGAGTGGGAGGTGCGGCAGCATGCGCTGCGCGTGCTCGTGGATCTCATCGCCGTGCTGGAGCCCCGCGACCTGGCCGTGCTCGTGTCATCCACCGTGGCGGCAGAAACCATCGCGAACCTCGGCCACGCCGCCCCGGCGGTCCGCCAGACCGCCACCGAGGCCCTGGCCACGCAGCTGAAGCGGTCCCCCGATCCGGAGGCGGTGCTGCTGGGCGTGGCGGAACAGGGCCTCGACGGGCAGCTCGAGGGCCAGGGCCAGGGCCCGCTCGGCACCATCCTGGCGCTGCCGGGGCTGCTCGGCCGCGCCATGCAGGCGCACCCCGGCTGGCAGCTGTCGGCGCAGGGGCTGGCCACGCTCACGGCCTTGCTGTCCGCGCGGCTGATGCAGGTCACCTACCAGCCGCACGCGCTCGCCGCGCTGCTGGCCGTCCGCGACCTGGTGGGCGGCACGCGCTTCTCGGCCGCCATGGAGGCGCAGAACGCCGCCACCAGGAGGGACTTCGCGCTACTGTGCCAGGTGTACGACGGCGCGGACGAGAACGGAAACCACGACGATTCGAGCGAGGAGTCCATGGCTGAGGATGACGTCGGCAGTCAGCACCGCGTGGACGTCATTACAGTGCAGGCAGCCGAAAACGCGCCGCCGGGCCGCGTCGTCATGGAGACCGAGATCAAGTTCGACGCGGACACGGCCATCACCATGACCATCCTGGAGGAGCAGCCGCAGCAACAAGAGCAGCAGCAGCCGGAGCAGCAACTGCTGCAGCCGCGACTGCGGCCGCCGCTGGAGAAGGCCGCGTCCACGGAGAGCGACGACGGCGCCGCGTCCGCGGACACCGACAGCGACGACGAGGAGGACGCCGACGACGAGCACCGCGACCACGACGTGCTGGACAGGAACACCGGCAGCAACGCGTTCGTACTGCAGGTGCTGACGGACGACGAGGACGACGAGCTCGACGTCGTGGAAGGCGCGCCGCAGGACGTCCCGGACGCGCTGGACACGCCGCGGCGCACGGCGCGGAGGGTGCGCTTCGGAGGGGAGATCGTCAAGATGAGGACGCCGGACAGCGACGCCGCCGACCAGGCCGAGAGGGACGGCGACAGGAAGGAGCGCGAGAGAGAGGGCAGGGAGAGGGAGCGCGAGAGGGAGAGGGAAAGGCAACGGGAGAGGCAGAAAGAGAGAGAAGGGGAGGTGGAGCTTGAGATGGAGATGGAGAGACAACAGGAAAGGGAAACGAGCACCACCGAACCGGAAGTCGCAGCAGAGGAGAAGACAGAACGAGAGAGACTGCAACAACAACAAGAACAGCAACAGCAGCAACAGGAACAACAACATAGAGAAGAAGAAGAGAAACGGAATGAACAGCTTAGAGTCGAGGCGGCGTTTCAACAACAGCAACAACAACTTCAACAACAACAGCTTCAACTGCAACAGCAACAACAGCAGCAGGAGCTGGAGCAACGAATGCAGGATCAACAACAGTGGCTGTTGCAGCAGCAGCTCCAGGAGCAGCGTCTGCAGCTTCAACAACAACAGCAGCAGCAGCTGGCGGTGGAGTCCAAGAGGATCCAGCCCAAGGTGCGCTCCACGAGCCACATCCCGCTGCCGGTGGCCGCGCGCCGCCCCGCCCCCGCGCACCGCGGCCAGCTCGCCAACGGGCTGCGGCGGCCGGTCCCGGACACGGACAGGGACTCGGAGCCGCCGCGGTCGGCGCCGCTGCCCGCGCCGGTGCCGCGGTTCCGGCCCATCGAGCCCCTGCGGCCCTCCGGCCTGGGCCCCGGGCACGCGGCCACGACGCCGACCTCGCCGGCCGCGCCCCTCGACGTGGAGCGCTACGGCCAGCCCGACTCCAGCACCACGCACAAGTCGGGCAGGGCCTCGGGGAAGTGGGCGGAGGACGCGCCGGCCGGGCAGCCCGTCGCCCAGCCCGTCGCCCAGCCCGTCGCCCAGCCCGTCGCCCAGGGCCAGCCCGGCAGGGACTCCCCCATTCCCAACCTGGACGGCGGCGAGTCCCTCACGTGCTCCAGCAGCGAGAGCGACTTCCAGCAGCTGGTGGCGCGCGAGAAGGAGATCCTGGCCGCCGGCAAGGAGGTCGCTGGCATCGACAAGCACGTCATCGAGGACCTCGACAACAAGGTGAGTTCTGTTGCCTCGGAATCTTGCACTTCCTGTTTGATGCTCGGTGTTTTACCTCACTGTAACTTTTATATTTTCGTTTTATTTTTTATTATTTTTCACTGTGTATTCCGCTGCGGATGGCATGCCAAACCACGCCGCCCTGCCGCTCGGTGCGTCTCGTCCCTCGTGCGCGAGGCTGGCGCTGAAGGCTGGCGGCGAAGCTCGCCAATTTGGTGCGCGGACTCCACTTTACTTCCGCACTATACAGTGCACTGCCGTGGCACTGCGGTGCAATGTTTGCATTCTGCATTTAATTTGCAGTTACCGACGCAGTGACTGCGGCGGGCGGCCCTCGGGGCGGCCGCGACACGCACGGCAGCGTCCTGGCCGGCCTCCGTCTCTCTCGCACTCGCGGCTCGTGCATGTGCGAGGGAGACAGAGCGTCGGCCGCGTGGTGCGGCATCATTCGAGTCTACCGGGACATTACGCGCACAAAGCGAGCAGCAACGAAGCGCACCGGTCCACAGTGGGCCAGAAGACCGGCACAGCGGGCCAAAATTCTAGACGTGTTTTGAGCTCCAGAGTCGCTAAACAGGACTCGAACCGAAGGTGTGAACTCACCAACGGATTCCTCGTTCGGAGAGCAATCCATTGGTGGGGTCACACGTTCGGTTCGAGCCCCATTTAGCGACTCTGGAGCTCAAAAGCCGTCCGGGATTTTGACCGCCTCCACCGGTCTTCTGGCCCACTGTGGGGTCCGGGGCTCTGTCAGTGTTGTCGTCGCTCCGTCTCTCTCGCGCTCGCGGCGCTGACGGCAATCAATGGTGTTGTGGCTGTGTCGGTGTCACCGGCGACAATAACACGGCAGTCCGAGCAACAATCTGCCGACGATATGCTCGTCGCAGGGCTCAGAGCGCCGCCTTCGTCGCTCTGTCTCCCTCGCACCTAGGGACGCCTCACCAGTGCGAGAGAGACAGAGCGACGAACCGAGGCCAAGGGCGGCTCCGCCGCGGCGCGTCCAAGGCAAGGCAGGCCGAGGGCCTCTTCAAACACCGCCAGCACGTCGTCGCTCTGTCTCTCTCGCACCCCAACGGGGCGCCCCGCGAGTGCGAGAGAGACAGAGCGACGAGAACACTGTTCCGCGATCAGCCTGATGGCGTGGGCGACGGTCACTCCGTGAGGAGCCGTGAATGATTAATCGCATCCCTTCCGGTTGCCAAGTTGCCGCGTTGCCCCCCCCCCCTGCCCCCTAATCCCGTCTCCCCGCGGGGTGACCTTGAAAGGGTAGTAGCAGTGTGACGTCACCTCCTTGGCTGCACCGTCTGGGGCACCACCACGTGTGGAGCCCCCTGGGGGGTCGTCAGCTGTCGCACGGACAAGCCTTGCAATAATGCATGCCACCGATCGGCTGGCTCACATCCGTCTGTCCACCGTCCACCCACCCGTCTGACCTGTAGGCCCCAGTGGACTCTCGATTTCTGGCAGCTCCCTGCCTGTCTGTCTATCTTCCTGCTTTTCAAGTCGGATTTGGCATTTTTCAAAGCGCACTTGGAATTTTCCGACGCTTGAGCACGTGTGCGCCGGTTGGTAGAACGAATTGAACACAATTTGGTGGTGTGCTAGTCCCGCAATTTGTGCTTTGAGGCTTCACGCAGTTCAGTGAGCTAGGTCAGCGCGCCTGTGAGATCGAGGGTAGGCAACCCGCTTCCCTTCCGCGCACTGGGTTGCCTACACCGAACGTCGCAGGCGCTCCGCGTGCGCAGTCCGGGCGGAGAGACAGAGACGGAGAGGGGTGCACAGTAGCACGCTGCACGCTAAACGCATCGGAGGGGTGGGCCGACTACAATGTTGTGGGTGGCGGGTTCAGGAGTCACTGGCGGTCGCGGGGCGCAGCGGGGCGCGATCCTAGGCTGGGGAGGCCCCCCGAAAAAGGCAAGGGGTGGGGAAAGATTGGCAAACGCGGCGACGCGGCGACGCGGCCCCAAGACGGCGGGGCGGCCGTTGAGTCACGTCTCGCTGATGGGCGTAGAGCGTAGAGGGGCCGGCATGCGGGGTGTAGCACCCGCAGTACGACGCGGAAGGGGAGGGGCGCCTGTCCGTCTCTCTCGCACCCCCACGCGCCGTGAGAGAGAGAGAGAGAGAGAGAGAGAGAGAGAGAGAGAGAGAGAGAGAGAGAGAGAGAGAGAGAGAGAGAGAGAGAGAGAGAGAGAGAGAGCGAGAGAGAGACTATGGGCTGCCCCAGGTCGTGCGGCCACTGTAAATCACGGACGGGGCGCCGAAGGGCCAAGGGGCCCTGGCCTCTGGCCCCTCAGCCCTCCAGGCCTTATCAGTCCAACCCTAACCTACAAACGGAGAGCCGTGCAAGTGGGGCAGTTGAAAGGGAGTCTTCACCTGTGTGTGTGTGTGTGTGTGTGTGTGTGTGTGTGTGTGTGTGCGTGCGCGCGCCGTGTGTGCTTGTGTGTGTGTGTGCGCACGCGCATGAGTGAGTATTTGTTTATGTGTGTTTCGGCCGTAGGGGGCAGCGGATGGGTGGGTCGAAGGTTTGGTTGCGAAGTAAGAAACGACACAACACATCAATAGGTCAGTGTTAAGCTGGCGTGTCGTGTCAGGTGGACAAGCTGTACACACACAGGTGACGCTGCCCGCCCCGCCCCGCCCCACCCCGCCACGGGAAAAGGCGTTCTGGGTCCCAGGGGCTCGCGTGCGGTGGCCAGACGGGGCGGCACGTGTGATGAATATTTTTCAGATTCGGATTCAGACTCGGATGGGGTTGCTGACTGCTGACCACGCAGAACGAGCACTGCAGCCTGAACAGTTGCCGCTCGCTTTCTCTCTCGCACTCATGAGGGCGTCCCGCGCGGGTGCGAGAGAGAGAAAGAGAGACAGAGCGCTGTTAGGAAGCAGACGGTGCATTTAAATCTCCCCCTGCTGGGGCCCCACCGTCTAAATTCCCCGCGCTCAGGAACGTTAATGACTGTTGTGTATGCAGAAAAACCAGGCGGGTCGGACGGTCGGACACGCCGCCGTTTTTTATTTTTCGTAAAGTAAAGTATAAAGTAAAGTATAAAGTAAATTAAAGTAAAGTAAAGTAAAGTAAAGTAAAGTAAAGTAAAGTAAAGTAAAGTAAAGTAAAGTAAAGTAAAGTAAAGTAAAGTAAGTAAAGTAAGTAAAGTAAAGTAAAGTCCAGTCGGTTTGGTCGCCATTTCGGCCATTTGCGGCAACACTGCCCACAAACCAGATTGGTTAAACGCACACACCATGCATGCTGAAGAAAGGTCCAAAGACACCACCCCGTCGAGGGGGCACGATTAACCGGCCTGGATGGGGACGCAGCGGCCGCCCAAAGTCAGCCGAGAACACGATTCACTGACCGGTTTGGCCAACTTTGCGGCGAGGCTGTTCCCAAAGCAATCCGCCTAATCGCACCCCCTGGCACGCTAAAAGGAGGTCCAAAGACCACCGCCCCGCCGAGGTGGAGCCGCGGGAGAGGAAGGGGAGGGCGGAGGGGGGAGGAGACGCCGGGTTCAGGGGTCGGGTCGGAGGGGAAAGCGTCTCGACTCGAATCAATGCCCTACTTCCCAATGCACGCGACACATTCGCCCCCTCCACCCCTCGCTGCGCCAGCCTCGCCAGGCAGGCTCGCCGCACTATACACCAGTTTCTCCGGCCGGCGACACTATCTCGAGCTGCTGAGGCACCGGCGGCGCTGGAGGCGGCACGCCACTCTAAGGCCCGCTGGACTCTCCGACCAGCCAGCCAGCCACTGGAAAGCAATCGTTTGGTCCAGTGACACGCAATGATCCTTTGCTCTGAGTATCTTCAAGAAGGACAACTAAATGCAACAAACCAAAACAAATTACTTATGTTTTGTTTTGAATCTTTCTTCGATTTTGGTTTTCCAATGGAAAGGACCTTGGAACACAACAAGTGGATATCGTCATATGCGTTTCGAAGTCCCTCGGCTGGAGCTCCCAGGGCCTTGTTGGCGGCTTGCGGGTCCGAACAGCCATCTCGTCGCTCTGTCTCTCTCGCACTCGTGGGGCGTCCCGTCGGGGTGCGAGAGAGACAGAGAGAGACGCTCGGCAGGATGGCCCGGCCGGCGCCTCGTGCGCTTCCGCTGGCCGGCCTGAGGCCTGAGGCCCCACAACCCCCCGAGAGGCGTTTTCGTCGCTCTGTCTCTCTCGCACTCACGGGGCGTCCCGTATGGGTGCGAGAGAGACAGGGTGACTCTCGGAATCAGTCTGCAGGGTGTCAAGTGCCCGCCCCACCGCTAGCGTGCCGGCCGCCGGTCGGCGTAGCCAGGGCGTAGCGTCCGAGGCTCGGCCAGGACGTCAGGACGTCTCGCTCCGAACGGCGGCGCCTCGTCTCGCGGTCTCCCTCGCACCGCCGCGGACTAGTGCGGACGCCCCGCGGGCGCGAGAGAGACAGAGCGACGCAGGCGCGCCGTTCGGACGCAGTCCGCGGGCCGGACCTGCGATCGATGCGTTTCTTGAGAAAGCGGTGGGGAAGGTAAAGGTGCGGCAGGGGAAAAAGGGGGGGGGGGTGAAAAGGGTGCGCCGCCGGGTTGCACACCACACCTCCGAGCAATTCAGAACGAGCTCAATGGCAACGCCAAATTAAAAATTAATTTAATTTTTTTTATTTTGTAAACAACCCATTAAGGATGGATAATGTCGCGCGAAAAATCCGTTTCCCTGCCTGGGTCAATTCGTTTTCCCCGGCGGCCCGGCGGTGGTTCCGCAATGTCGTTCATCATCGGCTGTCCTGGCGACAACGCAGTGACATGGGACGTCTTCCCAGATGGCCTTGCCCAGGCCCTGGCGCCCTGCCCGAGGCCCTGCCGGCCTTGGCGTGCGTATTGTCGCGTCGCGGACGTTCACCCACCCCGTCCGCCCCGTGCGCTGCAGGCTGCCATGCGGACACGGCGGTGCACAGTGGGCCAGAAGACCGGTGGAGGCGGCCAAAACTCTAGACGCGTTTTGAGCTCCAGAGTCGCTAAACAGCAGCACTCGAACCGAGCGTGTGACCTCACCCATAGTTCGGAGAGCAATCCATTGGTTCGGTCCGAGTCCTATTTAGCGTCTAGAATTTTGGCCGCCTCCACCGGTCTTCTGGCCCACTGAGCGGTGCCGTCGCTGTCCTTGCACCCCTGCGACTGGCTGCATGAGTGCGACAGGGGCAGAGCGCCGTTTCGCAATCAGCCTGCTGCGCAGTACGACTGAGAGGGCACAGGGGACGTTCGGCCGGCCGGCCGGGCCTTAGCAAACACACACACTGGTAAAAAAAGAAAGCGTCTCATTTTTGCCGATGATTTGGAAGCCACTTTTCTCCTCGTATCAACATTCTATCGTCATTCAAGGTTCAGACCTTATTCCTTGCAGCACTGACGAAGTTCCTCCGTGAACCCCACATCCGATTACCCTTGAACTCGCTTGAACCCATCGCTATTTTATTTTTACACACTTTCACTGCGCCTACTTACCTGTTACACCCCCCTCCCCCCCCCCTCGCTAATTCCATCCCCAGCCGTCATTTTCCCCGGCTTCTCGCCCAAAGGCCGGGCCGGGCAGCCTGATTGGCAGTCCGCGCTCGCTGGTTCCGGAAGTGGGGCGGTGCGATTGGCGGATTGGCGCGGCCGCGGGGTGAAGGACCGCAAGGACCTGAAGGGCCCCAAGGACCTGCACTGCCAGGAAAGAAAAGAGAATCCGATCGAATCATCACGATCGCTGTCTTCATCGACACGTTCAATGTTTTCAAAAATTTCATTTTTTTTAAGAGCATACTAGCTTTTTTTGTAAGCTTAATTTTTTTTAAACATGCCTTGCAACGTTTAATCAAGGACCCTGTCGTCCAGTTCAATGAAAGAAAATCACGGTTCAAAAAACGGAAGTAACGAGGGCGATCGGGTGGCCTTGCGGGTCGATGGCCTTGGGCGGCCCGCCGCGGAAAGTGGAAAAGCCTGGGGAAAAGCGGAGAGCGAGTTCCGAACTTTGGTGCCCTCATGAAAAGCGCGTCGCGCTCGGCCTGCCTGCACCTTGAAACTTGAAAGCGAAAGGCCCGAAGGGGGTGGCAGGGGGCGGCGCGAGTGACATGATAGTGACCTTGGGGGAGGGGGGCGTGTGTTGTCACTGGCCGCTCGGGGCTGGAGGCGAGGGGTCTCGCTCGCTGTCTCCACACGTTATCTTCATGCAGCCTAACCTAACCTAATTTTCGTGCGGCAGGAGGACTGGCGGCTGCAGGCGGCCGCCTTGGACCGGCTGACGGCGCAGCTGCCGCAGCTGCTGCAGTTGCCGGCGGCGGAGGGCGCGGCGTCCGCCACGTCGCTGCTGCGCCTGCTGGTGACCGTCCTCGCCGAGGACCGGCACGCCAGGACGACGGCGACGTGCTTGGCCACCATCAGGGCGCTGCTGGAGCAGCAGGCGGCGGGCCAGGGCCAGGGCCGCGACGCGGTGCTGCCCGTGCTGGGCGTGCTGGTGCCCGCCGTGTGCCGCCGCGTGGGCGGCTGCAGCCCCATGCCCGTCAAGTTGGAGGCCGTACAGACCGCCAGGGCGCTGGTCAAGTGCGTGCGCCCCGGCCCCGTCGTCGACGGCCTGCTCACCGCGGCCTGCATCGGCGCCAAGAGCTCCAAGGCAAGGCCTGGCAAGGCGGCACACAGTGGATTTGCCAGAAGACTGGTGGAGGCGGTCGAAACTCTAGACGCCTTTTGAGCTCCAGAGTCGCTAAGCAGGACTCGAACCGAATGTGTGACCCCACCGATGGATTCCTCGTTCGAAGAGTAACCCGTTGGCGGGGTCGCACGCTCGGTTCGAGTCCCCTATAGCGGCTCTGGAGCTCAACAAGCGTCTAGAGTTTCGACCGCCTCCAACGCTCTTCTGGCCCACTGTGAAAGCTACGAGCTCCGCGGCCTTCTGTCTCCCTCACACCCACGCTCTTTGCAGATGCGGGAGTGCTCGCTGCTGCTCCTTATGTACGTGGCCATGACGTTCCCCAGCGTGGAGCTGGACGGCCGCTGGGCCAGGGTGTGCGCCAGGGTGGCCCTCGCGGCCCGCGACCCCCGCCGCAGGGTGCGGCAGGGCGCCCTGGACGCGCTGGCCGTGCTGGCGCAGTTCATGTCGTCTCAGCAGATGTCCACCGCCCTGCGCCACGCCGCCAGCAAGCAGGTAAAGGGAGAGGGGGCGCATCGAGTGGATGGGGTTCAACGGGTTTCATGTAGGGTCCCTCTTTCTTCCGAAACGAAAGACTTCGACCGGCAGCGGGAGGTGCAAAGAAACACACTGGCATAACAAATGGCGGGCGTGAGAAAGAAGATGTGTTTTGCAATTACGGGCTGATGGGCAGGTAGGAGGGGGAGGGGAGGGGGAGTGTGGTCTTGAGAAGCAATAAGGCCCTCCCGCCAAGGCCGAGGTCATACAAAGGGGACCCGGGCAGAATGGATGCAGCCGTTTTCATTCACCCCCCCCCCCCAACCCCCCTCTATGTGGGGACGGCAATTTCACCGATTGCAAAGAAGGCGGGGCGTTCCCACCATTAGACGACAAACGCAACGCGAAGACGGCTTTTTCTTCTTCCACGCGTTTTGAAGTCGCGCGTTCCATTCTTCGCCGAAACGACAGTGGCGGGAACGGGGTGACTGCAGAGACCTGAACGCAATAGGGTATTTCCGCGACTCTTGAAACGGAAGGAAGAAGAACACAAGTAAGTGCACAACTTCGGTCCCCTCGCCTGAGGAGGGGGTCCAAGGGGCAGCCATCTTTACCCCTTCCTCAGGCGAGGGGACGGAAGTTGTGCTCTTACTTGTGTTCTTCTTCCTTCCGTTTTAAGAGTCGCGGAATACCCTATGAGCGCGGACACGGCCGAAGTGGGATTCACTGGCTTGTCTTTCCGCAGTCCAGCCCGATGGCGACCGACGCCTACCTGGCCGCGGTGCAGGCCCGCCTCGCCCGGCGCCTGCTCCCCACCGTGGCCGCCAACGGACTCATCCTGTACGCTCTGCAGCTGCCGGCCAACGGGTACCGATCGCCGCACCACCCCTCGGGTAAGCGCCACTCGCCACTCCATCCTCGACGTCGTTGTTGTTGTTTGTTTCTTTGTTTCGTTTTTGAAGTTGGCGGAGAGAGCGTATGGAAAGGCCCAGCAGACTGATTCCGAGGAGTTGCTGTCGTCGCTCTGTCTCTCCCGCACACACACGGGTCGCACATGAGTGCGAGAGAGACAGAGCGACGAAAACCACTCTCGGCATAAGTCCGCTGGCCGGCCGGCCGAACACAGCCGTTGTTTTGCCTGCTTGTGCAAACAAGGGCCGTGATTGGCCGCGATGGGCCGCGTGGCGATACCCCGTGCGCCCTGCGGCCCGCACGCGAGGGGTAGTTGTGCGCGGGGCGCAAGGGGTATCGCCGCAGGCATTGATTGGCTGCCTTTGTGCTCCCGCTTCCGCAGGGCCGGACGTTGACTGGATCATGGCCGGCTCCGGCTTCCTGTCTTCCGGGTCGGCGCGCAGTCGGGAGCAGCTGGCCGACCCCATGAGGTGAGTGAAGCGCCAGGCAGCCCCCCGCAGTGGGCCAGACGACCGGTGGAGGCGGCCAAAACTCTGGACGCGTTTTGAGCTCCAGAGTCGCTGGATGGGACTCGGACTGAACGTGTGACCTCATCAATGGATTGATCTCCGAACGAGGAATCCATTGGTTGGGTCACACTCTCGGTTCGAGTCCTGCTTAGCGACTCGGAGCTCAAAACGCGTCCAGAGTTTTGGCCGCCTCCACCGGTTCAACCCCAGTTTAAATTTTCCTCGCTGCCTGTTCTGACTGTTCTTCGGCGTTGCAGGGAGGCCGCGGGACGGCTGAGCGTCCGCCCGGGCAACCCCTGGACGGACCGACGCTGGGATGCACCGCCGCCGCCGCTGCCCGCCCCCACACCCCACCCCCACCGCGTGCAAGCCGTTCAGGTGAGCCCAGCCCGGCGATACCCCGTGCCGTGCCGGCCGCGGTACGTGGCGATACCCCGCGTGGCGCTCACGCGTCCTTGACAGCGACTGTCAATACGCGGGGGGGACCCGGACGCCGGACGGGGTGAACGGACTTGACTCGTTCCTACACTGTAGGGACTGTAGTCAGTAGACACGTCATTGTGTGTGAGGGGGCGACCACCCCTCACTAAAAATTGTTGACTTCACTCTCCGCGCGAATGTCCAGGGAAACTCCACAGCGCGCCTCTCTTAGTACCCGCCAACCTGTTGTTGTTTGCTCTGTCCTAGTGTTGTTGTTTTTGGTGCGTAATTTGTTCGCGCGTCGACGCGATGCGCTAGGCACCCCCGTGGCTTGGGAGTCTCGCAGGTCGAGCCGAGTGCTGCCTTGCAGTGCCTTGGCGTGTTGGCGTGCGCAGAGGAGTGCACGGGTGGAGCTCACGCGTCCACCGTGTGTTCCTTGCCGTCAACGCGCGTGACCCTCGGCGAAACCAAGTACCCGTTTCAATCCCAGTTTCCTGCTGGGAACTACTGTGCCATCATAATTCAATTTTCTTTTTGGTTCAAAGAAAGACGTTAACTTATCCTAAATTCAGACAGCAAAAGGAGCCCGCAAGGCGTAATCTCAAGGAATCTGAATACGAATCGAGCTCTTTTCCTCGCGTTCGTTCTTTTATTGGCTCCTTGATTCTCGTTTTATGTCGACCTCGTCGATAAGGCTGCACTCTCCGCCGGACCCGCCCGTACCGTGTTTCGCCGCCGTCTCTCTCGCACTCCCACGGACCCCCGGCCCGGCCCACGAGTGCGAGAGAGACGGATGCAAAGGGCGTCGCCATTGATTCACTCGCCTCACTTCGCCTCGCTTTGGTGCGGTTTGCGTGGCTTCCAGAGTGTGTCGCGTGCGCCGCCGCCTCATTGCGAGCAGTCGTTTCGTCGCTCCGTCTTCGTCGCACTCGTGGGGCCGCCCATAGGGGTGAGAGAGAGACAGGCGACGAAACGGACCTCCGGCAGGCGGAGTCCGAACCGAACCGCTAGCAGCGGCCGGCAGCGGCTGGTCGACCCGACTGGCTAAAGGGCTTGCCTTTTTTCGTCCCACCTCGAGGCCGGCGGTTCCGTGCAGCAGGATCAAAGCACCAAGCGCCCTACAGTGCGGAGCCGACGGCCAAAATTCTAGACGCGTTTTGAGCTCCAGAGTAGCTAAACAGGACTCGAACCGAACCGAACCCCGCCACTGGATTGTTCTCCGAACGATGAATCCATTGGTGGGGTCACACGTTCGGTTCGAGGCCTATTTAATGACTCTGGAGCTCAAAGCGCGTCTAGAATTTTGGCCGCGTCCACCGGTCTTCTGGCCCACTGTACGCCCTGGCCGCTGTGACGCGGGGCGGCGGGATGCGTGCGTCGCCGTGGCCGATCGGGGGGCTGCGGGGGCCTCGCTGGGAGGGGGGGGGGGCGCTCTCGGCCGCGGTGTAGTGGCAGCACGTCATTGATTGCCGCGCTGCCCCGCGACAAGCTGGCCGCGCGTTCGGCCCGTTGGGCCCGTTGGGCCGTTCGGCCGGCATGCGCGCCGCGCCGCCCGTCCACGTCGCCGTCGCGGAGGTTAGGTTGCGGGAAACGCCCCGGCGGCACTCCGACGACGCGAGCCCGCGGTAGCCGCGTCTCGCGCGCACCATGCTGCTGTGCCGGATCGTCGGCTACCGCCCCATGCTGTACGCCACCAACAAGGTGAGCCTGTGAGCCGCGGGGCGGGCCGGGGCGGGCCGGGGCCAGCGGCCAGGGGACGGGCCGAGCGCCCGCGAAGTCTTGGGTAGGCAACCCGACGGCAGCCGGGCGGGGCGGGCGGCCTACCCTCGCTGCCACAGGCGCGCTGATGCCGATTCGGCGCACCACGGGCCAGAAGAACGGTGGAATGGAGGCGGCCAAAACTCTCGACGCGTTTTGAGCTCCAGAGTCGCTAAACGGGACTCGAACCGAACGTGTGACCCCACCAAGGGATTGCTCTCCGAACGAGGAATCCTTTGGTGGGGTCACACGTTCGGTCCGTTTAGTACGAGGCTACGCTTGTTGTTCCGATCTATCTCAGTAAGTTCTTCGGCAAGAAAATGACTTGGCAATGCCCTCCTTCCAGGACGACCAGCGTCCGCGAGTCCCTCCAGGCGGGGCGCAGGGTCCCGGAGCCGCCACCGGCACGCCGTACTGGGGCCCGGTGGACAACAACGACCACGTCTTCTTCTCCTCTTACGGTGAGCCCCTCTCTCATGTCCAACATTGTTTCACTTTTAGAGAGTGCGTCTGTGTTGATGTGCGTGTGAATGCGAGGACGATATTTACTTAAGAGTGTGTGGGGGAGGGGGGCGTTTGTGTGGTGTGAAGGAACATTGAGCATTATGGCGTTGACGTGTAAGTTCGTGTGTGTGTGCGCGCACACACACAATGTGGGTCGCGCCTGTGTTTGTGAATGCACTGCATGCGAGTGTGTGGGTGAGTCACAAGGTGTATGCATGCAATCCCCCCACCCCCACCCCCTCCCCTCCCTCAAGCTCACCGCCCACTCTCACCGGCTGTACATCCATCTCTTCGACGTGCGCTAGCAGCAGGGCTAGCAGGGCTAGCAGGGCTAGCAGGAGCTCCTCCAAGACCCCCATATGTAAACAAGTTACGACGTCCTGGGCCTTCCGGGTAAACTCGACAAAAAAATATTTTTTTTTAAAGTTCCTGTCCCGAGTCCTATCCTTAGAAAATGGGATAGCGACAAGTGAATGCTCTTGAAAAACATTCAGACCACACGTTGTCCCATTTTCTAGGAACACGATCGAATATTTTTCTGGGTGAGGCCATCCGATCATTAAATCAGCAACTGTTGAGACTTTTCGTCGCCGCTACTCGGGGGCACGCGGGATCGAAGCAGGTCGATGTCACGAATTTTGTATAATATTGTCTCCACGGAATTGGGCGCTTGAAGGGCCGGCCGAGGGAATATGGAACTAACCGTCCCCGACGGACGGGAATGAGGGCAGCGCCGTCGAAGCGGTGCACGCTGTCCGCTGCCCTGTCCAGCCTGTCCCTGGACAGCCCGACAGGTTAACGAGGGGTATCGGATGACCGGCCGGCAAAGTGATACATGCAGATGGTATCTAATTGGGTCATCCGGTGACCCGGCCCCTGGGGGGCGGGGCGGGGTGGAGCGGGGCGGGGCAGGGCGTGGACCTTCCCATCGCGGTTCGGTCGGTGCAGTCGCAAGCTTTGTGCTGATGGAAAGTCAGTCTGTGTTCGGTTGGCAAGGCGTGCGATCCGAAGTCATTTCTCGGCTGTGTTGGCAGGCATGGCTCCGGGCGGCGCGCGGCAGCCCCTCTACTACCGTGTGGCCCACGACCCCCTCGACCCCCACTACACGCAGCAGGCGGAGAGAGGCAAGTACTACGTTAGTCACACGCCCCGAGGGCCAAGAGCGTTTTCTTCAGGGAACCTTCATTTTGGCAGTGGGGTCATGATAAATTTTGGCCACCATTCATGGGTCGAGTCGGAAAAGGTTGTGATTGTCTGTAGAAGCTTGCATGTAGTCAAAATACTTGTTGTTTATTTTTTTGTTTCTTGGTGTTCCTTGCTTGATCTGAGATTTCTCTGCGCAGGCTTCTCGCTGCTGCACCCCAGCAGGGTGCACCCCTTCGTGTACCCATACCCCTACTACCCCTACGCCTATCCCTTCCACCACCACCACCACGCCAACGGCAACCTGGACCTCCACGCGGCGCACGCCGAACACCTCAGCCAGACGTGGCCGCCGAGGGGCGTGGCGGGGGCGGACGACCGCGCGCCGCCCCCGCCCTACAGCACCGCCCCCGGCGCCGCCCCCGTCGCGCCACTGCCGCGGGTTTTGAGCTCGCCCACCAACCGCAAGGGCAGACGTATGCTCGACCCGCTGCCGCACTCCTCCGGTAAGTTGCTAGTGATTTCTCATACCGGACTCAAGGGTTTCAGCATTCCTCTGGCGCACAGTGGGCCAGAAGACCGGTGCAGCCGGACAAAACTCTAGACGCGTTCTGAGCTCAGGGTCGCTGAACAGGACTCGAACCGAACGTGTGACCCCCCCCCCCAATGGATCCCTCGTTCGGAGAGTAATCCATTGGCGGGGTCACGCGTACGGTTCGAGTCCCATTTAGCGACTCTGGAGCTCAAAACGCGTCTTTCGGGCGCCTCGACCAGACTTCTGGCCCACTGTGTGACGGTTGCTGCTACCAGAACCACGAGACCGCCTTGCAACCAGCTGAACCTCTCCCCGTTCCTGAGACAAGGGACCCGGGAGTATCGAAATGGAAGTGACGAACCGGGCCGGCCTTCCCCTGCGTTCAGGTTCCGCCTCGGTGCAGTCGCGGAGTAGCGCCGGCGCGGGCGGCAGCGACGCCAGCGCTTCCGAGAACCGCCACAAGATGCCGCCACTGCCGACGGCCAACGGCGTCGACCACCACCACTACCACCACATGCAGGTAAGCGGCACCGGCACCCCTCGGGGTTCAACAGGCGTTAGGGGGATCGGTGATCGCCTTGACGGGGTGGCGGGTGCGGGTGCTGTGCCCAGGGTGAGGTAAGGGTGAGGGCCCACTCTCCTCACCGTCCGAGTGTTCGGCCTGAGGGTGGGGAGAGGGAGAGGGCCGAGGAAGAGCGTTTACTTGGGCCATAAAAGATTAACGGCTCCGATCGCGTGAGTCGGCTCGGCCGTCACGGCCGAAGCTGACCCGACCCATCTTGCCCCGCACCGCGCACCGCCCAGAGCCTTTCGAGGCGCTCAATTATTTGTGCGTCAAAGACGTCGAAGACCGGTCTGGCTGCCGTGGGCTGCCCTGGGCCCTGGGGCCGAGATTGCAGGCTAGCAGTAGACCGATTACGAGTCGTTTTAGTCGCTCTGTCTCTCTCGCACACACCGTGCTCGCACCAATACGGGACGCCCCGGAGTGCGAGCGCGACAGACCGACGAAAACAACCCTATCTGCTCAGCGTTTCGTCGCTCTCTCCCTCCTTCACAGTACGAGTGCGATCAGAGAGAGACAAGAACTGCCCCTTTCTTGCAGAACGGCTCTGGGGAGCGAATCGTCGCCGACGACGCGTCCTCGAGAGCCGTCGTGGTGCCCAGGAACGGCGTGGGCGGCAGCAACAGCAGCAGCTGCAGCAGCAACGCCACCAAGGACTCCAGGGACGCCAGGCCGCTGCATCGCGGCCAGGCCGTCCGCCCCGCCGCCCCCAACCGCGCGCCGCCCCCGGGCCGCCTCGCCGCCCCCAGAGCCTCCGCGCTCGGGGCGGCCGAGCACCCGCCCCCGGGAGGACAGGCGCCGCCGCCGTCCGTCGTCGACTCGAGGTAAGAGGGTCTCGTTCGGCGTGGTCGCGGAGGCATCGATGGTGGTCGATGTCCGAGCGGGCAGGTGCGGGACGCACAGTGGGCCAGAAGACCGGGTGGAGGCGGCCAAAACTCTAGAAGCGTTTTGAGCTCCAGAGTCGCTAAATAGGACTCGAACCGAACGTGTGACCCAATCAATGGATTCCTTGTTCGGAGAGCAATCCGTTGGTGGGGTCACACGTTCGGTTCAAGTCCTGTTTAACGACTCTGGAGCTCGAAACGCGTCTAGAATTTTAGCCGCCTCCACCAATCTGCTGGCCCACTGTGGAACGCGCCTAATGCTCTGCCTGACCCACTTGGCGGGGCAGCGCCGGGGAAGGGTGCATCGATGCGCGTGCATGATTGAAGCCGCGACCGCATTCCTCTCCGTCAGCAGTCCGTCTCTCTCGCACCCCTACTCGGCTTACGGACGCCTGCGTACGCGAGAGAGACGGCAGCCATTATTGGCAGTCCCCCCGGACCTGTTGTGCGCGACGGCAATATTCTCAGTGCTCTGCCCTTAAACACGAAGCACGCCACCGCACAGTGGGCCAGAAGACCGGCGCAGGCGACTGAAACTCTTGACGCGTTTTGAGTTCTAGAGTCGCTAAATGGGACTTAAACCGAACGTGTGACCCCACCAACGGATTCCTCGTTCGGAGAGCAATCCAATCCGTTCGATTCGAGCCTCAGCGACTCTAGAGCTCAAAACGCGTCTCACCGGTCTTCTGGCCCACTGTGCAACGTGCCTTGATGACTTTCACGAGGGGCCTTGTCGGGGCCGCTCGACCTTGGAACAAGATTTCTCGTACGTGTGTTTGTCTGTCTGTGTACCTGTCCGCGGCGTGTTGGTGTGTCCGTGCCTGTGCGCGTGAAGTGCCCGAAAGCCGGCCTGGAACGATTTCACGCCCTCCCTCCACCCTTGCCATTGATTTCCGGTTCGATTCGGCCCCCCGGGGCCACGCCAGTGGTTGTCCGGCCTGAGCCTGACCTGCCCCAACACGACAGCGTCGCGCTGTTGGCGGCCGGGCGCCCCCCGCGGCCCCCTGGCCGGGCTGGCCGAGGCCCTGGCCGCCACCCTTGGGGGGCCGCCGTCTCTTCACCCCCCCCCTCTTTATGAACCCCAAAGGTCACCGCGTTGACCTGTGTGGGCGGCAGCGCGCCTCCAGGAAGCCACAACATCGTTTTCTAGTGCCGCCCCAATCACTCATCGAAAAAGAGGAGGGACAATGCGGCTGCTTCGGCCTTCGCCCGCTCCGGCAAGCAGTTGGTCGGTCGGTCGGTCTTCCCTGCCGCTGGGGCAGAAAGCTACTCGTAGTTGTTGCTTGCCCGGCTCTGCAAAACGGAGCACGCCGCGAGGCCACTGGACTTGACGGTCTCTCTCAGTGCCTACGCTGCATTTCTCGAATGTTGCAAAGGACGGGGTTTCGTGTTGTGACTTGAACGCACGCCGCTGCTGCTGCATGCATACCCCGCGGGCTTTCTTCCGTCGAGTACAGCCACGTTAGTAGGAGGGAAGCCTCCGTGAACCACCAGTTTCGAAAAGGTTGGCAACCTAAGTCTGGCTGCTCGGCCGCGGGTGGCAACCCTCACTCCGAGAAGGCGTTGAGCGGGAAGTAGTCGTCGTAGCGGGCGGACGGCACCACGGCCTGCGGACACGAGAGACGTTTCCGTCGGTCCATCTCTCTCGCACCTCAACGATTCCACGAGACGCCGCAAGAGAGCGAGAGAGACAGCCCGCTGGCGGACTCACAGGGATCTCGGCGAATCGCGCCGAACACTTGCGGTGCTCGCGGATCATGGCCCTGAGCGCGTGCAGCTGCCGCCCGGCGGGGACCACCAGCGAGGACGTCATCTGTGGGGCATGCCGTCAGACGAGCGTGACGTCACACTGGTGGCTTTTACAGTGAAGAGCCCGTGGGCGCGCTCCGCACGTGTTGGTGCCGCTGGTGCTCCTCCTCGTAACGCCGCCGGTCGCGCTCGCTCTGCCTGGCGCGGTCCTGGTGCTGCGGGGCATGTCAGTTAGACGGCACAGTGGATTTGCCAGAAGATCGGTAGGCGGCCACAACTCGAGACGCGTTTTGAGCTGCAGAGTCGCCAAATGGGACTCGAACTGAGCGTGTGACCCCACCAATGAATTGCTCTCCGAGCGAGGAATCCATGGGTGGGGTCACACGTTCGGTCCGAGTCCTGTTTAGTGACTCTGGACCGCGCGTCTACACTGGACGAACCACGTACCCGCTGCAGCGCGGCCCAGGTGGCGTCGGCCGCCTCCCGCGCCCGCCGCTGCACGCCGGCGCGCCACTCGGCGCTGCCCAGGTTGTCCGCCACGCACCTGCCGCCACGTCGCTCTGTCTCTCTCGCACCCCTGCGGAACGCCCCACGAGTGCGGGAGAGACAGAGCCTGCTGAAAAATCGACCAAAACGTCAAAATCCTGGCCGGGCTGTACCTCTCCCCGATCTGCGCCGCGCGGGCCCCCACGTTGCCGGCGAGGTGAGCGATCTGGCGGCCGCTGAGGACGGCCGCGTCCACCAGGAAGGCTGCCTTCTTGTCGGCCGGCGGCGTGGACGTCAGGAAGTCCTCCATCGCGGCGGGGGACGTCGGGTGGACCACCCTCGCGGCGACGGACTTGGCCGCGCGCCAGACCAGGGCGTCTGTCTCGTCGATCTGTGGGCTGATTCCGATCCACTGTCTCTCTCGCACTCGCGGGGCTGCTAACCCTTCGCTCAGTGGGCCAGAAGACCGGTGGAGGCGGCCTCGAACCAAACGTGTGACCCCACCAATGAGTTCCTCGTTCGGAGATTAATCCATCGGTGGGGTCACACGTTCGGTTCGTGTCCCATTGAGTCACTCTGGAGCTCAAAACGCTTCTGGGAGTTTGATGGCCTCCACCGGTGTTCTGTGGCCCACTGTGCATCGAGGTGTACAAGTACTGTAGTACCTCTGCGGTATGGCGGTGCGTGGCAGCAGCCCGCACAGCCCCAGAGCCGCCCTCGTCCACCCCATGGCTGCCCCGGGCGCCGCCTGTAGAGAACACGAACATGATGGGCTAGACAGCAGTCTGCGATGTAGCGAAAGCGAAGCATTTCCACGATGCTTCCAGGTAGAGCCGCACCTTGTCACATTAAAATAAAATAATCGGTGGGCGGTCTAAAAACTAAAGCAAAAACAAGGTCATTTTTAACGTGCGGAAAGTGAACACGTGGCGGTGCTCCAGCCCCCATTGTTGCATGAACGCATTGTCGCAATTTCGCCCTCAATTCGTCGGACATTGTATTTTCGGCTCGCATTCACGTTCCTCGATCACGCCCCGAACGACGTTGACGCACGGCGCAGCAGCGCGGGGAGCCGTCGGCCTGTCTCTCTCGCACCCACACGGGACGCCCCGCCTCTCGGAGTCAGCCCGCGGGGAACCGGGGAACGAGGGAACCGCCTCGAAAAGCCGCATAAAGGCGGCGGCGCGATGAAGGCCGAGGCCGAAGTGCCGAAGTGCCCCTCGGAGGGATCGACACCTTTTATGTCAGACTGTCCGCGACGGCGCCGCCATCTATCACACGGTCAAGGTCACGGTGTGGCGCCGCAACGCGGCCCACAGTGGGCCAGAAGACCGTTGGAGGCAGCCGAAATTCTGAATGCGTTTTGAGCTCCAGAGTCGCTAAATGGGACTTGAACCGAACGTGTGACCCCACCAATGAATTGCTCCTCGAACGAGGTATCCATTGGTGGGGTCACACGCTCGGTTCGAGTCCTGTTTAGCGACTCTGGAGCTCAATAAGCGTCTAAAGTTTTGGCCGCCCACTGTGCGCCGTGTGGAGGGAATGGACACTCTGCGCCTAAAACACTTCCTTTCGTTTACCTACGCGGCAACGTAAGGTTTACGGCTTCGCCAAAGCACGGCGCGAAATGGCGCGTCCCGACCGGCCGGCCGGCCAGGCGGGACTAAAGCGCCCCATCAGCGCGTTCAATTTATTAGCTGGAAAGGTGGAGGGGGGGGGGCGGTGAAAGATTACCGGGCTACCCCCGACGCCGTGGCTCGGTACCTCCACTCTATGCAACCCTCGGGAAATCCCCCGCCTATTCCAGCAAGGCGAGGCGCGGCAAATTCGAACACCGCAAGGAGTCACGGCGACGGTCACGGTGACTCACTGTCAGGCAGGCAGCCGGCCGCCGCAAGTTTGTTGTTATCAGCAGGACGGCGGAAACGGGTAGGGGGTGGGGGTGGGGGTAGGGACGCCGCCGGCCGCCCGGCCGCCCCTCGCGCTGGCCTAGGCGCGGCGTTGTCCAGCCGCGGTTCGCGGGTTCGCCGCGCCGCCGCCTGGAGGGCGCCACTGCGGCGGCCGGGCCAGGGCGGCCGGGGCGGCCAGCCTGGACGTCGTCCTTCGGCGTCGCGACGCCCAGTGCCCCCAGTGCCGGTGTCCGGGCAGCGCGTGGCGCGTGGCGGCGTAGCGTGGTCGAAGCGACCGCAGGTGAACCGCTCCGGGTCAACGGCGTGGTCGCGGCGGCAGGGGGTGTGAAGCCCCCGGCGGACTGTTCAGCGCGCAGCTCGTCCTGGAGCCATGTGAGCCGATGGTGCTGGCGCAGGGCCGCGCCGCCAGCAAGGATGGCGAGGACAACAACAACAACGCCAGCCTGCCGGCCGCCGCCGTGGAGTTCCGCGACGAGGACGACGAGGACGGCGAGGACGCCGCCGGCGGCCGTTGCTGCTGCTGGTTCGGCGGCCGCGGCGGCCGCCGGTCTTCCAGAGTCAGCCCCGAGGGCTCCTCCAGCTGGCCGAGCACGGAGGTCGCCGTCAAGGGCACGGAGCGCTACCTTCAGCTCGACGACGCGCGCCCCCTCACGGAGATCCTCACGCTGGACAGTCTCGAGTCCTGCAGGTGCGACCGCGGCGCGGTGGGCTGTGCGAGGTGGATTGGACGGTTGGATGGAGGGAGTGCCCAGGGTTTCTTCCACGCGAGCTCACAAGTTTTACTGAACGAGCCGTAGAGTGACGCACACCGGTACTTGCCCGCAGCCAGTCACCCGCAGCCCACGGCCGGGCGATTCCGCCGCTTGACGTTGTCTTCGCTCCATCTCTCTCGCACTCATGACGAATGCCGAGTAAGCGCGTGAGAGATAGAGCGATGCAACACTGTTTATTCGGAGTCAGTCTACAGGTGCGCGTCGCGGGCGGCGTGACACCCGGCACCGTACTGTCGTGCGATTCAAGAGAGTCGTTTCGCCACTCCGTCTCTCTCGCACTCGTGGGGCTCTCCTTTAGGGTGCGGGAGAGACAGGGCGGTAAACCGTTCTTCTGAATCACGTGTCAAAGTTCGCCAAGACGGCGTAGTATTAGTACTCGCAGGGTTGCCGGCGCCTTCCGCGAACAATCGTCCGAGAGTAAACAGTGCGAGTTGTGCACGTCACATCGGTGTCTCCCTCGCACCCATGCGGCTTGCCGAAAGGGTGCGAGAGAGAGCGAGGAAGAAAGAAAGCCGACCGCGAGCCATCGACCGCGTGGCCATTCACAAGTTCGACGCCGTGCACCGTCGCCAGCGTGCGCGAGCGTGCGCGAGCTGCCGTGCGTTGCGTTCGGTCGCCAAGAACGCGTGCGTAGCAGCGGCACATCGATTACACCGCCGGCGGGCTCGCTCCGAACGGCGCATTCGTCGCGCTGTCTCTCTCGCACTCATGGGGCGTACCGGGCGCGCGCGAGAGAGACGGCGCTCTTTTCGGAAAGGCTCGCCGCGCCGCGCGGAGTGCGGTGCGGGTGTCCTGCTCGCCACGCCGCACTAGAAACTGGTGTATACTGTGCGTCTGGAAATACAGTATAGCCGCGGACGACACCAACCCAGTGCAGTACCCGTTATATTTGCTTTGTCTTTTCATCCGGTGCGGTCGATTCTCGTGACCCACTCCGCCATCCGATGGCCGATGGCCGAACCATTCCGATAGGATGCAGAATGCACGCCACTGCGCGACCCAGAAAATGCACGACCTTCTGTCAAATTGTCCCATTTTTTGGACTGATTCTCTTTAGACAGAGCGCGTAAGTGCAAGCCCATCCTGTCCACCTCTTCGTCGGCGCCAGTCAGCGGCTGAGGAGGTGTCCGATGGACTCCCGCGACCGCTAAAAAACAAATCAGTGGTTTCTTGTCGCGTTTTGCCTTGGGCCTCCTCTGGCACGCAACTGGTAGCCGCCGTGTGTACTACTTCAAATTGGATTCCATGATTCCGTGGAGCGAGACAGGCCCGACAGGCCGACTCCGGGCGGCGGTCTCGTCGACCTGTCTCTCTCGCACCCTCCCGGAACGCCCCGCGAGTGCGAGAGAGACAGAGGAATCAGTATGCAAGGGTCAGCGCAGAGACCCTTATGGAAGTAGGCCACCGAAGCGAAGGGGTGGGGGTGCTGGACTGGAAAGGAGGTCGCGGTGGAACACGCCTGCCGTCGGGGCGGTCCGAGCCCTGGGTATCTCTCGGTCTCTCTCGCACTCGTGCGGCGCTCCGATGAGTGCGAGAGAGACAGGCCGACAGACCCCGCTCGGAAGCAGCTGTCTGAACAGCCACTCCAGACGGCACGCGTGTCTTGGCCCGACTTGGGCCCCAACGAGGTCGTCTTGCGTCTCGGCCGCCTCCGCACAGCAGCGTAGCGTTTCGTCGCTCTGTCTCTCTCGCATCCATGCGGTCCACCCTGTGAGTGCAAGAGAGACAGCGGGACCTTCTTCGCCTCCTTTCGGCGCAAGTCATTCCCTCCCTGCTGTAGGGGCTGCCAGCCTTCCCGGAGCGCACTGTACGACGGCATGGTGTCAGAGGGGTTGCCTACAGCCCCGGCGGCGTCGCCAGAGTCGTCGCTCTGAGGGGTTGCCTGCCCAGTCCGTCAATCTAGGCAGGCCGGGCAGGCCGACAGTAGCGCCCCTGGCGGCTGCGTTCACCATTTGTTCTGGAACAACCGATCAGCCCGACCCACGCCGCCCGAGCGCCGGCCTGCAGCCCCATTTGACAACTTCTCACTTTGGTGTTTTGAAATCATGTCCAAACTGATATATGAATGTGGAGTGAAAGTGACAGTGCGGAAGAAAAAGTGCTGCTCGAGTTGGTCCGTGTACGAGATGGAACAACTGGGTGAATCGTGGAATCCAACCCTGGAAGATGTTACCCTTGCCCTATTAACCTGTAACACGATAGAGACGGAATCAGCCAAGCTGTCAGAAAATAAGAGGATTTGCACTTAAATGTAGAGTGAGTGAGTACCTTTGTTCTCCGTATGTTTCTGTGAGTGCTGCAACTTGCCATCCACTTTGGTAAGCTTAGTCCGGTCGCAGCATGTGGCTTTTTGTTGAACATGCTGACCATTCACATAATGTTATCTTGGCAAATGGTTTTAGACCAGAATCAAATACCTATGATGATTCGAGGTATTTGTACTGTTATTGGCCGAGTTCCTCGTCTCTTGGGAATGAGAGACCTCTTGTTCGAATGAAGCCTAAATCACTGCGTAAAAGTCATCAAATCCAAACAAATGAAATTGATATGACTTCGTTAGTCTGGATTTGGCTATTATTTCATGACAACAGCATAAGAATTTCATCGGCACTTTATGTTCCGTTGCTGGAAAACTGTTCTCCCATTTATTTTAGAATTAGCATTTCCTTATTCTTCTATTTCATCCATGGTTGGTTGCATTCCCCATCAAATCACTTTTTAAAACAATTAGATTTTCCCCATCCCTCCGAAAGTTACACTATTCAACTCATCGTAGAACTTAGGAGATAAAATTGAAAAGCATTATATATTAATAGTATAGCCCATATCTAGTTTGCAAAATAGCTGGCAGCGGTGGGATTCGAACCCACGCCTCCGAAGAGACTGGTGCCTTAAACCAGCGCCTTAGACCGCTCGGCCACGCTACCTGTTGAGAGACTATCGCTGATGTGAACGAACGACACACACGGACGGGCTGGCCATAGCTCTTCGTGGCCAGCTGATGCAAGCTGATGCAGGGTCCCTCAAGTCATTCCCTAGAGCACGGCGTACGCGTGAATTAAGGATCCGAGCAGTTGGCGGCTCGTTCTGTAGTATCAATCAGCTGCTTAGTTTTACCCTAGTACCGTCTAGGAAAAACCATATTTTTCTTATAAAGTATTGAAAACGAACGAAAGCACTCCCTCCAACGCCGGGGGAATTTTTCATAATAACCTGAGCGAGCACGCTTGTTTGAAGAAAATTACCAATCGCTAGATCAGCGAAGGTCCTCAAACCACTGAGGGAAAAACTTGCCAAATAAACAGGCGTGGTTTTTTTTTCCCGCGAAATTAGTTTGCAATTCTTATTCTTATCAAAACTTGGAGGTTTATAAACGTGGCGGTCGATGGCCACGATGCGACGCGCGTGGCGTGGCGCCGCGGCGTGCAGAGAGTACGAGCCGTGGCCAACAGATGGCACTAGTGGCGCTGGCGGTCGAAAGCCCGTCGTACGTAGCAGCGTCCATGTTGCTCTATGCCAGGCCTGCAGTCCGCGGGGTCAGCTTAGCCAAAGGCGAGCTTCCATTACATCGCGGTGCTCGCCACGGGTCGTCGTGCATACTATTGGTCAGCCGCGCGCACCATGTGGTTAAGATTATACTTCACAGAATCATTTCTGTAGTATATCTTCCTTTCTCTCTACTCAACAGTAGAATAGAAAACACCACGATGATGAGGATTAATCCTCTTCTCTGAGCGTGAGGCAGACTTCAGGTGAACTTGTCAGAGTTTTCTGAGTCATCGATGATCGTTCACTGTTCCTTCGGGTTCAGGATGGGAAGAGGATAATCTGAGTGGCCCCACCGCTTCTGAAATCTTTGATTATGATTCCACTCCCTTCTGCGGGGGATTTGGGATAACGATATGGACACTCGTCTGTTATCCACAGACGACGTGGAAGGCTGCTTTTGCGAATGGCAGTTGCTAGGCCTTCCTGATTGACCCCAGACAAAATACCTCCCCGACGCTGAAACTTCGATCTATCTTTACCACTCAACGCAATGCCTTCCGGCCTTTTAATCAGCATTATTACTTCTGTTGCAGCGAGCCCCAACTGACACATCATGCGCCCCCGCAAAAGCCGGTGTTGGCGAGGCCCGGCGGCAACTCCAACCCCACGCCCAACCAGAGTGCCTCGAGCGCCGCTAGTTCGGTCCTCAACGGCGTCCAGCGGGGCGCGTCAGCGCACCACCCCCTCGCCCGTACGTCCTCGCTAGTCCTCGCCACCGCGCAGTGGGCCAGAAGACCGGTTGAGGCGGCCAAACCCTAGACGCGTTTTGAGCTCCAGAGGTGTGACCACATACCAATGGATTCCTCGTTCGGAGAGCAATCCATTGGTGGGGTCAGGCGTTCGGTTCGAGGACCATTTAGCGCGTGATTTAGCGACTCTGGAGCTCAAAACGCGTCTAGGATTTTGGCCGCCTCCGCCGGTCTTTCTGGCCCACTGCACCGCATGCTCTTGTCAGGAATGATCAAACAGTGTCGGTAACCTCTGTTTTTATTCTTCAAGCCCTGGACATGGAGGACTCGTCGCCTCGGAACGACTCAGCGTCGTCCAGCCGCACTTCGGCCCACGCATCCAGCTCCACGGTGTCCCTGCAGAACGGGAACGGGCCGTCGTCTGGGCCGGCCTCGGGGGGCACGTCGGGCTACCAGTCCGCCGCGGCCTCCCCCGGCACCAGCAACAACCAGGTGCGTCACGCCGCGGGCAAAAAGAAGACGCCCAACGTGGGGCTCGAACCCACGACCCTGGGATTAAGAGTCCCATGCTCTACCGACTGAGCTAGCCGGGCTGGTGTAGAGGGGCGAGGGCAACGCAAATGACGTTCTCTGCATCCCCCACCGCGGAGTGCCGGCCCCCCACTTCATCGCAAAGCCACAGCGGTGGGGGGAGCGACTCCTGCGGGGCGATGCGAGGCTAGCGAAAGCGCGCGCGGCATGAAGGAGCCTCCCCTCCTCCTCCTCCTACCTCCCCCCTCCCCCAACGGTCAATGTATTTTCCTGAAAGAAAACCATTAAGGCACCTGCTTTCTCACCAGGTTTTGGAACGAGAAACAACACTAAGCAACGACTCGTCTGGCGACGGGGAAGCCCCGGGCTTCACTATGGTAAGCCAGGTGAGCTCGAACTGCGTACGCGTACTTGCTTGGTGCCTCGTGGCGAAGGATGTCTCTCTCGCACTCATTGGGGCGTCCAACGCCGAAACGGCCCTCGGAATTAACGGGCTGACTGTTTCCGTCTGCACGCCTTGCAGGTCCAGGCGGCGGTCGACTCGGAGGACGGCGTCGACGGCGAGAGTCACCCCGTGGCGGCCCACCCGTCGTCGCTCACCGAGGGGCCCCTGGGGGAGGACGGCCCCTCGCTGGACACGCAGCACGCCAAGCACGCAGGGGCGGCCCAAGGAATGGTGAACCGGGTGGACCTCTCACCGCCGCCCAAGCGGCAGTCGGCTGCGACCCGAAGGGCGACCACACGCCCGGGTAGGGGCGTCCGAGTGTAAGTGCATCACGCCAGGTGCCGTCAGGGAATTCCCTCGGGAAGGTGTCTGTCCGCCCCTGTCCGTCGTGCGTGTATGTAGTTTGAACTAAGTCAAAGAGCCAAATTGTCTATCTCATGATGCGATTGCAGGCTGAATAGGCCGCGAGCCACCACGCCAGGCAGCCTGGGTTCCAGTGCTGGCTCAGCCAGCCTCATCAGTCTCGCTAATGGAAGCCTGAGCTCTTCCCTGGGGAACTCAACAGCTTCGCTCTTTGCGGACACTCTGCCTGGATTCGACAACCCTCGAGAGGCTCTGAATCACGGTCTCCAGCAACTGGATTCCATGGAGTGGTATGTTTGCTATTTTATTTCTCCCACCGAGTTGAAATTTGATTCAACTAAATGAATGTCAACCAAAAAAAAAAAAATTAAATTTGAGCTTTGTTTTATTTAGGGAAGTGACAATGCAGGCACTTCAAACAATAGTTCGACTTTTGCGACATCATCCAGCCATATTGCAAGGACAATTGCACACCTGCTGTGAGTCCCTTGCACGCCAAGTGAAGAATTTAAGATCTCAAGTTGCAAGGGCTGCCTGCCAAACAGCCAGTCATTTATTCCACACACTGAAACGTGGGATGGATCCTGTAAGTAACCATTTGAATTTATTTGTCGAATCTAGAAATTTGGTTAGTATTTTAAGTCTACATAGATTGTTGTTGCTCACAGGAAGCAGAGGACCTATCTACAGCTCTCTTCAACCGCACTGCAGATACCAATAAGTTCTTGAGAGCTGATGCAAACTCTGCATTAGATGTTATGACTGACAATGTTTCTCCTGCAAAGGCAGTGTCAGCAGTTGTACACAAAGGCTGCAGGTATGTAGAATCAGTTGTTCAAGCAGCATAACAATATTTATGTGACAGTCAGGTGCACCTAAAGGTCAAATGCTTATTGTTCAAGGGAAGGTAAAAGAAACATCTGAGATTTTTCTTTTCTTTCTCATATAGTATTTTCTGTAGTAACAGGACAAACAAGAACACAGTACAGCAATAACCAAGACAAAACAAAAGTAATCAATTTTTTGCATAAAATCCTAGGTGAATCAACTAGTAGTTAAAAATTGATGCTTTACTACATCTTTCAGAGATAGTGCTGTTGACTATCAAAATAAGCAATTATTTTTAATAATAACAAAACAGTACAAAAATATGATATAAGTAATGCTCTTTTTATAAATCAACTAAATGCCAACCAAAGAACAGGGAGGGTGGGCATTAAGTTAATCTTATCAGTAAACATGATCCGAAATAAAAATCTGGTAAGAGAAAAAAAAAAATAGAATGTAAACAGGCTCCTTACATCTACAGAGTAGTTATAACATTTACACTAGTTCTCACACCTTTCAGCATTTTATGTCATGAACAATTATTGTTTGGCCCCATAATAGCTGTCAGGATTTAGTGATATTACACAAGAATTATCTGCATAAAATTGTACACAGGTTATGAAAACTGTTGTTAGTTTATCACATTGACTATGTCTAAAGTACTCTCTCTAAATTATGAAACAATAAGACAAATACACTACAAAAAAACAATATAACTTTGACAGTTGACTTTAAAGATACCAGATAGTACTACAACAAGATTGCTTAGATCTAATCCTTTGGCTAGAGGCAACTGTGGTGTCCATATTCACCATGAGCCACTCATAAATCACAGAATTTTAGAAATTCATAAACAGTAGCTTTAAGATAAGTTAAACACTAAATGTGATCACCTCTTTGTACATTTACAGGCATCAAAATGCAGTCGTAAGAGCAGCAGGTGCTAGACTTTTGGCCCGACTAGTTGAAAAGATTGGAGTGGAACGAATTATGTCACAACCACGAGAAACAAGAGATCTCATGCTGCTGACAAGTGCTCGTCTTTTGATGGAGGGTAGTCTCGAAACTCGGTCTTACACCAAATCGATGCTGAAGAATCTCGCTCAAGATCACAGATTAAGCTCCATCCTAGTTGAAATCGTGCCATCAAATGTTATGAGAAGCATTGACAAGACATTAAAGAGTTGTATTTTAAGGAAGTGATAGTACACCGGCAGTGTGTGAATTTCTCTGTGATTGTTTTAAAAGAATTAAGGTGCAAAATTATATCTGCTGTAACTGAGCCCTTTGCTCAAGTGGATTTCCATCATAAATCCTATGCAGTATTCATTATAGAAAAATAACAAATGTGTTGAGCAAAAAAAGATCTACAGTCTGTGATTTGAAGAAATAATGTATAGAGTATTGAAATAAGAGATTCTGATCAACAGTGTTTGCAACGAGCTGAGATTCCAATCTGAACGTGTTAGATCCTGGGGATTGGCAAACAAATTGACTTGTATTTTTTGTTTTAAATCTGTCCCTGCATTGTAATACATGTACATAACCAAGAAACTGTGAGTATTCTGTTAGGCGAGGTACATATAGTAACCAATAAAATTGGAGAAGCTTAAATACTATTCAACAAAAGTGTTCTGAACCAAATGAAATAGAAGTTTGCAAAAAATTGCTGAAAGCCAGGAAAAACAAAACTTAAGTAAAGTTTTGTCACATTAAATCTTTTAAAAAGAAAATAAAAAAAGATGAAAGCGCAGTACTTGAAATTTTTCAACAAACACAGATAAGCTTCCCCAAACAACGGTTTACTGTATTGCCTTCAGATATTTCAAGTTTTGTATCAAATATTGCAGCTAATAAGTACTCTAATAAATAAAATCAATTTTACAAATCAAGTCCTTACCTCAGAAAGAAAGTCCCTCAAATAACTTGTGGGCCAGGGACATCATAAAACAGGGAAGCTAGAGGGTAGCGGATGGCAAATGCTAATGCACTACAAATTACCTGCATGAACAAGAAATATTATTCAGGGTTAAGTGTTCATTAACAAGTTAAAAAAGAACCTTCATATTCTGCAAGTAATGGAAGTTTTACCTGAATGGTAATAAGAACAGTTGTAAGCTTGGCTTCATTCATTGGTCCAAGCAAGATGAGCACAAGGTTGATAAGTGTAAGGTTGTTACACTCAACCATACGATCATCCGGGTCTCCTCTACCACAGCTATCTGGATGTGGTGTCACAGTGTCACGCCAACGAATAAGGCCTAATTTTCCCAAGAAACGAAGAGCCAATAGCATTGGTTTTTTTAGATCAGATTGTTTAAATAGGGTTACACTTGGTTCCAGCTTGTTTGTAGCAAGGTTCAACCTAAAAATGGTGCAAGAATATTTATCATAGCAATTACTCTAGTTTTTAAAAGAGAAAGAAAGAGAGAAAACATACCTTGGCATGCGATGGCGGGGACATGGCACTAAATGGAATAGCTGGGGAACTGAATACAAGAAGTTGAAAACTTGAGGTATGAAGAAAAGTAGCATTGTCTTGCTGAAGTGTCCTAAAATGCCCACTACAGCAAAAGTCATACCAGAAAAATAACAGAAAGTATCCCCAACAAAGACACGTGATGGGTACCTGAAAATATTATTGGGATATTATTTGGAGCTCAATCAGACAGAAAGTGTACAGGGTGTATTCACACTTACCAATTGTACTTCAGTAGTCCAAGTGAAGTCGCAATATAAGGGAATAAGAAATAAAGAGAAAACACATGGGCCTGCCACAAAGTCCCACTCAATTCTATGAGATTGAACAAAGCAATTGATGATGCAATGACAACTGATTGTCCTACTTCCAGTCCATTCACACCAGCCAAGATGTTTATCGCATTGGTGCAAAATACAGCCAACATTCCCATGTAAATGTAATATAGGGGTCCTGATCAAGAAGAGAAAATAAAATAAATGGCATAGCTATTTTAATTTTCTGGAACTCTGACTAAAATCAAGTAAATACAACCCATTTACCAAGATTTAATGAAAATCCAATCCAGGACCTCAACGGCTTTGGCACAATTATTGTTGTAGCATTGAAAGTGACATAGTATACCATGAGCAATGGTAAGGAAGCCACAGTGGGAAGAAGCAGTTTGTGCCGCCATCTCAGATCGAGGACGTCGTCAGCAAAGCCCAGCAAGAGCATACAGCAGATGGAGAGAAGTGCAGCCATCAGCTTTACGAGCTAATAACAGAAAATTTAAGAGATATACTTAGGAAATATTTTTTATTTTACAGATTAGTTGATGACCAAAACCTAGATGGGCAATGTATTAGCTTACCTCATCGTGAGGGAAGTCGTCATTTGTAAACAAGGAACGGCTAAATGGGAGGGGTATGAAGAGAAACATCGTCACCAAGAAAATGGAACCAGTAACTACTCCAAGAGCCTCCGGACTGTAATTGAATGAAAAGGTTGTCAGGATTCACATCAAAATAAAAGCAACAACGGACAAAACACACCAAGATCAAGTTGTTTACACTCACACTTTATCCTTCGTCTGCTTGTTCAAGTCAATACCAAATAAATTGGCTTTCAGGAACATGTCCTTGAGCCGAGGAATGATCCTGACGGTAAAGTGATAAGCCCCGAAGGACATCACCACGTTAATGATGAGCGGCAGAAACATTTTAAACATGAGAATGAACATATTCGAGTGCGACTGATGGTGACGGGGTGACGTGGTTAGGGTTAGGATCCTCCACCTGCTGCCCTCCGAAAGGCCTCCTCCACAAGTACACACGCCAACGTCTGCAGTCGACACGCGGCCGCGACCATTGCAGTCCTTTAACCCGAATCGGCAGTTTTCAGTCCATTGCAAACGCTCAGCGCAGCCACTTTTCGTTCAGGTTTATCAGTTTCAGCTTGTTGAGATGAGACGCTAGGGTATATATACGCACGTAGAGGGGGTCGCGACTTCTGCGCCTTTCCCCCACTCCACCCCCCACCACACGGACCACACCACTCCACAGTAGGCGTTTTCTCTCTCTGTTGTTGCCAATGTAACAATTTGGTCAATACCACGACAACTGACAGGTCGTCTTCGGCGTTCAATCTTCAGAAGACCTTTAGATCTTTGATTGCACGAAGCGACTGTCTTGACTGCTTGTTTCCTGAAGAGTTTTCAACATCCTGTTAGTTCTTTCCTTTGGGGTCTCCATTCACCACAGTACTACTTAACCTCTGATTTTAATACAATTTGAGCCATGGTAAGTTTGTTTTTGCCAAGTGTGTGAATCATAGGCTATTTATCGGTCACGACGCGTACCTTTTTGGAATAAGGATAGTTACAGTTATAGCTAGAATTGATTGAACTAATCTTCGGTTATGTGGTGTTGTCTTATTCAACGAGATGACGATTCAAGTTTTAACTCATCTTTAGTTTTTGTGCACCAATAAAGCTCTTACTTTTTTTGCTACAGGCAAGCGAAGTAGAAGAAACTCTCAAGAGAATCCAGGCTCACAAAGGTGTTGTTGGCACAATTGTCGTCAATGCTGAAGGTAAGAGTCTCGATTTCTTTGACCACAAACTAAAATTATATTCATGAAAATTTAATTACCTTGTTTCATTTTTATATTCTGCTCATCAGGTATTCCGATTAAAACTACATTAGACAACACCACTACTGTTCAGTATGCTGGCTTGATTGGACAACTGTCTGACAAGGCACGCAGCGTTGTGAGAGATTTGGACCCCACCAATGATTTGACATTCCTGCGTATACGCACTAAAAAACATGAAATCATGGTTGCACCAGGTGTGTATAATATCTAAGAACTTGTTGAATGTTAAGATAAATAATATTTTATCTGTGTTATTGGGATTTTCTTTGTGCCACCTAGCTAACAATATCTGTTTTGTTTTTCTTTCAGACCGAGAGTTCATTCTAATAGTAATACAAAATCCCATGGACTGATGACGCCTACTGCACTTCAAAACCTTCCATGTGCATTCATCATAATCTCTGTACTGTGATGATCAAGATATTATCTGTGTGCTTATCCAAATTTTTGTGAGGGTAAAAATGTAAAAAATCCTTTTTATAATTTAATTATGCTTTTACTACATGTTCTGTTTGAACTTAAATATGTACTAATATTTAATCGGAATGGAATGTGGGGTCAGGCCCCTTTTTCCAGTCAATAAATTATTTTAAGTGTTAAGATATAATCTTATTTACTTAAGTGATTTTTTATTTACTTCAATGACAATGTTTTCCAACATTATCAGACCAGGAAATCAGGTTGCAATAATCAATAAGTTGAGAGTGGACAAGAGGGGGTGGGTTTGCTGGTGGGGGGGGGGGGGGGGGGGTTAAAGAAGTAGCACAGAATCAAAACATTGGGTTGCTATGACAACTGAGGAATGCTTGCCTCCCGAGCCGAACACGCCGCATACAGCGGCGTAGAGACTGCTGCTTATCGCGGGTGGTTTTCCCTCTGAGGCTTCTATGATGAAGGTGAGAAATTACTGACAAATCTATCCCCACTGTCTTACATACCAGCACGTCATGGTAGGACAAGATTCCAGCACGTGCCGATTTCCTATTTCAGGCAATGATGGTGCCTGTAGCTTCACTTGCACTGTTGACTGTCAGTGTGGTCTTAAGGCCAGTGAGTGCTTCGACATCTGGTCTAAAATGTAGCACTATCAAAAGTGCATATGTTAACTTGTGAGTAGAAGAGGAAGGGAGAAGTTTGTGATGTTTTTAAAAAATTATCTCTGAATCCTCTACAGTTTCTTTTCTGTACTTTGTAGATGTGGTTATTGTGTAGGCGGATCGACAGGATTGCAAGATTCTGAGGGTCAAGACACATGTAATATTTGTTATGGTTCCAATGAGTGTACAAAATGCAATGATGAGGCAAAAGAAGGTAATGCAACACACAAAGGATGAGAAGATTCATGAAAAAGTTCACAGGTGTTTCCAGTGCAAAAACACTCTTTGTTTTTTCTAGGGTGTGCAGCTCAGAGTTTTCCTCTTAAATTCGATTTGGCAGTCCATGAAAGAAGTTATAAGTTATATCCTCAGAGTTCCTTATTGAAGGAAAATCTTGAGAACTATGCTTGTGTGGTGAAACCGCAGGATGATTCTTCTGTTTCCGAAAGAACAGAGGAGGAGCTCACAAACACTTTAGTTCTAGAAAATGTACCTTACATTGAAATTGATTCCAAGGAAATGAAAATAGGACATTATGTTGTTAAATGCTATGACAATATGTCAAAGGAAGTAGTCTTCAACACAACTTTTGAAGTGGTTGATAGTGGGAGCTTCACAATAACTTCTATGAGCCCAGAAATGGTGATGCTAAACGTTCCTTTCAAGGTAAGTTCAAAAGCATCAGTAACTTTCTTCAAACTTTTTGATTTTAGACTTGTTATCAAAAATCTTTCTCTTCAGGCTGTGTTTAATGGGACATTTTCAAGTGAAAAAGCACTCATCTGCTTTACAAGAATAAATGATTTGATTGAGAACATTGTGAGTGCAAGACTTTTGTCTGATGGACTTGTTGAGTGCGACCCAATGATTGTTCATGATAAAGCTGTTTCCGTTGGTATTTCTGAAACGCTTGAGGCAGCTCTTGACTGGTGAGAAATGTGTTAAGCTTTTGTAAGCTTAAGGAAGTTACTGTACTTCTTATAATTTTGTATGTGATTATCTGTATTCCAGCTTATCAAAAATTAATATGAGAAAGTTGGTAATTCATAATTCTGATCTATTAATTAAGAAGTCAACATTTTCTTCCGATTTAAGATTAATTTTTATTCAGTTTGATCAAAACATAAACCCTTCTAGTGACTGCATGAAGGCATTCTCACCAGAAACAATAAGTTTATTTGGAAAGGGTGAGTTTCTTTCCAGGAGTAGTCTTCATCTATGAAGGAAAAGATTTCACTCACTCGACAATTGTTTCCATCACTGTCTCCATCACAGGTTGGCAATGTTGGATACGAGCAGATCAAATTGTTCTTCAGCTTGGTGAGGATCCAATAATTCATCCAGGTTCTCGCATCTCACTGTCCCCAACAAATAATATTCAACAAATAAGCTCAGATATCAAAGATGTGCAACCCTCCCAAGTCTACACCACAATAGTGGATGATGTGACAGACCAAGTAAAACTGCATTGCATGTATATAATTTATTATTGAAACTTAGGCTCATTTTTGTAATGTTTTCTTTTTATCTGAAATAGGTTGTTGAGCCAGTTTACAATGTACTAGCTCCCCGCGTTGCATGCTATGGTATTCGCCATTCCAGTATGCAGTCATTATTTTATGCACGAAAAATGAAGAGGGATGACACGAAGGAAGCAATGGTTGATGGAAACAGTGTAACTGTTCTTGAGGTAAGAAAAGTTTAGATGCATTTAACTTTAATCAATAACAAAACTCCAAAGCAAATAATATTGTTGCTTGATTTTTCTGTCACAAAAGGTTCAGCAGTTAGGCGGACAAACTCTGTTGTACAATTGGTCAGTCAGCTTCAGCCCTTCAAGTAACATAAATGCATTATCACAACGAGACATACTTATGACATGGTTGAGTGTACGCACTTTGGATAGATCAGTGCGAGGCATTACTTCAAATAGAATAAGTTTGAACAACAGTTTGGTATGTCTATGAAACGATGTGACAAAATATTTTTTGAAACTTTGGATGTAACACGTGTTATTTTTTGTTTAGATGCTTAGCAATGTGGATTACACTATCACAGTAAAAGGTACAAATGCACTGGGCATGAGTGGAGAGGAAAAGAAGATTCCTCTTCGTTTACAGGATAGAAAGCCATTTTCGGGAGAGCATAGAGCACGTACTTCTGAAAGAATCATAGATGCTTGTACTTCAGGAACCCCTCTTGATGTTGTACTTTCATGCTCTCCTGCTACATTTTCTGATGTAGAATATCGGGTAGAAGCATTAACATCATGCTGTGATGGCAATTTGAATTCAGACATTTTGGGACAAATTGGGGTAAGGACATGAGAGAAAAAACTGTTTTTACATTTTCAAGCTCATAATAAATTTAACAAGCTCTCGTCTGTTTGCAGTATGCTTGGTCAATAAAATCTTACAATGGCACTCAAGTTAACATTGGACATCACCAAAGAAAATATTTAAACATTCCATCAGGTACATTCCGTGGAGGAGAACGCTACAAAATAACATGTAATTTGTACCATAAAACGCTGAATAAACCCCTTGGATTTGTAAGTGTTCTAAAGAAAGAGGTTGCAACACAGTAAAAGACTTAAAAATAGGAGGTTTTCTTTTTTTTTTTGTTTGGAAAATCTTTACCTTATGACCTTACTTTAACATTCTAGGCTAGCACATCAGTAGTAATATTGGAAAGAGGTATTAAAACAAATATTAATGTCAGTGGTGTTGGAATAAGCACACTCCAGCCTTTAATACTGGATGCTTCAGGAAGTGTAGATCTTGACAACAAAATGGGATCTTTACAGGTAACATTTGCTTACAATTCCACTTTAGAGTAAAATTTATAAATTTTAAATATTTTTGTTATCAATTTTTTCTTTTTTAGTTTGAGTGGAGCTGCCGCATGATAAGTAGTGAACCTGAACGTGTTGGATATGGGGACAACCAATGCTATGTACCTACGCAAAGGAAGAAGTTGGTGCAGGAGGCATATGCTGCAGCATTTAGGAAAGCCATTCTCCATCTCCCAGCTGGGTCTCTTCCAGTTGGGCGGTAAGTGAAGGCTAACTTTTTATTTTTGTAAATAAAATGGGTTTTTGAATTGATAATATTTATTTCTCTTTCTTCAGGTATTCTTTCAGTATCAAAGTATCAAGAACTTCACAGAAATCAAAACCCATTAGCAATGTGATGACTATTGAGGTAGCAATTTTAGGTGGATCTGCACCACTTGTGTACATTCCCACAAGAAACCCAGGCAATATTGAAAATCCTTATGCTCATGTTATAAACCCTGATGATGGAGTAACACTGACAGGTATAGTGTTGGGAACAAAAGCAGGATGCCAAATTTATTGGAAAGGGGTTGATCAGCCTGGTTATATCACCACCAACAAAACTTTGGTAGATACTCCCAGATGTTTTTCTTAATAATTTTCCACATATTTAATTACATGTATGACCCTAGTATTTATTTTGGACAGCTAAGACATGAGCCGCTCAGAGCTATAACTACTTCAGAAAAACCACAAGAGATTTCTGCTGAGATACTACCTGGACTTGTCGGAGATGCCAAGTATCGATTCCGTTTATCTGCCATCTGTAAGAGCTCTGCAGGAAAAGTTGAACTGTCTTATGTGGATGTGGACATAATCACTGATGCACCTCCTGTTGTAAAACCACTATCGGTTTGTGTTCTTTGTGTTTGTTGCTGAATTTACTTTCTCAACACAAGTAAATTAATACAATTAATCTTTCAGGTTGAGCCACTTGAGGGAGAAGCATTAGTAACTGAATACAAATTCAGTACTCAACCAGCTTATGATGATTTACTTGATTATCCTCTAAGATACATATTTGGCTTTCAAATTTTGGACGAAAGCAGCACCATCCCTAGCCCACCGAAATTTTTCCACTCAAGTAGTCAGAAGCTTTCTACAACAACCTACCTACCTGCTTGTGAGTGATCAGCCCAGTCATTGTTGTTGTTGTTTTTGTCACATTTCAAAATAATTAGACCCTTTTTTAAACCTGCAGTGTCCCTCGCAACCACTAAAATCCAAAGTTTGCTTAGAGTTTGTGACATTCGTCACATATGCCACACTGTGGAAGGACCTGTTGTATCTTCAAATGCCCCAAAACAGCTGACAACTGGACATGTCGAGTATGTCACTCACAAAGCCACTTTTCTCGAAATATTGAAGTCAGAAGTTTTCTGAAATTCCTCCAAATGTGATTCAATCTTTAATTTCGTTAATTTTAAACAGATTATTGAGTGAAGGATTCTCAACATTTCTTGCGGCAGAAGAGTATGAAGATGCAATCATGCTCGTTGAAAGCAGTATGACTACCCTGGAGGTGCTTGATGACAAGTCTCTCTACAAATTAGCCTCCAAGCGGGTAGAAAATGCTGTCAACACTCAGCTGGATTCTTATGAAAAGAGGTATTCCTCCATCACTTACATTTTCAAGAAAAAAATTTTCACCAAATGAAAAGCCTTTACAAAATTTGTTCTGATTTTAGACTTGATGCATCACCTGATGAAGTCAATGCAGCTCTTCGCTTTTTGAAAGCAGCCAATGCTGCCTTAAAGCATGGTTCTTTTTCTCAAGAGACGCTTCAAAGACTAGTTGCATTTAAGGACAAAATTCTGAGCATCCTTAATGATCAGACCAAACTATCTACTGGTAATTTATTGTAAAAGGTTTTAGACACCTTAAAAATTTTCTATTTCTTGTGTTATAACTTTGGAAATTTATTGTTTTAGAATACCAAAACAACTTCAGGAAAAGAAGACAAACTCAAACAGATGAAGAAATTCCAAGGAATATATTGCAACCTGAAATGGTAAGTTCTCATCCTCTCCCTCTATTTTGAGTCTCCATCACACTGCCTCCCATCTCCAGCATAAAATTCTTATGTTTGTGTTTTTACAGGTTCGAACATTTTTAAGTGTGTCAGAGGTAGCAATTTTTAATTTAAGTGATACTGAAAAAGCATTAAATGAAAAGCGTAAATTACTACAAAATGTGTCCTTCTTCATGGACTCTCTATGCAGAGGTCTGCGTAATTCAGTTCCATTGTTCATTGGTAAGACTGAAATACAGTATTTAATAAGAAAAATCAATTATTTGTCTTGCTCTGCACTCAAAATAACCTACGATTATTTCTTTAATCATGAAACAGGTTCTAAGGTTGTGAGCTTTAGTGTACAACGACTGAACATGCAAATTAAGTACAAGGATGATCTTGCCATACCTGATTGGAGATCTTCTAAGTCAGGTGGAGTGCCTGTAAATGCCACCGCACAGGTAAGTCTTTTCCCCAACAATGAGTATACTGTTTATGTTTGTAGCATTTCAATTCAGATGTTGCTGTGATTTAGATTTGCCTCGGTGAAGATGTTCGTTTTCTACTTGGGGGCAGCATGGTGTGTATGGGTGCTGCATTTTACCCTATGGACTTGTTAACAGAAGTTGCTCAAATATCCATGAAGAGCATTAAGCGGTACGTTTTCTGATGGAACAATTACTATTTTATCAATTCTGTCTGATTTCTGCAGACATGATGAGCTTTAACAGATTTTATCATTGTTTAAAGGCATAGCTCTGTTTACCACGTGAAGATCATTCCAAACGCATCTCAAAAGGTAACAAACCCAGAAGATAATGACGGTTTGGATGTAAAAAGGCAGACTGTAAGGGTTACAATTCCTATTTGGAGTGAACAGATTGCTGGTGGATTGCATTTGGAGGTAAATAAGTTGAAAACATGGTAAACTAAAATAAAATTTAATAGTTTTTAAGAAAAATATGTTTTTGAATAAATTATTCTATTTTTCCCAGTGCCGAGTGTGGCTGCACGGAACCTGGGATCCCAAAGCCTGTAAATATACTAAAATTGCAACACTTATCAACAAGCCAGCAGTGGAATGCCAATGCAGTTTTGTTGGCTTTTATGCGTAAGATTTTGTTTTAAAAAGTTCATTTTAAGCACTTGGTATTTTCTTGAATTGTAAGGAGCTTTTTTTTATGTATTTTAGAGTTTTTGCTGTGGAGTCACCCACAACTACGACTTCCACAACGACAACCACCACGACAACCATACGACCAACATCAACAAGAAGCACTCCGACTTCAACTGAGATTCAAGCAGTGACCAGAATACTCACAACTCCTCCGACCACAAAAGCTACGACTACACCGACACAGTTGCCCACAACTGCTATTCGGGAAGAAACAACATCACTTACTAGTGGAGAGTCAGTCTCTCATTTACCTCCAGGGATCCCCATTCCCAATACGTCCCAAAATTTCACATTCAAGTATGTTGTTATTTATCTTTATAGTGATTTTTATTGAAAAATTTCTCAAATATTCATGGAATGATGCTTTCAGAATTCAAGAGGAATTTTCTGCCACAGTTGGTTCAAATCAAGACGCTTTCACTTCACAGCTGAAACAAGACATTCTGAAACAAGTAGAAATGCCAGAAAATATGATTGCCAGTATTGACTTGGCTCCAGGTGCAGACTTGAGTACACTGGTGCTCTTATTATTTTTATCTATGCTACATGTGAAAGTTTGATAATACATGTTTTTCCAGGCAGCATTCTCGTAACTCTTCACCTAGTTGATACAGATATACGCACGGTTAATGACGTGCTACCAACTTTAGCAGCAGTTCTTCAAGATGGACGGTTGTCTGTTAATGGTGTTGATGGTAGACATTTATCCGTACCACCACAGCGGTTGACTCTACTTCAACGCCGCAGTGACAGCAGTTTTGTGGCTTGGATCATAATATGTTGTACAGGATTTGGTTTGTTCAGTATTGGATCTCTCGTTATTGCTGCAATTGTAGTCAAACGGCATTTGAGAGACATGACAGACTTTACCAACAGCTCTGTAAGTTTCTAGGGAAAGAATGCCTTGAGAACAACACCCTGTTCTTGATCATTAAAACTGATTCTGATGTTTCTTTTTATTTATTTTCAAGGGAAGTCCAGAAATTACAAACAAGACCCCAGCCTATGGTCGTTTCCATTTAGAACAAACCCTAGATGGATCTGAAGCAACTCTTTCACGTTACAGGAGTTCAGTGAATAATCCTTTGGTTGTTAGTACCATAGGTGGCTTAGCCTCTGTGATGGGAACAAATGCTCTGTTGCCAACAGATCATCTTACCTCAGATGTTCAGTGAGTTCACATCAAATCATGCAATTTTTTGTAGGTACAATTTTAGTTGAATAAACTCGATGTGTAATGTGACTATTTGATTCAGTTTCAGACTTCAACCATCCCAGGTGGAAAATAAGAACTCATCTTCACCTTTGCACCAAGCTAGGCAATTGTCTAATCTTCCCAGCAGCAGTGGGAACACTAGTGGAAGTAATGGAAGTGGCAGCAGCAGCTTCAACATTAGTCACAGAAGAACGAGAAGCAGGATGAACGAAGGGAATGGGGACAAACTTGATTTAGAGGCAGAAGGAGATGACTCTGGCATTGTCATCAATGGCCAAGTCAATGTTGTCAGAAGTCAAACTCCTGAAACCAGTGTAAGTTCTACAACATTCTGTATTTTAGGATAGTCAAGTTTCTGTCTAACACTACAGCGTTCCCTGGTTTCTAGGGACAACAAGCACCCCAGGTCCGCATACTGCCAGGCACACCCACCGAGAGAGGTGATGAGCTTTACATGCACATCAGTGACAATCAAATTGCGTAAAAGTAGTAAGTCAAGAGTGGAAGATAAGTGTAGTGAGTGTCAGTTCTTTAAACTTAAGAGAATGATGTGAAATTGATTTATTTCTGTACATTTTGAATAACAAAATAAAAATAATAACAAGCTTTACTGGACAAAGTACACAAGAGTAGTAGCTAAGACTGTTTACACAGCAAAAATGGACACAGTATTTATAAATGTTGAGTGTCGGATCAGAAGGGGGGAAAAAAGATATTGAATGTACCATTAATGACATGACTAACCTTCAGGTTAAGTAAAAGTTTGAAAGAAAAGGAGTAATATGTAGCAAATCATATGATAAACAATTCTAAAACCCAAAAGTTGGAAGTTTTGAAAAACACAGAATGTTTAAAGCCACAATTGATATCAATTTTTATCATTGTTTGGCACTACAACTCAACCGGTCTATATGCTAAAATGCATAACTTGGGTAAGTAAGTAAATGAAATGAGAACAACGTACACATGATAAATTATAGGTAAAGATATCATTCATTTAATCAATTTTTGGATTACTCCACAAAATTATTCCAAGGCAATAAGCCAAAATCACTGGTATGTTCCTCCACTAATAAGTTGCAAACAAATATACTCCATTCTAGGCTGACAAACTTTGCCCATAATGTTGCCAACTCAATGTGTCTATTTGCCAGTCATCTGTGCATTTGAAGAAAACAGTTGTAACAACAATATAGCCACTCATCCCTGCCTTTTAGCACTTCCTACCTATTTACAGCCCCATAAAACTTTACCTCTAAGTCAAATTACGAGCTTGCAAGCTAACACATCATACATTCCAATCAGCACCTTACCTTCACTTTGTAGTACGTGACTACCCCATAAATTCATATATAAGTGAACAAAACAGAAAATCATAAAGACAACTAATGCAAGAGCATAGTGTATATGTACATATACGTATGTATAAAGAGATTTGAAAGAAACAGGAAGATTATCAGAAAGAGAAGGCAGATAGAAGGCTTTAAAAATCAAAGCTGTCAGTTCACAATAGATAGAATGGGCAGTCAGATAAACATGCAATCTGACTCAAAAAATGTCATATCACAAATTATTTACGAGACCTAATTATATGATATACCAAAAAGGACTACTGTAGAATTTCTATTGAAACATCTACATATACACTTCAATACTAGAAGGAAAAAAAACTGCTGTTTTTTTTCTTTTCAGGTAAATAAATTATTCATCTTGAAGATCAAGAGAACATGTTCAGAATGTGATTGCCCAGACTCAAAGACGTATCCAAAGATAAGGAAAATAAAAGGACTAAATTCCTAATCAGTTAAAATACAATGAGGCCCCGTTATAATAAACCCCAATATAAAGTGACGATTTCTTATAACAGATTGACTATAACGGAGTTTCACTGTGACTCTAAATGAAAGCCAACAATCAACCATGGCTTATTTCTTCCCTTTTTGTAACAAAAAAAAAAAAAAAGAAAAAAAAGTATTTTTTGAGACCAAATCTTTAACTCCACTGTAGCATAATAAATTCGCAGGATTTCCAAGAATAATTTCCATCTATTATCTTTGCATGAGCTTCCATGTTGGTGGTTGAGGCCTTTGATAATACTACAGGTAATCAAACCACAGAGGCGGGAATAGGTAACGGGATAATTAATTATTTAGAACAAAGAGTGAGCTCTGAAGATCAGTCATCTGTTTGTGATCCTTTTATCTCAAGTTCCCTGACAGGAGCAAGGATCAAAAAGGGCACAGATAAACCCGGCAATTTTCATCAGACAAACAGACACAAAACCAAAGAATGTTATGAATGATAAGCCATCCATCATTAAAGTGATGAAGGGCTTAATAGTGTAACAAGAAACAGCTAGAGTACAAACTGGTCAGTGATCATTAGGAGAATTGCTTCCACAACATACACTTCTCTGGTGCAATAGAGGTACTGCATAAGGCACATCTGATAGCATGACATAATTCCACACCCCATCCGAGTTATAGGTCTTAATTTGAGGAAAAGGGGAGGGAAACAAAAACCGACAGTCCATGTCAAAACTCAAAAAGAAAACTCTGGTTAAATTTATGAACTGTGGTCATGCAAAAGGTTTGAGTTCTATATAAAATGCTTCACCATTCAGTACTATTGGGTTTGTTTGAAAGGCAACAAACTGAACAGATACTAAGAGTAATATTGTAACCCTTTGTCTATTGTTTTCTCTACAAAATCTTAAGCAAGAATCCAGAGGAGAACATTCGATTCACAATTGAATAGATCCACAGAGGGCAGACTTACCGAAATCATTACGTCTTTTTTGTGAAATCTGTCCTGGCTAATGCTGACCTGCCACACTGACCTCAAACGTCTTAGCTTAGACTTTTGATCAGATTGCAATATGTAGCAAATTAACTGTAGTGCAATCTTCTCAATGCAGAAAATCTTCAGCATCAGCAGCTTCAACAGCCTGGAGCTTTTCCCATTCATCATCTATAGTTCCAAGTGAAAGAGGGTTCCGTTTAGTGAGATATGATAAAATTATTTCAGAAAATAGTCTTGATGTATTATTATGAATGCTTACCAGGTAATGTGGCAGAAGAGGATGATGATGATGAAATTACTGTACTGTCTTCGTTGCCTGTATCACTGTCATCTGCTTATGGATGAAAAAAAATTATAGAAAATTGCATTGACCACAAAAAGAAGCACAAACAAAGATAAATGAGACACTCTTACCTTTGTCTCTGCTTTTCCCCAGGACCACCATGTCCCCTTTATCCCTCATAGTTAAATCCAAATTTTGACAAGCGCCAATATTATCGCTTTCAGTAGTTTCACCACTCTTGGGGCATTTTTCATAGCTACTGACTGAAGAAGACTCTTCAGTTTCATAGTCATTCTCAAGGAGATCCAATGAATCAATAGCAGTCTTGACAAATGAAAACAGCTTGTTCTTGGCATCTGAGATTAAGGACTTTTCAGAATCTTCATCTGATGGAGAGAGGGCACTGCCGTTTTCAGGAGACTTTCCATCAGAATAATGATTTTCTTTAAGCGGAAGTTTACGAGGAGATGAAGGTGTTGAGTCATGGGTTTCCAACTCATCAGATGGTTTGGTTTTACATTCTTTTTCATATTCTTGAAGTAATCTGATCTGCTCTTCATCAGAAATGTCCATTTTACTTGAGGAAAATTCATCTTCTGAAAGTAAAAAAAAGAATTATTAATAAGGCAAAAACTAATTAAAAAAGGGGGACTGAGTTAAATTAGTTACCATGATTATTCAAAACTTGCTCAGCTTCTTGAGCTTCACGGTGTTGTCGTCTTTCTTGGGCTTGGCGCCGGGCTTCTTCATCCTCAAGTAAGGCTCTCCGAAATAGAAATCTTTGCCAGAAATCAGCATGGCTCACCTGATAGTCAAATCATTCTTAGTCAGCTGTCCAACATTCTAGATATCTAATGAACATAAAATGTCAAGTTAAGATACTTGCCTTTGAGGGGACAAGTTTGGTATACTGTGAATGGAGTTCTGCATAAGTCACCATAAGCTTAGTTAGGCTATCATTATTCAACAAGTCTTCTTGAATGTCAAGCCAAGCAGAAAATTGAGTCGCCTCAATATCTGACGGCTCTGCTAGGAAGGTTTCTTCGGATGTCATTAGTGTGTGCACCTGAGCCTGGACTCTAGTCAATACTACTGGGATGTTTCCACGCATGACCATGGCTTCTTGTTCACTATCATCAGGGGCAGGATTGAGAACAGTATTAACTGTGCCTAAGAAGGAAGACATACTGCGTTTCATGGTATTGACAGTTGACTCGGACTGTGATAGATCGAACTGCAGAAACATGAAAAAATTTCAATGACAATCGTAATATTGAGTAAGAGCTTCATTGAACCAAGAAGGAAACCCACACTAAGCTGTTCTTTGAGCACCGATGTAGTTGAATTAACCACCTGAGATGCTTCATTTTTAACAGTTGAGGAAAGTTCATCAAGATCTCGTTTGACAAACTCTAGAACTTCAGCAGACTGTTAAGAAAAATACAAGAAGGCAAACATCAGTTCTCAGAGAAAAAATTGCACATTTGGAGCGGATAAGAACCACTTTGAGAATTAAGGAGTTTACCTTGTTTTTAGCTGCATTAACTACGCCAGTCAATGACCCCCACCAACCACTGCAATCATAAATGAAAAAAGATGGTTGTTTAATGTTCGAAAAATACATAGACCTCTGCACAAAGACAACAGGCCTAAAATGGGTTTTCATGCATAAAAACGCAAAAGTTGTGAAATTTGATGGTGCTGATGAGCCTAAATAGCCCACTTCAGAAATTCAAAGGAATTCTGATGCAACAGTCCCAGCTGGGAACGGTGGAACGGTGAAAATCGAAATGCGTGGTAATTGAAGATTGCAGGCAATAACCTTAGGGCAGCATCTGTGACAACTACTGACATGGACGACACAAGATACCAAACAAAAGGAATGAGTTTCCCGCAAACTCAGATAAAATTAATTTAAAGGACAATCAAGGTTTTGAGCAACAAGACGACATTATCGGACTAAAATAATGATCCCGAAATGGTAAATAGTGCCCCACGATCAGACTTAATAGAAGCACTCACCCTCCGTCAGCCATCGTTCCAGCCCAGGTGTTGTCCGTTGCCTCCGCCCAGGTTCTAAAATACACCAGGCATAAGACTAAACTCGTTTTACACAGCAAAATGACGCAAAAGTCACAGAAAATGGCAAGAGCAAGTGTCTAATAACTTGTAAATATTATTGTTCGTCGGCCATCTTGCTTTGCAGCAGCAGAAACAAACAAACAATAGCGGATACGGAACTGGTGGGACTTCCACTGCAGCCAAATGAAGTGGAGATTCAAATTATTTCGAGCGGTGGTCGGAACTGCGTTAAAACGCATCGGATGGACTCTTATGTGTCAATTGCCATTCAAGTGGAGCATTTAGGGAACGACAGTCTTTTGTGAGTACAAAATGTCGGTAAGATACTGTCAAAAGTGTGAACGCATTCAACCAGGATTGCATGGATACTACCAACAGCAGAAAATAAACTTGATTTTTATAGTACAGAAGCTGTTGGCAGATGGAAATTGAATTATGTGAAATTTAAACCAAGAAATCAGTATAATATTTTCAACATTTGATGCGCCTCTTTTACCCCAGCATTTTCGAAGCTGGTAACGCGATCGTTGTTAGAGACATTTCGTGACGACATGGTAACAAGGTAGCTCTGAAGGCAGACATCTCACTTGTGCAGACGACGTGCGACGTCTTACGACTTTTTGCGGAAAACTGGTCATTTTAGATGTGATTTCACGTTGTTGCTTGGAAACCATGTCGACACCGACAGCTTCATAACAGCAACATGAAAATTCGACTTTCAGTAATAGCTTGGACAAGTTTCTGTTCAGTTTTGTTACATCTTTGTCACTTTGTTCAAAATGGGGATTCTCAACTGCTCATCAACGTCAAAAATCAGGTTTGTGTACAGCACAATGCTTTGTGAACTAGCTGTAAATTGAGTTGATACATTTTTATTTGAGGAAGGGTTTGATCCTCAATACGAGGAATTTGGTATCCTGTTTCCTCTGACGTGTTTATGAGACAGTAAGGTGTCATAACCTACCGTTGTGTCCTGCTTGTGGTCCTGAACTGCTCGCACAATTGTTGTGTATATACTACTCATTTTTTGTTTGTTTGTTTTCAGGGAGGTGACGTTCTGCAGGAAACCATTATATCAAATGTTACGGAAGACGTTGTGACTCTTGAATTTCAGAGGTCAGACGGAACGTTAGTAACACAACTAATAGATTTTAGGAAGGTAAGTTTTGTGAACTGTTTATTACTTACTTTCTGAGTATTATCATAAACTTTTTTTTGACTGTCTTTTGTTTGTACAATTACTTTGTTTTCATTTTTTAGAATGTTCAAATTTTGAAAGCCTTAGTATTAGGGGAGGAGGAGCGAGGACAAAGTCAGTATCAAGTCATGTGCTTTATATCACACATTGAAAAGGCTGAATTTATATCATCTGATGCCATGGCCAAACTCAGACAGGTAATATAATGTATTTCAGACTCAATTTGGATTATTTGTTTAGAACAAGCAGTCTAACACGGATCCTAATTCTGTCATTAGAAAAATCCTGGGACTGTAAGGATGCCTGAGGAAGACAGAGGAAGGCATAATTTCACAATGGACCTATTTGTTGATACGAGTAGATCAGGTGTTATCTCTAAGCATATTGCAAATCTCTGTACTGAGGCAAAAGATGCCACTTATACTAGAAAAGCAGATCTCAAACTTTGGTCAGAACAACCCGGTAAGATATCTTTTCAACTACTAATAGACCTTCAACTTCAAATCTTTTTTTAAAAGAGACTAATGAAACTTTTTTCCCTTGAAGGTGCATCAATGAACGCTCTTCTTTCGTGTGTTCGCCCATTCCCCACGGAAAACACTTCACCTCCAAGGTGCTTGGACATAACAAGCCTGTGGAATCCATGCATGTGTCATCTTGAAATGTGCATTGGGTGGTACCCATGTTCACTAAAGTATTGCAAAGGCAAAAGTGATGCTTCATATCGGTGTGGTATCAAAACCTGCCGCAAGTGTAATCTCTTTGCCTATTTTGTTCCTCAAAAGCAAATGTGTCTTTGGGATGAATGACCCCGGCCTTACAGTGGGCTTTTCTCATCACAAACACACCTGTTTGTTGGCAACGGCTGATGTGTTTAGTGGATGAAGGCTCACTGGAAACCGTACAAAACAGCGGTTCATCACTCAGTTTTGTCTCTTGTCATTCCAATCAGAGGATTTTTGCCTGGAGTAAAATTTACTATCCCTGTAAGCTTAAGTTCCTGGCCAAGATGGTCACTCATTTAACATTTGTGAGAACATCACATGTGAGAACATGTCACTATGGTGCTAACTCTTATAAAAGAGTTGTGTTTGGTATGTTGACTTAAAATTTATTGTGAGGTACCATTCTCTCTGCTTGGAGCTTTTTGTGATATATTGTGTTTAAGTTGTTGAAAAGATTTCATGTCCAGATACTTTTTATGCGACTGTAGTTAGCAATTAATAGCTGTCTTATCCTTTTAATTTTGTTTATCTATTCTGCTCTTTACTGCTGCAAACGTTCTTTGTCATCCAATTTTAAAGTTTATAGAAGTTTACTCAGTACCAGTTGAATGCCCTGTTATCAGTCAATAATATTTTTTATTTTTGATCTCACCCTGGATGTATGAAACATTCCTTTGATATTAAATTAAGTTTTATTCCATGTTTGAGAAAATAGCAATTCATTATAAAACATGAAACATTTTTTTTGTCCTCTTGGAATTGTTTTTGATTGCTCTGATGTGATTAAGAATTAACTTTTGTAATGGGTAAATAATGTACGGCCTCATGATATGACTAGACCCATCTTGGATTCTATGAGATGCAAGGAATTTATATCTTTGTTTCATCAAACTTTGTTCCAAGAAGATGGGCTTACACATGTAATGTTTTTGCACTTAAATTTCTTTGTGAATTTTGCGTTTTTCTAAATCATGTGATAAAGATCTATGATTAATTTTTAAGTTAGGAAAATGATGTTTCTGTAGCATGTATGTGTAAGATGTATGAATGTGTGTCTCTTATGAGTTTTGGGGTAAATTTTGTAAAGACTCGGTACATTCTCTGGCATGTATACTTGGTGTATCAGACTCACTCATTGAAGTCAATTGCTGACAATTGGCACATTGTAGTGTGGTTGCTACAGTCTTCTCCCTTCGAATATAACTTTTGACAATGAAATGGTAATCCAATCTTTATGTGTGTCATTAATGGGTACCACACTTCATTACTGTTTTTTTTTTTTTAGAAAGTGCAATGGCATTGGTGCTATTTCCCCTCGCAAATATTTAAATCTATTATTGTCTCGCATCTCTGGTTTCTTCCCCATCTGTTTGAGTGGTAGGTCAGCTGTGACTATTTTAGCAGCAACTGTAACAACATTGTCAATGTTTCCAGTTGAGTCTCAGTGGTGTGAAATGCCTTTGTCCATCTGTAGCTCAACTTGATTGAAGATTGGGAGCAATATTTTTTGGTAGGTTTTAGACACATGGGATTTTATCTTTTTTTTGTGTGTGTGTTTTTAAATTCCAATGTCCCAGTAATTATGTAAGTCCTTACAGACATATGTGTTGTCTATAAAATTCAAGGGCAAAGAACTGAAGTAATTTTACTGACGAGTGGTGATTTAGTCAGTGCTTGATATTTTATTTTTACCATTGTAATGAATGTAAGTGCCATTCTACTGAAATGTTGAACAGTATACCTTTAAAAAAAATTGATACTATGTAAATATTTTACCCCTCGCATCGCAGAATACTAATTTTTTTACATTTTGTACCTGATAAATAAAGCATTACTACTGAATGTCTCGTGCGTCGTCCTTCTCTGCCGCCTTTTCCTCCTAGAGCCAGTTTGTGGGCGAGCCCCCTGCCCCCTGGCGCGAAGCTCGGGGTCCCTCTAGGGGTCCCCCTCGTCGCGTCACGCAATGCTGCTTACTTTGTATCGCGGGCCAGGCCAGGCGCCTCTCCTTGTTCTGTAGGTTAAATGTCGAGCACATCAATTCATTATGCCAACAAGTGCACATGGCTGTCGGACCGTCGGGCCAGCATGCTCGTTCCGAACAGTAGCTCTGTCTCCCTCGCACCCCTCCGGCATGGCCACGGCCTACCACGGCCCCACGGGTGCGAGGGAGACAGCTACTGTAAAGTGCCTGCCGGCAGTGGAGGGGCTCGGCCCAATGAGATGAGAGCTCGGACGGGGCTCGGCCAAGGCCACGGGATGGACGGGTAGCAACGCCACCACGCCGGGTTGTCAGTACCCCTTGCGCCAACGCGCCGCGCCGCTGGGGACTCATGCCACCTACTCGCCTAGCTCGACGCGCTCCAAGCGGCCGAGCGCGGCGTACCGACGGGACCGCTAAGTACAGGGTGTGTTCGACTTCCCGCCCCGCCTGCATGCGACGCCGACGACGCGGTGCCTCGCGACACCCCGGTTGGCTGGAGCACATGACACCCATCACAGCACATGCCATGTGGGCCAGCCAGCACCCACATACGTTATGGAACCGGCTAACAAGAATGTATGGCAACGGCGGATGCGGGGAGGGGGGAGAGGGGTGGCCGATGAGAAAAACAGCCGCCCCTCCCCCACCCCCTGGAAGGACAAGGACTGTGCATTTTGTGGATCGAGCCACTTAATAAACGCGGGCGGAGCCAGGCCAGCCTACCGCCGGCCGGCTAGAGGGAAGCACCTCGGATAGCGGCCGCGCCGGCGCGTCGGATGGGTTGCCTGTCTGCGCCTGGGGCCGGCCTGGGCCTTCCCCGTCGGACCGCTCGGAGCGCGGCAGCGCGGCCGTCGCTGGTGACTTAGCAAAGACCTAGCAAGACCAAACGAACTCCAGTCAGACTCCAGCACTTCAAACTAAAAATCCCATTTCCCGTGTTAATCAATGTTAATTTTCACATTTGATTATTTTTTGAAAATTGTCACTGGGTACATATCCGCCCGCAGGTCGCAGGCAGTCGCAGCGCGGGGTCGCGGGTCGCGCCGCCTGGGTGGGTGCGTGCCGCGTGCCGCCTTGCGTGCCGCGTGCCACCCCGTGCTGTGCGTGCGACAGAGACAGAGAGACGCGGGCTGGCTCTAGCGCGACCGAACGGCCGGTCCACGCGCGCGGCTGGGCCGTCGGTGGTCGCCGGCGCGCTTCGCTTGGCATCGCTCAGTCCGCGTCGGAGTGGCCTAGTGATCGGTGATGGCCGCCTCCACGACTCCACGAAGGCGTCCTCAGGGCGCGGCCGCGTGCGCCGGCGTCGGCGTGGTGGCGCTACTCCTGCTGCAGAGCGCGGGCGCCGTGCAGCTCTCCGAGTTCTACCCCTTCGGCGCCAGCGTGGGCCCCAACGTGAGCCAGCAGGCGCTGCCCACCAGCTACTCCAGGGACAGCGCCAGCGTGGAGGCGCGGCTCCGAGTGCCCATCCACTTCTACGACGTCGCCTACGAGAGCGTCTTTGTAAGTGCGCCTCCAAGCCTCGAACCGCGACAGGCCTGCACAAATTAAAGCAAACTAAAATTTTAAAACAGGAAAATATTCCTTAAAAATAATTTATTTTGTGGGTAAACGTCTAGTAACAGATACTCCTTCCGCGTGATGCAATGAGAGCAATACCCTCCCGGAGGTACCGCCCCACCCCTCCCAAACCCCCACCCGGCCCCAGTCCCGCCCCTGGGCCCTGCCCGACGCGGCTCTGCGCGCTCTGCGCGCTCTGCGTCCGTGTCCCACTGGTTCCCACGCCCCGCGCCTCGGGGACTCGGGAACGCGAACGTCGCCCGTCTTTGTCTAGCACCTCGGGGGGAAAGAGACGGCGTCGTTTTTGGGCTTTCGGAAGCGCAACCCGAGGCGGCTTCGGAGCTATGCCGATAGATAAACGTGTGCAAATAGTAGCCCGCCGGCAGGCTGATTCCGAGAGTCGTTTATGTCGCGCTGTCTCTCTCGCACCTGCAGGGAACGCCGCATTAGTGCGAGAGAGACAGAGCGACGAAAACGACTCTCGCAATGAGCTGCGGCCCCTCGCCGTCCACAGCCACGTCCAAAGCGGGCGACGGACCTCCAGGTCCCCCGGCGGGGGAAGTCCAAGTGCGAGAAACTCGCAGTCCCATTTCTCAAGAGTCTCCGCACAACTTTGCGCAGAGTAAAATCGAGGCAGGAAGGAAGTGGGGTGCAGTTTTAGCGTCTGGCCGCTTTTCAACCCCCGGCGCCTTGCTTACGGACGCCCCCGCGTCGTCCCCGCCGTCGACGCCGACCTCCACGTCGCCGTCGTCGCCCGGTCGGCGCGCTTTGGCGGCGCTCTGGCGGCGCCCTCGCCGCCGTAAAGACTGTCTTCTTTACGAGGCCGTGCTCCGCCTGCTCCGCGAGGCGCGACATCTTTACGCGTGGCGGACTGTGAAATCCCAAAATACTGGTGCCGGCTAGCACGCGGCTGTTGTCAGTCGGAAGCGCTTGATACACTGTATCGGTCGGTCATTGGATAGCAAACCGGACCGGGAGGTGTCTAGGTGTATGTCAACCACTTTGACCCTTAAAATATGACAATAAATTTTAAAGGTTTTTTTGTTGTTTTTTTGCTGTCGTGATGAGACTGTGGGCTCTTAAGTGGCACAAGGGGCGGGCGGGTGTCACATTACGATTCCCCGCCACTGACTTGTTGACCGGCGGGTCCGCGGTCCGCGGGTCACCCAGTCTCACGCCTTCGCGCCTTCGCGCGCAGCCTCCGCCACTCCGCCCGGCCAAAGGCTGCCGACACGCCCACGCAGGCTTCGTTATGCGGGTGGAGGAAGCACCAATTAACCAGCTCATCTCCACCCCGCCTCGCCCCGCCCCGCCCCGCCCCGCCCGCCCGCCCCGCCAATCCATCAACCGCCATTGAGGCGCGGAACGCCACTCACTGACGCCGGGTGCCGCCGGGTGCCGCCGGGGACGAAAATTAGCGTTGCACCATCCAAAGAATTCCCCAAAAAGGAAGGAAACAGAAAAGGCAAAGACATGTCTAGACGCTTGGCAGAAGAAAAAACATTCTGTTTCTACACGGTGGTTTTGGCCTGTTGAGGTTGGTATCTGAAGCTGGCTTTGAGGCGGCCCACGCGAGAGTGAAGGGTCAGATTATTTGGAGAAGCACTCTGGACCATACTTCTCCTTCCAAAAATTAAAGCTTCGCATACATCATGCGTTGCGTGCGATTGCCTGCTTCTGACGGATCACCACGTTCCTGAAAAGGAAATCAGTTACATGCATACGTGTCAATGACGCTGCGCCGCAGACTGACTCCGGTGCGAGTGGTGGACGTCCCCGCGAGCGACCGCTGGGCGTAGCGTTCACCTCAACAGCAGCAGCTGGTCTCCCTCGACGCAAGCAGCAGTCCGAGCTGACGACAACGGAAGACGCGTCACAATGATGGGAAGACCGGCGCCGACGTGTTTTGAGCTCCAGAGTCGCTGAACAGGACTCGAACCGAACGTGTAACCTCATCAATGGATTCCTCGGGATTCCTCCGGAAAGCTTTCCATTGGTGGGGTCACACTTTCGTTTCTAGCCACATTTAGCGGCTCTAAAGCTCAAAAATTACCCCTGGGATTTTGACCGCCTCCACCGGACTTCTGGCGCACTGTGCGAATGGACTGCTGACTGCCTTTGTCCTCGGTAGCGGAGTGGCCATCAATGCCGACCGCAAGGGGACTCTCTGTCCGGTGCGCCTCGTTTGTCCTACCGTTTCTTGTCCAACTCGTTCGGTGGCTATTTATCGCGTATCATTTCCACTACCTGCGAAGTCAAATTTAATATTAACTATATAAGTCTCGAAATTAAGTTTTCTTCATAAATCCCATATTTAATCTTATTTAGTTTCGTATTAACATAACTTGTATAGTCAGATAAGATTTCAGTTCACGGGTTCATAAATTCACGTCTCACTAGAAGCGTCTGATTTCTAACGCGAAACGGTCCAGTTTATCGGCACCTGATTCGCGGGACAATGTCTAATTATGAGGGGGAGTACACCGGTCATACTCCCCCCTCCAAAAATTTAATATGCTTGCACACCTGCTTCCGCTTAAGTGCTGCCTTTGCTTGATAACCGACATCCCTGCGGGCGTAGGCAGCATCTAGAAAGAACGCTGGCCACCAGCGAGAGAGACAGCGCGACGGAGCCGACTCGCCGAAGCGAATCCGAAGCCTTCCTCAGAGGCGTGCACTCCGTGTTGCAGGTGAACACCAACGGGCTGCTGTCCTTCCTGACCGACATCCCGCAGTTCCTGAACCTGCAGTTCCCCCTGGACTACCCGGTGATCGCGCCGTTCTACGCCAACGTGGACACGAGCGCGTCCGGGACCGTGTACTTCTAGTGAGTGAATACCCCGCGCTGGGGTGGCGCACCGTACCCGCGGGGTATCTCCTAAGCTAACTTGACCTGTTCTTTCCAGTGAGTCGGAGGAGGCGGCGGACCTGCAGAAGGCCGCGGTGAGCGTGCGGCGCTCCTTCTCGTCGTCCACCTTCCAGCCGACCTCGGTGTTCGTGGCCACGTGGGAGCGCGTCGGCTACTTCAGCCAGGGCGCCGACAAGGTAAGGGGCGGCGTCGCACAGTGGGCCAGAAGACCGGTGAAGGCGGCCAAAATTCTAGAGCTCTAGAGTCGCTAAAAAGGACTCGAACCGAACGTGTGACCCTACCAATAGATTCCTCGTTCGGAGAGCAATCCATTGGCGGGGTCACACGTTCGATTCGAGTCCCAGGCCGCCTCCGCTGGTCTTCTGGCCCACTGTGCTCGTCCATGTATGACAGTGCCCTCGGTGTTCATGGAGACAGAGCACTTACGGTGCAGGCGGCGGCCGTGTCACCATGGCCTGCACTAACACGGCCTCGGCCTCCTCGCAGGTGAACACGTTCCAAGTGGCGGTGAGCAGCGACGGCACGCAGTCCTACGCCGAGTTCCTGTACGCCGACGACGGCATCCAGTGGGTGCGCGGCGTGTCCCGGCAGCAGGGGCTGCCCGACGCGCGCGCGCAGGTGGGCTTCGTGGGCGGCGACGGCAGCTTCTTCGAGGTGCGCGGCTCCGGCACGGACCACGTCATCAACGTCAACAAGTGGACCAACGTGAACGTGCCCGGCCACTACGCCTTCCGCATCAGCCCCACCGAGGACCACCAGATCGTGCAGGCCGACCTCGCCGACGCCGGTCAGTCTTGACGTCAGTCTTGACGTCACGCTCGAGGTAAGGTGCCCCGGCCAGGGAAAGGGGTTGATCACAGTCTGTGCCCCGCAGCGCCCGTGGACAACGCGACGTGCGTCAACGACAACACCCTGTGCCACTCGTTCGGCCGCTGCACCGAGACGGTCTCCGGCGAGTCCTGCTGCGTCTGCAACGACGGCTACTACGGCAACGGGCGGCAGTGCCTGTCGCAGGGTGAGGACCCCGGTCACTGACCACCCTCGCACGGTGGAGGCGACCAAAATTCCAAACGCGTTTTGAGCTCCGTTGCTCAACGGGACTGGAACCGAACGTGTGACCCCACCAATGGAATCCTCGTTCAGTGATCAATCCATTGATGGGGTCACTCGTTCGGTTCGAGTCCCACCTCGTGACTCTGGAGCCTTAAAACGCGTCTAGAGTTTTGCCCGCCTCCACCGGTCTTCTGGCCCACTGTGCCTGGCCGCCAACGAGGCTCGTCTCGCTCTACAACTCGGCGGCCTTTTCCAGTGGTGCCGCTGCGGGTGATGGGTCGGCTCTTCGGCGTGCTGAACGAGATCAACATCACGGCGCTGGACCTGCAGTCGTACGTGCTGGTGCAGGACGGCCGCTCGTACACGGCGCTGTCCCGGGTGCCGGCCGACGTGGGCGCCGAGCTGCAGCTGCTCACCCCGGTGGCCATGTCCATCGCCTGGATGTTCGCCAAGCCGGCGGCCGTGGGCGCGCCCAACGGCTTCACGCTCACCGGCGGCACGCTCACGCACTCCATCGAGCAGTTCTTCCCGCAGTCGGGCGAGCGGCTCACGCTCACGCTGCGCTACCTGGGCCTCGACGTGTTCGACCAGCTGCGCCTCGAGGTGGAGGTGCAGGGCGCGGCGCCCAGCCTGCCGGCCGGCGCCAAGGTCAACATGGTGGAGCACGAGGAGTTCTTCACGCGCCAGGCGCCCGGCGTGCTGCACGCCAGCTCGCGCCAGGCCTACACGCTGGACGACGCGCCGCTGGAGCACCGCTTCACAGTGGAGCAGCGCATCGAGTACGCCGAGTGCGGCATGCCGGCCTGGCTGGACGACGCGGTCGCCGCCCCCGCGGACTCCCAGGACGAGGCGCAGGGGCTGAAGCTCAAGGCCTCGCTCAGCCTCATCTCCTTCGAGCCCAGCGACAACATCGTGCGGTTCGCGCCCATCGCCAAGATCACCAACAAGCTGAGTGAGTACGACAAGTTGGCAGCCTGGCTTCGCGCTCCGCCCCGCGCGGCCTCTGCAGATTCTCATAGTCCGCTTTGGTCCGCTTCCGCAGACGAGACCGACCCCTGCGAGGAGGGGCGCTACCGCTGCGGAGCCAACTCGTTCTGCGCGCCGTCCGGGGACTCCTTCGAGTGCCACTGCAGTGCGGGGTGAGTCGGCCTGTCTGTCTGTCCTTCCGTCCGTCGGTCCGTCCGTCGGTCCGTCCGTCAAAGCGTCGTTGGCGCCCGCAGGTACCAGAAGCTGGTCACGGAGGAGACGGTGCAGAACGGCGTGGAGGAGTGCGTGGACATCGACGAATGCCTGCTGGGCCGCCTGCCCTGCTCGCCCAACGCGCGCTGCATCAACACCCCTGGCGGCTTCTCGTGCGAGTGCCTGCCTGGCTTCCAAGGCAACGGCGCCTCCTGTGAACGTGAGTAGGAAGAGACAGCGACAGTCTTTACTCCTCCACGAAATTCTTATTTCAGATTTATTGGGGAAGTACGGTACCGCGTACTTCCCGCTACAAAAATTACTAAAGACCGGACATACCCCTCGGGGGGTATTAGTGGTGTTGGGAGCGACGCAGCCAGCCACTAACTCTGCCACGAACAGTAGCCGCCCGCGCGAGCGCGCGTTCCTCCTCAGCCGCGTGTCGACCTCTGCCGGGAAAAGAAACACGCAAAACTGCGCAACACTGGAATCAGCCGCCCATCCCCTCGACATTGTGCGTGATTGAATGATTGAAGTGTCCTCCTGAAGCAGGAAATTGCCTTTCGGGTCCATGCGATGGTACATGGGATCCTGGAACTCGGGACGTGGCACAGTGGGCCAGAATACCGGTGGAGACAGCCAAAACTCTAGACGCGTGTTGAGCTCCAGAGTCGCAAAACAGGACTCGAACCGAGCGTGTGTCCCCACCAATGGGGAGCAATCCATTGGTGGGGTCACGCGTTCTGTTCGAGTCCCATTTAGCGACTCTCGAGCTCAAAAGGCGTCTAGAGTTTCGGCCGCCTGCGCCCCGTGTGTCCGCAATGGCATACGATCATGTGTGGTCTAGCCCTTAGTGGTAATGGTAAGCAGGGTAGGCAACCCAATGCACCGCTGCGCGGCGGGTCGGCCTTCTCGCCGGGCGATTGCGATTGCGATTAATGGCTGGACCACAAATGATCGTCTGCCTTTCGGGCCCGCCCCGCCATGTCGGTGATTCACCAGCACGTGACGGGTCGTTTCTACTGAGAGGAGTGGTTTTCTCGGTAGACTGGGCGTTCACCCTTATATACCTTAGCCGAGTCTGACACTCGTCTTTGTGCACCCCGTTTCTAGGGCTGTGTTTTGCAGGTCTTCTAGTTGCTTCAACCTCTTCACTCCTATTGATGCGTCCCGTTTTTGCAGCCGTGGTGACGCAGCGCTCCTGCGCCGAGCTGGGCTGCGACCCCGTCGCCGGCGACTGCAGGGACAACAGGTGCTTCTGCGTGGAGGGCTACGAGGGCGACGGCTACCGGTGCAGGCCCGTGCGGGTGGACCCCAGGGAGCAGGACCGCAGGCAGCCCGACCCGAGGTACCCCGACGCCGACCCAAGATACCCCGACCCGAGGCAGCCCGACCCGAGGTACCCCGACCCCGACCCAAGGTATCCCGACCCTAGGTACCCAGACCAGAGGCAGCCCGAACCAGAGCCATACCCGCCACGCAGCAACCCCAACTACCAGGGTACGTTTCCAGAGCGACATGTTGGCGGCGAGGTCTTGACGGCGAGGTGTTGACGCGGTGCTCGTTGCAGCGCCGCCGCCAGCGCCGCCCTGCACCGTGGCCGAGGACTGCTCGCCGCACGGCGTGTGCACGCTGGACGAGCGCACGGGCGCCAAGGCCTGCGTCTGTCTGCACGGCTTCGACGGCGACGGCATCACCTGCCAGCACGTGGACCTGCAGCCGCACTGCGACCCGGACGGCGTCAGCAACTGCGTCTGCCCCGAGGCCTACATCCTGGACACCAATATCTGCCTGCCCGCGGCCGAGGCGGCCGAAGAGTCCGAGAGTGAGTGGGACACAGGTGTCTCTCTCTCTCTCTCGCACTCACGGGGCGCGCCGTGTGGGTGCGAGAGAGACCGGCCGACGGAACGATCTGGACTGACTCTCGCCTCGGTTGCAGTCTCCTGCGACTCGGCCAACAACTGCCACCCGCACGCCTCCTGCGTGTACGTGCCCGCGCTGCTGCAGCACAAGTGCGTCTGCAACGTCGGCTTCAGCGGCGACGGCTTCGAGTGCTCCAACAACGCAGGTGCCTTCCTCACTTTGATCCGACCACCATCTCTCTCGCACTCGCCGTGACGCTGGTTCTTCTTTCTCTCCCAGGGTCGTGCCTGGACCTGCAGGACTGCCACCCCTACGCCGAGTGCAAGCTCCTGGAGCACGAGGACCGCTACGACTGCGCGTGCAGGGCTGGTTTCAAGGGCGACGGCCGCCTGCAGTGTGTGCGCGACGAGCCGCCCGGCTGCGAAGTGACGCGCGACTGCCACCCCGAGGCGCGCTGCATGCCGGTCAGTCTGAGTCCGACGCACTGTGGATTTGCCAGAAGACCGGTGGAGGCGGTCTAAATCCCGGACGCGTTTTGAGCTCCAGAGTCGCTAAATGGGACTCGAACCGAACGTGTGACCCCACCAATGGATTGCTCTCCGAAATCCATTGGTGGGGTCACGTGTTCGGTTCGAGTCCTGTTCAGCGACTCTGGAGCTCAAAACGCTTCTAAAGTTTGGCCGCCTCCACCGGTCTTCTGGCCCACTCCGTTTCTGGAGCGAGGGGTAGCGACGCGCGAGGACGAGGGGAATGACCTGTCGCTACCCCGCGCATGGGGGGATACCCGAGAGTCCCTCGCTCGCGGGGTCACGGTGGTATGACGCCTCCACGGCTGCCCCGGCAGGTGGGCCGCAAGTACCAGTGCGTGTGCGGCGCGGGGACGCAGGGCGACGGCAAGACGTGCGAGCGGACGACGCCGCCGGGCTGCGAGGTGCTGCAGGACTGCGGCCGCTTCGCGGAGTGCCTGCGGGTGCGCGGCGAGGCGGGCTACCGCTGCCAGTGCCTGCCCGGCTACCTCGGCGACGGCTACCGCTGCGACGTGGACTCCAGCCGGCAGCGGGAGCGCGAGCGCGAGTGGGAGCGCCTGTCGTGCGGCCCGGCCGGCAGCCGGCGCTGCACCGAGAAGGACTCGGACTACATGGTGGTGGCGCAGGGCATGGCGCTCATGAAGGTGCCGCTGCTGCCGCCGCAGACCGCGTCGCAGGCCGGCCAGCCCCTGCAGATCCACTACTTCCAGGAGGCCATCGGTAAGGCCTCGGCACGCACGGTGGAGACCGGCGGAGGCGGACGAAACTCTAGACGCGTTTTGAGCCCCAGAGTCGGTGAATGGAACGCGAACCGAACATGTGACCCCACTAATAAATAGCTCTCCGGACGAGGAATCCATTGGTGGGGTCACAAGTTCGGTTAAGTCCTGTTTAGCGACTCTGGAGCTCAAAACGCGTCTAGAGTTTTGGCCGCCGGCGCCGGTCTTCTGGCCCACTGTGCCGCGGCCACGTGCATCATTGGTTTGGCGCCCCGCCACAGCCCTAAATCCCTCTGACCCGATGCCTGCAGGCGTAGATGTGGACTGCGAAGAACAGCGGATTTACTGGAGCGACGTCGCCAGCAAGTCCATCAAGAGCATGTTCTACAACGGCACCGGCATCAACACCTTCCTGGACGCGGAGATCGTCAGCCCCGAGGGCATCGCCGTGGATTGGGTGTCCAGGAACATCTACTGGGCCGACTCCTCCAAGGACACCATCGAGGTGGCCAGCTTGGACACCAAGGGGAGGACCACCCTGGTGCGCGACGGCCTGGTCAACCCCCGAGGCATCGCTCTGCACCCACAGAGAGGGTGAGTAGGCGGTGCGCAGTGCACCGGCCGGCAAAAGTCTTGGAAGTGCGGGTAGTTGAACCCATGTTCCGTCTGCAGCAAACTGTTCTGGTCTGACTGGGACCGCGCGGCGCCCAAGCTGGAGTGGGCCAACTTGGACGGCTCCCAGAGGGAGGTGTTCCTGCAGGGCAACGCCGTCAAGCTGCCCAACTCGCTGGCCATCGACTTCGACAGGGACGAGCTCTGCTGGGCGGACGCGGGCACCAAGTCCATCGGTGAGGCTCGTGGCATCCAGCCAGCTTTCTCGTTTTTTTCACAGAGTTACTAATTTAGATTAATTTTTTTTTCGGTGCGCAGAGTGCATCGGAATCAGCAGTGCCATAAGACGTACGGTTGTCGCAAACGTGACGTACCCGTTCGGGCTGGCCATGTCTGAGGACAACTACTTCTGGACGGACTGGCAAAGGTAACTGGAAGGCCCCTCGCCTCCCCACAGTGGGCCAGAAGACCAGCGGAGGCTGCCGACACTCTTCACGCGCAGGCTCGGACTGGCCAGGGCAGACAGGCAGAAAAATCTGCCGGGGCCTTTCGGGTTTGGGACCAGTAACATCACAAAGTTGGTCGGTCAAAGAGTCCTAGTATATACAGGACGAAAGTAGCCGTTTTCGCTGATTTTGGGCGGCCACTGCGTCCGATCTAATTGCGGTCAACGGCCTCCCTCGACGCCCTAGTATTCTTAAGACCCTACCCTTTCATGCCCTGCATCGGGAAGACGTTGACCACAACGATTTTGGCTTTGACCGCAACGATTTTCCGACTAAGTTGGTCAAAAAGTGGTCGAATCTCGGAAATTTGCTGATTTTGGATGGCCACTGTGTCCAATCTAGTCGCCGTAAAAGGCCTCCCTCGACGTCCTAGTATTCTTAAGACCCTACTCTTTCATGCCCTGTATCGGGAAGACGTTGACCACAACGATTTTGGCTTTGACCGCAGCGACTTTCCGACTAAGTTGGTCAAAAAGTGGTCAAATCTCGGAAATTTGCTGATTTTGGGCGGCCACTGTGTCCAATCTAGTAGCCGTAAAAGGCTTCCCTCGACGCCCTAGTATTCTTAAGACCCTACTCTTTCATGCCCTGTATCGGGAAGGCTATTGACCGCAACTAGTTTGGGAGCGGTAGCCTCACAAAGTTGGTCATGAAGGGTAAAAACATAATGATGATCGGGGGCCTTTTACGGTCTTATCCGCTGGGGCCTTTTGGGGGCCAGTCCGAGCCTGTTCACGCGTAGAGTGTACAGCTCCGGAGTCGTTACACAGGATTCGAACCGAGCGTGTGACCACAGCAATGGATCCCTCGTTCGGAGAACAATCCATTGGTGGGGTCACACGTTCGGTTCGAGTCCTGTTTAGCGACTCTGGAGCTCAAAACGCGTCCGGGATTTTGACCGTCTCCACCGGTCTTCTAGCACACTGTGCTCCACTGACCTACAACAGCGTGCAGCCGTTAACGCAAATTTTGCATTCCCAGCCACAAGGTGGAGAGCGCTTCGCGTCCGGAGGGCGCGCCCAGACCGGCCAAGGACGTGCCCCTGGGCGGCTCGGGCAAGATGTACGGGCTGGTGGTGGTGCCGGAGGCGTGCAAGAGAAGTGAGTCAAGGGCCAGCGCCTCAAAGCCGCAGAAACGAAACACGAACATTGCAACACCTTTTTAAACTGTTTCAGTGCAAAACCCCTGCGGCTGGCAGCGGGGCTACTGCAACCCAGACCAGATCTGCCTGCCCGACGGGCACGGCAACAGGCGGTGCGTCTGTCCGGAGAACCAAACGTGCGTCGAAGAGTGAAGAGTCACGCCGCGCGTCGCTCGAAGCGTCTTACTACTTACAGCGGAGCAGGCGGAGCCTCCGTCCCTTCCGCTTCCACCCACTGACGCACGGTGTGGAGAGACACTCTGACTCCACACCGTGCACCGACGACATGCTCGCATGCGCAGCAATGCACAGCAACGCGCAAACTGCCCGCAGCGGCACTGCAGACGGCACCCTGGAGGATGACACTGTTAAAAAAAAGGTTTTGTCCGAACGACCCAAACTATCAGTTGACCTTCTGAATCGGTACAACATTCCTAAGGAAATCAACTAAATTTTGATTAATTCAATTCCACGTTTTTGATAGTGTACGCTGCTAGTTATTTATTGCTGTTATCCACGCTTCGGCGACACTTTACCCGATTTGCACTGTCGCTGCTGTTAGAATCAGTATTTGTTAAATGGTTGAGGAGATTTTAATTTTGATATTTGATTAAAACGTCCAGGAATCAGTGTCAGGAATGGTAGATTGTAAAAGCGGTAGTTTCAAAGTCTTTTTTATTGTGAAACGAAAATAAAACAATTTTGTAACGTATTGTCTTTTTCTTACCCTGCGGTGCTTAAGTCCAGCTTAAGGAAAACAAAACAAACAAAAAACGGTGAACGCCTTCATTGAGCTTTTTATTCATAAAAAACAAAAGCACCACAATTCGATACTCATCACAATTCCCAGCAAGGAATGAAAAGATAATCTGTCGATTTTAAATTCGGCGATTCGCGTGATACAATCATTATAGAGAGATGCTACGTGGATGCAAGCCGTTAAAAGTTCATTTCTCACTGGGATATTTTTCGACAAAGCTGATCATATCTTTCGCTCAATCCCCGACATTGGCTCCGAACAAACGATGATCAAAAACATCCACAAACATTACTCAAGTGACAATGGTCGAAAAGCAAGAGGCTTTTGTCGCCATTTTACTGGGAAAACGGTTAAAAATCTAGAAAACATATATTCTAAAATCTACATGAGGTAATTACCACCTATATCTCAGACAAAAATATTTGGTACAAACTATTATTGTGATTTCGACGTGACATCTATAGAGCACCCCCTCAGGGTCCGTGGGGTTCGCTCTCCTGATCACTCCTTGAGACATCCCCAAGAGACACATTCGCTCTAAATCTACAAAATTCAGTCGAGTTGCAAGTACTCTCGCGCACTTGTCAATCCACTAAGGTACACAAATAGTTGCTATGTGGCTCGAGACCAGCTAAAGCTCACACTCGCTATTGAAGCTGCTCTCCCCACCTTCTCTCTCAAGCGCCACATATGTCCACAATGTTCTTAAAGGGTTCCCATCACGGTGACGACTTGTGGAACATGGAGTGATTTCGCGGCGCTCCGGGGAAAATAAATCCAGCTTTCTCTCATTTTTTCCAATAGAAAAAAAAAACACAGCCCATAAATATGTGTTCGAGAACAGCACCACTTTGGTCGGTGTTCGTCCAACGGTGTGGACTACGAAGTACAATAAAGCACTTGTTTAATCCTAACCAAGCACCACTCTAGTAACCTTGGGTGTCCGGTCAGATTTGACTGCCACCTCACAGGGAGCGGCAAGGCCCTCCGTCTGACCCAAGGTTTAAAATAATTATACTGATAAAATCACAAAATGACAAGCTCCTCCTCTCAGTCAAAGACAACAGTCTGCTACTTTTCTTTTCCCTGTCGCCAGCGACATCTCATCTCTACCAGGGGGCACGGCGCCTAGGGCGACAACCTAAACCTAAAGGTTTTCTATCAGTCAGAGTTGCATTGTTCGTTGCTGGCTACACTCGCGGGTCGCACTCGAGGGTCTACTTCTTGATGGAGCCGTTGTGGAGGGAGGGTCCCTTCTCCATGGCGGCCTCCAGGTCCGCGTCGCCGTCCTCCACGAACGTGCCGATCCCGTTGAACTCCTGGAAGGGAAAAGGCAGCATTTTTGAAACCAGGGCTGACAGCCCACAGTGGGCCAGAAGACCGGTGGAGGTGGACAAAATCCCGGACGCGTTTTGAGCTCCAGTGGAGGTGGACAAAATCCCGGACGCGTTTTGAGCTCCAGAGTCGCTAACTGGAACTCGAACGAAACGTGTGACCGCACCAATGGATTGCTCTCCGAACGAGGAATCCATTGGTGGGGTCACACGCTCGGTTCGAGTCCTATTTATGAACACTGCAGGTCAAAACGCGTCGAGAGTTTTGGCCACTTCCATCAGTCTTCTGGCCCAGAAGGGGTTCATCCTAGGAGTCCTGCCATGATTTATGAAACTTTTTGTTTCCATTTTGGCGGCCGTACCGCAGTGTTGAGCGCCTCGCCGTCGGGGGACTCGAGCTCGGCCTTGGACAGGTGCTCCACCACGGCCGCGGCGTAGAGGTCCCCCAGGCAGTTGTTGGTGGTGCGCACGCGATCGCTGCAGCAGAAGGCAGAGGCCGTGAAGGGAAAGGCGGCGACGCCGTTTGGCACGATTCGTCACTTTGGGGCGACATCATCGCGGATCGATGTGTCCAGACACGCACACAAACCAATCGACGGCAAACAGCAGGGACGCCTCCCCGGCCGGGATGCCGATGGTGGACAGCACCATCAGCAGCAGCACGAGCGCGGCGCTCGGCACGCTCGCCGAGGACATGGAGGCCGCCGTGGCGGTCAGGCTGCAAAGAGCAAAAGCAAACCACGTCAACGGGCGGCTTCCTTTCAGCAGACTTCGAGTCGGACAGTGGGCCAGAAGAGCGGTGTGGAGGCGGCCAACATGCTAAACGCGTTTTAAGCTCCAGAGTCGCTAAACAGGACTTGAACCGAACGTTTGAGCCCATCAATGGATTCCTCGCTCAGAGAGCAATCCATAAGTGGAGTCACACGTTCGGTTTGAGTCCCATTCAGCGAATCGAAAGCTCAAAACGCGTCTCGAGTTTTAGCCGCCTCCGCCGGTCTTCAGGCAAATCCACTGTAGCGCGGAGGCACTGAACTGACCAGACGGTGGCCAGGTCGCCCCAGCCCAGGGTCATGTAGTTCATCTGCGCGATGAAGATGGTGGCCACGGCGATGAAGAGCGCGGTGCCGTCCATGTTGACGGCGCAGCCGATGGGCAGCACGAAGCGGGTGACGCGCGGGTCCACGCCCAGGCGGTCCATGGTGCGCATGGAGATGGGCAGGGCGGCCGCGCTATAACGCAACGATGCACAAACTACGTAACACGCGCAACACACGCCAGGGCACAGTAAGCCAGAAGACCGGTGGCGGTGGACAAAATCCCGGACGCGTTTTGAGCTGCAGAGTCGCTGAATGGGACTCGAACCGAACGTGTGACCCCACCCATGGATTCCTCGTTGGTGGGGTCACACGATCGGCCCGAATCCTCTTTTGAGAGTCTGGAGCTGAAAACGCGTCTAGAATTTTGGCCGCCTCCACTGGACTACTGGCCCACTTGCAGAGCGCGCCAACTATTCGGCGACAAACTCACGTGGAGGCGGTGGCGAACGCCGTCAGGTTGGACTGGAACAGGTTGGCGTAGAAGCGGAAGGGGTTCTTGCGCAGGAAGGCGTAGTAGATGAGCTGCATGATGATGAGCTGGTACAGCAGCACGCCGATGACCACCGTCAGGATGAACCACGCCAGCTGCGCCATGACCACGGCCAGGTCGTCGACGGCCAGGATCTTGCCGCAGATGACGGAGCACACGCCGACCGGGGTGAGCCTGGCAAAGCAGTGCAGAGCGGCCGTCAAGCAGTGTCAACCAGCGTCGCCTCGTCAACGGTGGAGGCGTCCAAAACACCAGACGGGTTTTGAACTCCAGAGTGGCTTAACAGGACTGGAACCGAACGTGTGACCCCACCAATGGACTGCTCTCCGAATGAGGAATCCATTCACACGTTCGGTTCCAGTCATGTTCAGCGACTCTGGAGCTCAAAACCCGTCCGGGGTTTTGACCGCCTCCGGCGGTCTTCTGGCGCACTGTGCTTCGCCTCACTCACCACATGATGCCGGATACCATCTTCATGATGACCTCGTAGATGGTGCAGAAGAAGTCCACCACCACCTTGCCCTTGCTGCCCATGGTGCTGAGCACGGTGCCGAACAGGAGGCAGAAGAAGATGATCCCCAGGGTGTTGGTGCCGTCCCTGAAAGAGGACGCCGCGTCAAATCGCGTCGTCGCCGCTTCCCGGCTGTTCGTCCAACGATACCCCTCGCGCGACGGGGGCGCGAGTCTCCGACGCGTGAGGTAGCGACGCACAATGGGCCAGTAGACCGGTGGAGGCGGCCAAAATTCTAATCGAGTTTTTAGCTTCAGAGTCGCTACATGGGACTCGAACCGAACGTGTGACCCCACCCATATGCTGCTCTCCGAACGAAGAATCCATGGGTGGAGTCACGAGTTCGGTTCGAGTCCCATTTAGCGACTCTGGAACTCAAAACGCGTCCGGGATTTTGGCCGCCTCCACCTGTCTTCAGACCTACTGTGCGACGGATCGAATCCGTAGATTGTGTCTTGGTGCCTACCTGTACTTGAGGGCGCGCTTCATCTCCACGCTGGCCGTGCTGGCCGTGAGCGCGGCCACGGCGGGGTAGGCCTGGGTGGTGGCGGCGGTGGGCCCGGTCGGCGAGAAGGGCTCCTCCTTCGGGACGTACACGGTGTGCACCTGCAACAGGACCGAGGCCGTCTCAGCCGGGGCAGTGGCTGGCTGCGTGGAGCGTGGCAGCGTGGCCGAGATACGTGAGGCAGCAAGCCTCTGTCTCTCTCGCACTCGCGGGGCGTCCCGTAAGGCGTCCCGTAAGGGTGCGAGAGAGACGGAGCGACGAAACGACTCTTCGGAACCGCCCGGGCCGGCATGAGAAACATGTCGTACTCTGGACACATTCCTCATACCGGCCTTGGCGCCATTTTGCGGCAGCGGACCGAACCTCGTTCACGTCCAAAGCGCCAGAACACTCTACCGGTAGTGTGGGCAAAGGAGTTGGGCATTCGTCATGAAAAAGGCGATTCGGGCAAGTCTAATGGGCCTCTCTGCTTTGGCTTACTTTCTTTTGTGTGCCATTTACCTGTTGGAATGCTGCTTGGAAAAGGTTGTCTGCGAAGAGGTTTCTGTAAAAAGACGTTTGTTATAAGCAGTGGGCAGGGGTCAGAGTGAAGAGCGAGGCTGCGACTCGCCTAGTCGTTGGCTAGTCGTCCTGAGTCGGAGGACCGAAGGACGTGTCGGACTATCGGGAGAAACTTTTGCTTTTGACTGTAGCCGGCGGAAAAGAGGAGACTGATTCGCAGACGCCTTTAAGAGCAGTGGTACAGTCCCAAGTCACGAGACCGAAGGTCTATTCTTAGACAAGCAGCGCCCGAGTGTGGAACTGCTCACAATTGAGGCGACAAGTCTAGAGAGTCTAGGGTGGCGGGACAGGAGACTGGCCGGACCCTCTGCCTCCGCTCTAAGACACCATGCCACTATTCCGATGTGCTTTCCAAGCGGCAGTGCACAGAAGCCATGAGAACACTTCGTTGACAGACTAGTAACCCTTTGTTCAATCAGATGAGAGCGTCGCCTCTGTCCTTACCTTCCGAGGTCGAGCAGGCCGTCCATGACCTGGGCGCGGTCCCGGGGGTCCCTCGTGTCCCTGGAGTCCAGGGGCGGGCCGTCCTCGCCGAAGGACAGCGGGTCGCCGGGGTGGATGGCGAGCACCAGGACGATGCCCAGCATGGCGTTGAGCAGCGAAGTCAGCGCGAAGTACACCAGCGTGCGCAGCGCGATGCGCCCGTTCATGCGCGCGTTCAGACGGGAGGTGCCTGGTTCAAATACCGAGTCAGATGAGTTTTATTAATTCATTTTATTATTTCATTCATTTAGGCATCCATTTATTTAGTCGTCCACCCGTCCGCGTCCGTCCGTCCGTCCGTCCGTCCGTCCGTTCATTCATTCATTCATTCATTCATTCATTCATTCATTCATTCATTCATTCATTCATTCATTCATTCATTCATTCATTCATTCATTCATTCATTCATTCATTCTTCGTTTACCTGCGATGAGTGAAGCGATGACAAGCGGCAGGATCATGAGCTTGAGGAGCCGCATGAAGAGTTCTCCGGGGTACGAAAGCAGCAGCACCCAGTCATCGTGCAGGTCCAGCGGCCTCAGCGACAGCCCTGAAGGGGAAAGGCGGAGAGGGTAAAGTATCATCATCCCTGACGGCCCTGACGGCCCTGACGGCCAGCAGCGAGGCTACCCCTTTGTCGGGTACGTCCCCCTCCCTGTTCCCTATCGACCCGCCCAGCCCGGGCTTGGGGCAGGCCTCACAGCTGACAGGGTGAAGGGTGCGGTGGGGTGGGGTCCAAGAACCAGAGTTTATTATCACTTTGTCACATTAATCCTAGAGGGCTGAGGGAGGATTGCGTCACAGACGGACCGGTTCGAGCCAGGGGTGGGCATCAAGACTTGGGTTTGGGCGCTGCCATCCCGCCCAAGGAGCAGCGCACAGTGGGCCAGAAGACCGGCGGACCGGACTCGAACCCAATGTGTGACCCCACCAATGGATTGCTCTCCGAACGAGGAATCCATTGGTGGGGTCACACGCTCGGTTCGAGTCCTATTTTGCGACTTTGGAGCTGAAAACGAATCTAGACTTTTGGCCGCCCGCACCGGTCTTCTGGCCCACTGTGCAGCGCAAGGGGCAGCCCAACCTTCCCCACACGCAGCGAGGTTGGAGGTTCACCCGGCGGGCGGCACCAGCCACCCCCTCCCCACTCGCTCCCTTTTCGAAACGCGAATCGATCAGGTTTTTGACCCCGCGCACTTTCTTCAGGCGTACCGCGGCCCAGACGGCCAGTTGAGGTGAGACGCGGCGACTCCGGACACGTTTCGGCCCTGGCAGCCCCCACACTCAAATTCAACGCATGATGGCACTATGGATTGCCTTTCGAAAGAGGAATCCCTTGTCGACGTGCGGTTGATTCGAGTTCTACTTGAGTTGTTTGACGTGTTCGCGTCTGGGTCTGGCAGCACCAGGGCCCTGCGGTCAGACAACTCTGTTTTGATAGGTCGCGAGGATTATGGGGTCAAGTTGAGCTCACTCCCACGCGCTGCTCGAGCCAAGCCAGCGACGCCGCGACCTGCCCCAACGGCCCCAACCGCCCAGCGGTCGCAAGAAAAAACAAAACAAAAAACGAATAAACGACCGAAATTCTCATACGCGACTGGGGACCGGGGGCTGGGGTTGGCAGTGACGGGGAGGTTGTGTCAGAGGACAAGAACAGAGCCGAAGCCGGGAAGCCTGGCAACACGTTGGCAAGACGTGCCAGCGCCGCCGCACTGTACAGCGCGCTGAGCACGCTCCGTCTCCGTCGCACTCACGGGGCGTCCCGCTGCGTCCCGCTGCGTCCCGCGGGGCCGCGAGAGAGACAGAGCGACGATTCGGCTGAATTGCGCCGACGCCCGGCCCGGGTCCACCCTGTCTGTTTGAGTTTCAGCCACAGGCGGGGCGCGCGGCCAGACGCCAGCAGACTGATTCCGCGCAGCGGTTCGCCGCTGTCTGTCTCACACCAACACGGGACAGCGAGGACGAAGCGGACGCCCGGAATGGCCCTGCTGACCAAATGCACCGTGGGGCAATCTACGGCCCAACTTGGATTCTTTCGGACGGAAGTTCCGTCTTCGAACAGTGTCGCTCTGTCTCTCTCGTACTCGTGCGGACGCCCCGCAGGAACGCGAGAGAGACGGATCGGCCCAAGAGGAAAGCACCCCTGCATAAAAAGACTGCCCACGTGCAACCCGCCCCTGACGCGGGCGGCTATCATGTTGGTCGCCAGCCAAGGCGCTGCAGTCTGTCCGCCTGTCTGCCCGTCTGCCTGTCTGTCCGCCTGTCTGCCCGCCTGTCTGTCTGTCCGCCTGTCTGCCCGCCTGTCTGTCTGTCCGCCTGTCTGCCCGCCTGTCTGTCTGTCCGCCTGTCTGCCCGTCTGGCTGTCTGTCCGCCTGCCCGCCTGCCCTTCCGGCAGTCCGGCTGCAGGCAGACAGACAGGCAGCCAGGGGCGACATACGGCGAGTGTAAACAAAATCCGTTGCTGCTTTTCTTTTGAAAGCACGCCGCCTGGCGGGACGCGGAGGACGCGGTGACGTCAGGGGTCGCAAAGAGACCGGGCACACCCTCTTGGCCGGGACGCAGAACGCCTGCACGCTAGCGCGTCGCACGTCAGTCCACACGTCAGTCCGAGCGGCACTAGTGACAAATAATTCATTAGAACCAAGACACGAGAAACACATGCATGCGTGGCTTTTTGCAGTGTGTTGGCGGACTCCACGTTTCTGGCGTGTTTTTTGGCGGAGGCCTACAGCCGGAGAGCCAGACGATTCGAAATGCGACAGAGTGCAGTCAGACAGACAGACAGACAGACAGACAGACAGACGGTCCAGGCAAACAGACCGACGCGCTGGCATCACTCTGGTATCGATCCTGTCTGCTTGTCTTGTCGCTTTTTACAGAGCACGTGCTCATCCATTATGAGCGGCAGACTGACTCCGAGATGTGCTGCTGTCGCTCCGTCTCTCTCGCGCCTGTACGGGTTGAGACACGGGTGCGAGAGAGACGGAGCGACGGTCTGCAAGCGATTGATGACGGAGGCGGGCGTCACGCTTCGGGCCGCGGTGCACGTGTTTATGATTTGCCCTGAAGAAAGGGGAAGCGAGGATCCGAAGAGTTGCTTCGTGAAAAAGGATTCAAGCCGAAAATTTAGCTTGGCTTGCATGCATGCTGTAGACGAATTTTGTTTTTGATTGTGGGGGTAAATTGCTGAAGGAAATGGGAGTGTTTTCCTTGTCGACGGCGGCTGTTGCCTGTCCCACGCACCCTCAGCCGCCCTTTCGGCTGCCACTGCTGGAGTGACACTGTAAGAATCAAGAAGCCAGACTCGGGCCCCGCCACAGTGAACACAATCGATTCCCGAAGCCCACCAAGTGCCAACCGCCGAGAGCTAGGAGCAGGCCAACAGTGCTCTCGTCGCCGTCTCTCTCGCACTCGCAGAGCTTGGAGAAGGCCACACCGGCAGGGCTCTTCAACCAATCAGCGCGCTGCGTTTACTTCCCGCCGAAAAACGCATCGAGGTGATTGGCTGAAATTCAGTGACGTAGTGCCCCGTCGCACAGTGGGCCAGAAGACCGGCGGGGGCGGCCAAAACTCTAGACGCGTTTTGAGCGCCAGAGTCGCTAAACAGGAGTCGAACCGAACGTGCGACCCCACCCTCGTTCGGAGAGCAATCCATTGGCGGGGTCACACGTTCGGTTCGAGTCCTGCTCAGCGACTCTGGAGCTCAAAACGCGTCTAGAATTTTGTCCGCCTCCACCGGTCCTGTGGCCCACTGTGCGTCGGTCCTCCACGCGTTAAACGCCTCTCGGGGTGTTTCGCGACCTCGCACCCATTGCAGTGTGGGCGCCTTGCGTGGCAACCCGGATAACAAAGGACACGACTGTAAAAGGGAGACTCACCCAGCAGGACGCCGCAGAGCACGCCGACGAGGGTGGCCAGCAGCAGCAGGTTGCGGGAGAGCCAGCTCTTGAGGCCCTTGATGCTGTCCTGGGGCCGCGAGGAGCCCCGGCGCACGCCGCCCAGGGCGCCAAGGCCCCCCAGGCCGCCGCCCAGGGAGCCCCGCGCCCCGCCGGACTCGGACCGGGACATCAGTGGGCCTGCAATCCGTCAAGGTGGTCGTGAAGGCCGTGAATCAGCAGAGATAAGGAAGGTGCGCGGAGGTTGTTGACCTCGCCGCCCCCGCCTCTCACCTCCATCGCTGCTGTGGTGGTGGACCCTCATCCACGGGTCCGCGGTCCACCTGGTGGACGTGTCTGCTGCCCTCGTGCCCACGGCGAGGCCCTGGCGAGGGCCCACGGCCGCCCCCTGGCGGGGCCCCGCTCCCTTCGCAGGGCCCCTTACAGGGCCCCTTACAGCGCACGTGCGCCGGCCCTGGCCAGGCCCTGGCCAGGCCTAGCCCGCGGCAGGCGGTGGGGCTGGAGCGGGCTGGAGCGGGTTGGGGCTGGCTGGAAGCGGGCTCGGGCTGGAAGCGGCGCAGATTCCGCGGCCGTGCCTCGTGCCAGCCCCTGGACGCACTGCCTCACTGCCGGCCCGCCCGTCCCGCCCGGCCCGGTGCGACGCCCTCCCCGCCAGCCTCCCCGCCAGCCCCCCCTTCCGGTAGCGAGTCGAACGAGTCGAACGCCCTCCGAGCGCGCCGAGTCCGGCCGAGTCCAGCCGAGCGCGCGCCGAAGGGGCCCGGAGGGGGCCGAAGCCAGCCGAAGCCAGCCGAGGAGGCAGAACGCGAACGCGAACGCGGGCGCGATCCCGCTCCCCTGGCGCGCTACCCCTTGACGAACGAAACCACCACCAGCACGGCGCGGCGTGTCGCGTGCCGCGTGCCGCAGCACTGGCGGCGCGTGGCGCGGTCCTGTCCCCGGCACGGCAGGGCACGCCCGGCAGCACGCGGCCGGCTGCGCGAATCCCACGCCGCGGTCTTTTCTTTGCCTCCTTTGATGTCCCGCGCTGCTTGTCCTGCGCCGCAATCAGGCCGGCGCGGCGGCCTTGGGAGAGTCATCAGAGGCACGCCGACGGATAGGGAAGCGGCAGGGGGACAAAGGTGCGGGGCGGCGGCGTGTCGCCGGCGAGGTGATGGTGGCGGTTCAGTGGGCCGCGATCCTACCCGTCCGCCCGCCCGCCCGCCTGCTTGCCTGCCTGCCTGCCTGCCTTCACTTCCACCCCGTTGGAGAAGGGCCGCGGTTACGCCTCGCGGGGACACCATGGCGCGGTGCAGAGTGGCAAGGTCGGCTCGTATCGCCCATTGTGAGTGTGTATCCCCAAGACGTCGGACGTCATCGGGGCGCTTTCAGAAACCACCCCCGCAACCGCCAACGCCGCCAACGCCGCCAACGCTTGAAGGCTTCCAGAATTGAATAGTGGCGCTGCTGGAGCGGTGGTGGCGGCGGCGGCGGTGGTGGTGGAGGCGGCAGTGGAGCGCCGCCTGTGCCGATGACGTCACCAGGGCGCGACGAACGCCGCCCGAACGCCGCGGCGCAGCGCCATCAATGGAATGAAGCAGGCAGTGCCGCAGTGTGTACACTGTCTCCTAAACCAACCGGCCGTTTTATCTTTTCTTCAAAGAATTTTTTTAAAGACCTTTTTCTTTTGTTATGGTTTATGTGTTCTCAACGGAGACCTAGGCTCTCCATGGGCTTTTTTCATGCAGCCTCCACCATTTTGCGAGTTTACTTTTTTTGGAGGGTACGGCAACCACAGGGAAGTGCCCCTCCTCCCCATCGACCAGGCTCGGCAAAGACGAGGATATCAGGGACCTTGATCACTCTCAACGCCAGGGGCAGCCCGAGGGGCAGCCCAGCCCTCCCTCTGCGTCAGTGTCCCGGTCGCTCGGCCTAGCTCGGCCAGCAGGGCCTGCCTGCAGCAGTGCATTCACCCATGCGACCGCCGCACCCCGCCCCGCCACGGGGATTAAAGAGGCTCGATTTAGAAGCGTCGCGTTTTCCCGCCCCCAGGACGTCCGCAGCCACGCGTGGCACTGTGTGTGTGTGTGTGTGTGTGTGTGTGTGTGTGTGTATGTGTGTGTGTGAGAGAGAGAGATCGTTCGAGGGTGTGAGTGAGATGGAGGGAGGGGCGAGGGGCGTCGAGCCGCATTGTGTCTATGTACATAGTCCTGACGCATATTCGATTGGGAGGCCCCATTCGTGCGGTGTGTAGATGTGTAGATACACGAGGCCCGATACCGAACTACCGGCCGCCAAGGCCGACCTCCAGCTGCCCCCGCCACGCTGCAGAAACCTCCTCCTGCTGGAATTTCTTTTCTGAACGAAAATTAGAGGTGCGGTTGTTGATAAACATTGGCGTGAGTGTACTGCAGGCTGCAACGCTGCCTCGAAACGCGATAGCCCAGCCAGCCTAGCCGGCCGGGATGGCGATGTGTTTGGCGTCATATGAGGCGAGGCTCCCTCCACACGGGCGAGCTCATGATTGATGCCCGAACCGAACCGCCCTAGTCGCTAGTCGCGCTGTCTCTGTCGCACTCGTGCGGCTCCCCGTAAGGGTGCGAAAGGGACAGAGAATCTGAATGGCGCGGCTGGTCGCGGTGCGCACACTGTGAAAAAAGGTCGGGCGACCGCACTGCCATGGCACTGCCGTGGTCATGGATCGGCCAATCAAGGAGTGCGGGCCTGGCTGCCTTGCGTCACCGCCTTGGCTCTGGCCCCTCCTTGGCCCAGGCTCACCCCCGGCAGACAGAAAGGCAGACAGTCAGACAGACAGACAGTTAGACAGACAGACAGACAGTCAGACAGACAGACAGTTAGACAGACAGACAGTCAGACAGACAGACAGTTAGACAGACAGACAGACAGTCAGACAGACAGGCGGACGCACGGACAGGCAGACAGACAGACGTTGATATCTTCCTCTTTCATCGCTGGACTTCTTCCTTTTTTTTTAGCGCGAGAATAATGCCGGGGGTGTTAGTCTTCCTTCCGGAAGACCGGTTCGCGGAAAGTCTGATTTTATCGAGCTGCCAGCACGAGCGAAGGGGACGGCGGGACGGGTCTGCCGGGCCGCGGTCTGTCGCGGACGGGGTCCTGGACGCAAGGGCGGTCCGGGCGGTCCGGGCGGCCCGGCCCCGAGAGCTAGGCGAGTCGGAAGCGCCCCGTTTTAGACGGCACGGCGGGAAGGGCGGCAGCCGGTCGGTCTGTCTCTCTCGCACCCCATGAGTGCGAGAAAGACCTCCCTCTCGGAACCAGCCTGCAGGGCCGGGCAGGGCAGGGTGGGGCGGCATTAAGGTCGTCCGCATTTAGCCAGAGTCCCACCTTGCTCTTTGGCCCGCGATGGACTTGGGAATGCCACCTCCACCACCACCGCCACGACGGCGACGGCTGGGTGCCTGGTCATCGTACAGCCCGTCGCCCCTTCGGACGCCCCCGAGAGCAGCTTCGGGTGCACTCGGCCCCCGCCGCTGGTCTCTCTCTCCTCAGCCACGGGACGCCCCATGAGTGCGAGAGAGGGAGAGAGGGACGGAGGGCGACCGCGCCGCGCACGTGCCGGGGCCCTGCGAGGCCCTGCCAAGGCGGCTTGCTCTCTCTGTCTCTCTCGTCCAGGGAAACCCCGCGCGTGCGAGGGAGACGGGGAGACGGCGCTGTCATGACTACCGTCGCCGCCCTGCCGCCCCGTCCGCCTGTCCCTGTCTGCCGATGCGGCCGGTTCTACGCAAGCCGCGCAACCCGAACCGCCCATTCCTAGAACTTTCCTGGCGTGCTCTAATCTGCACAGTCGGGGAAATTCTCATGAGTGTCCCTTGCCCTGTGTAACCGCGGGCTGGAGCGCCTGCTGGGTAGGCAATGCAGTGCACAGGTGCCTTGCGGGCTGGCCTATCTCGCGTTCGCAGGCTGGAGCGCCTGCTGGGTAGGCAATGCAGTGCACAGGTGCCTTGCGGGCTGGCCTATCTCGCGTTCGCAGGCTGGAGCGCCTGCTGGGTAGGCAATGCAGTGCACAGGTGCCTTGCGGGCTGGCCTATCTCGCGTTCGCAGGCTGGAGCGCCTGCTGGGTAGGCAATGCAGTGCACAGGTGCCTTGCGGGCTGGCCTATCTCGCTTCCGCAGGCGCTTCGCTTCGCGCGGTCGGTCCACAGTGGGCCAGAAAACCGTGGAGGCGGCTAACATTCAAGACGCGTTTTGAGCTCCAGAGTCTCTAAATGGGACTCGAACCGAACGTGTGACCCGGTGTGACCCCACGCATGGACTGCTCTCCGGACGAGGAATCCATGGGTGGGGTCACACCAGGCTCGGACTGGCCAGGGCAGACAGGCAGAAAAATCTGCCGGGGCCTTTGGATTTGTGACCAGTAACGTCACGAAGTTGGTCAAAAAGTGATTGAATCTCCGAAAGTGGCCGTTTTCGCTGAATTTGAGCGGCCACTGCTTCGATCTAGTTGCAGCCAACGGCCTCCCTCGACGTCCTAGTATTCTTAAGACCCTACTCTTTCATGCCCTGTATCGGGAAGACGTTGACCACAACGATTTTGCCTTTGACCGCAACGATTTTGGGACCAAAGTTGGTCAAAAAGTGGTCGAATATCGGAAATTTGCTGATTTTGCTGACTTTGGGGGGCCACTGTGACCAATCTAGTAGCCGTAAAAGGCCTCCCTCGACGTCCTAGTATTCTTAAGACCCTACTCTTTCATGCCCTGTATCGGGAAGACGTTGACCACAACGATTTTGCCTTTGACCGCAACGATTTTGGGACCAAAGTTGGTCAAAAAGTGGTCGAATCTCGGAAATTTGCTGATTTTGCTGACTTTGGGGGCCACTGTGCCCAATCTAGTAGCCGTAAAAGGCCTCCCTCGACGTCCTAGTATTCTTAAGACCCTACTCTTTCATGCCCTGTATCGGGAAGACGTTGACCACAACGATTTTGCCTTTGACCGCAACGATTTTGGGACCAAAGTTGGTCAAAAAGTGGTCGAATCTCGGAAATTTGCTGATTTTGCTGACTTTGGGGGGCCACTGTGTCCAATCTAGTTGCCGTAAAAGGCCTCCCTCGACGCCCTAGTATTCTTAAGACCCTACTCTTTCATGCCCTGTATCGGGAAGACGTTGACCACAACGATTTTGCCTTTGACCGCAACGATTTTGGGACCAAAGTTGGTCAAAAAGTGGTCGAATCTCGGAAATTTGCCGATTTTGCTGACTTTGGGGGGCCACTGTGTCCAATCTAGTAGCCGTAAAAGGCCTCCCTCGACGCCCTAGTATTCTTAAGACCCTACTCTTTCATGCCCTGTATCGGGAAGACGTTGACCACAACGATTTTGCCTTTGACCGCAACGATTTTGGGACCAAAGTTGGTCAAAAAGTGGTCGAATCTCGGAAATTTGCCGATTTTGCTGACTTTGGGGGGCCACTGTGTCCAATCTAGTAGCCGTAAAAGGCCTCCCTCGACGTCCTAGTATTCTTAAGACCCTACTCTTTCATGCCCTGTATCGGGAAGACGTTGACCACAACGCTTTTGCCTAGGCTATTGACCGCAACTTGTGTGGGAGCGGTAGACTCACAAAGTTGGTCATGAAGGGTAAAAACTATGATGATCGGGGGCCTTTTGCCGTCTTATCTGCCGGGGCCTTTTGGGGGCCAGTCCGAGCCTGGGTCACACGTTCGGTTCGAGATCCTTTTAAGCACTCTGCAGCTCAAAGCGCGTCCAGAGTTTTGGCCGCCTCCACCGGTCTTCTGGCCCACTGTGGCGCGGTCGCTCGTCCGCAGATGGGCTTGCCATGTGTGGTGCCCATCTGCCGGCGAGGTAGATTGGCTGGCTGCATTGTCACTGCGATAAGATTGCACCCCGATGGCAGGGGCAGGGCCGGCAGGGCCGGCAGGGCCGGCAGGGCGAGGGTGGGGCCAGACGGCACCGGCTGCAGTATTGAGCACCGCGACCCCGCGACATTAATATCAGATGCCCCCGCCGGGGGAGTGTTTTCCCTTTTTGCTGTTTGCACCAGAAGCTCCGTGGGGTCACGACCGACTAGACTTCGCAAACCTCTTCTTTTTTAAATACGAAAAATAAAGATAAGTTTGGGCCAGGTGCGTCCTCACCTGCTCTACCGCGGTGCTACGCGCTACGTGCTGCGGGTTGTATCACAGACGCGTCCGGGAGTCCGGCGGGCTGGGCTTCAGACGACGGCGCCGCTGAACGCCACCATCCGCACGTCGGTCTCGTCCTTGACGGAGCGCCGCGGCACTGTCCGGACGGCGGGGGTCCTGGTGCCGGGGCCCCTCCTCCGGCTGCGGGAGGTCCTCGTCGGGGTCCCCGGGGCCTCCACGTTGGCGTCCGAGATCGCGCACCGGGGGCAGCCGCTACGCCTCCACCGCCGCGCCGCGTCCGGGCCGGGCTCGCCGACGACCGCGATGACGTCCGGGAGCGCGTCGAGAGACAGCACCCTGCGACGCCCCGACGTCCTGAACAGCACCGGGCCGGCAGGGGACTGGGCGCGCAGGCTGGGGCTGGTGGCCGAGGGCGCGCGCACAGCGCACAGCGAGCAGCCCCCACCGCCCCACCCCCACAGCGTCCTGTCAGGGCTGACGGGGTGGGGCGGGGCGGCGGGGCGGCGCGGGTCAGGGATGGGTTAGGCTAGGTTTCTATTAATCACCAGAGTCGCCGTCACGACACAGTGGGCCGGAAGACGGGCGGTGGCGGACAAAACACTAGACGCGTTTTGAGCTGCAGAGTCGCTGGGACTCGAACCGTGACCCCACCAATGGCTTCCTCGTTCGGAGAGCAATCCATTGGTAGGGTCACACGTTCGGTTCGAGTCCGTAGCGAATCTGGAGCTCAAAACGCGTCCAGAGTTTTGACCGCCTCCACCGGTCTTCTGGCCCACTGTGCACGGCAAAGCCGCTCGTTGAACAGCTGGGCCGTTGCGGGGCTTGCGAGGCTTGCGAGGCTTGCGCGATGACGACGGCCTTGGCGGCCTTGGCGGCGTGCTCCGCGCCTACTTGCAGACTTCCAGGCGGAAGCGCGGGGGACATCAACGCGTATCGCTCTCGGGCAGCAAGACAAACTACGCCGAGGAGACGGGGCAAGGCGGCGAGCAAGTTTTGCGATTAGCGCGCCCTCCGCGCATGCTGCTCGATGCCATGCGGGCCATGCAGGCCGTGCCGCTCTCGCGTGCCGCCTACACTGTAATGCTCCCCGACTGGTTGGACGTCAAAATCCCGGGTGTCATGCAATACAAAACACGCACGAAATTTTTTTAACATTTTCAGTTAAGGAAGCACTGGACGCTAACGGCGAAAAATGCCAAGTTGGTGTGTTCTGGGACCGTTGTGCATGCAACCAGTTCATCTTTAAAATAGCTTCCCTACTATCTTACCGTGTACATAGCACCCGTCTCTCTCACGAGTCACGAACATTTTTCGACGGGTAAGTTAGTTAATTAGCAAGGCCCCCTTGTGTAACTGAGCCGCGGCGGCGCCCCTTAAGCACGCGACGGCCGGCCTGATGAAGTGCCAGTCCGCCCCGTCCTACGAGACGCCTGTGGCAATAATTGCAGAGTCCTACACTGGGAAAGCGGGAAGCGGGCGGGCCTACACTGGAAGCTCCAAGTGCACGACGAGCCCGCGTCGGGAAGGTCCCGACGACCGTCGCAAGGTTTCCCTGTGTTTGGCGAGTGCCGAGTGCGCAGTGCGGGGCGTCGCTCTGTCTCTCTCGCACTCGCGGGCCGTGCCGCGGGACCGGAGGGGTGCGGGAGAGACAGCGACGAAAGCAGGGCGGGTCCCGGCAAGGCGGGGGGTGGGCAGCCCTCCTGGAGGTCGAGCGATGAGCACACAGCGGGCCGTTCTAAATGTTTGAAGAGTGAGATGGGTGCTGGGGGGTCTTTCTGCCGCATTCAGTGCCCTGTGCGACCACGGCAGGGCCGCCGCACGCCGCAGCGTTTCTGGACAAGACTGAGAACCGAGGTAAAACGCACAGTGGGCCAGAACACCGGTGGAGGCGGCCAAAACTCTAGACGCGTTTTTAGCTCCAGAGTTGCTAAATGGGACTCGAACAGAACGTGTGACTCCACCAATGGATTACGCTTCGAACGAGGAAGCCATTGGTGGGGTCACACGCTCGGTTCAAGTCCTAGCGACTGTGGAGCTCGAAACGCGTCCAGAGTTTTGGCCGGCGGCGACGGTTTTCTGGCCCACTGTAAAACGCCGGACACCCAGGGCACCCCCTCCCCCTTTCCCAGCTGGCCCAATTACCCTGCACGGTCGCTGCGGTGTAGTGGTCGCACCACCGCATGGATAGGTCAGCCGGCCGGCCGCCCAGGATCAACGGCCGCGACTATAGAAAGTTTGTCATTGTCGCGGCACGCGGGGCGGGGGGGGGCGGGGCGGGGCGGGGCGGGGCGTCCGCGTCCCCAGGGCGTCCCTTCCGCCGACTGGCACCTCGCCCAGAGCGGCCGGCCGGCCGGGCACCCCGTGTCCTGCCAGTTCTGCGTACCGTCCCCGGCAAAACCACGCGCCGGGGTACCTTCCGCCTCAAGAATGCCCCAAGGGGTGCTGCAGCGATGACGTCATCCTTCTCGGTCGCCGTGGACGACCTCCGGGACCTGGCCTCGCACTGGCCGAGAAAGGGAGGAGAAGAAGACGAAGATGTTGGTGTTGGTGGTGCGGCGCAAATGAGGTTAGCACGCGGCGCAGCACAGTGGGCCAGAAGACCGGTGGAGGCGGTTGAAATCCCGGACGCGTTTTGAGATCCAGAGTCGCTAAATGGGACTAGACTCTGGAGCTCAAAACGCGCCTAGCCTTTTGGTCGCCGGCGCCGGACTTCTGGCCCACTGCGCGCGGCGAGAGGCGTGACTAGGATTGGCCCAGGTCGGCGACCTGGTTGGCGCTGGCCCAATGGGCCTAGGGGCCAGGGGGCCTAGGGGCCAACGGGCCAGGGTGGCCGGCCTGGGCAGGCCAGGTCGGCGTCGGGCTATAAAAGTCGTATGGGAGGAATGGGGGCCTCGCCCCTGGCCGCCCTGGCCGCCCCCGCCACGCCGCCATGCTCGCAGCACCGCGTGCAAGTGTGTGGCTGTATTGACCACAAAGTGGCAGGGCGAGCACGCCGTGTGTGTGGAGGCACGAGGCACGCGACACAGAGTCACAGCGTCACTCGCGGAATAGAGTCACAGACATGCATTCATGGGGGAGCGTTGCCGCGAGAAATCCCGCAGAAAAACCTCGTTGTCGGTACATTTCTCAATGAATCTTATTGCGTTTTTACGTGTGTTTTTATTTATTTCAGAACATAGTATCTTAGACCTACTTACATAAATACGGGGCTACACGAGAAATAAATAGACTTATTTTTTGGTAACAGCATGGCAGAGGGAAGTCAGTCGTGCCTCGTTCGGCGAACCAGAATCTTGGCCGTCATGATAGATCGCGCGTTCTCGGTTCGTGGGTAAGGGCCAGAGCCCTGGCCGTGTTGGTCGTAGACCTAGTCGTAGACCTTCTTCCGATAGCTGGTCCTGCGCACTGCCGACGGCCTGGGCAGCCTGTCCTTGTAGCGCAGGGCCCAGGCGTCCACGGAGAAGGGCATGGGGGGCAGCATGACCATGGGCAGCCACGCGCCCGTCGGCGACCCCGCGGCCGGGATCATCCCCGGCTCCTCCGGCGTGGCGGGCTCCGGGGGCGGCGGCGACGGCGACGGGAACCCCGTCACCAGGACCGGCTCGGGTGGCGGCGGGTTCATCTGCATCATGGCCACCATCTCCTGCACGGCGGGGTAAACGGTTTATTTCAAGTCCCCAGCTTGGGTCAGAAGACCGGTGGAGGCGGTCAAAATCCCGGACGCGTTTTGAGCTCCAAAATCGGTAAATGGGACTCGAACCGAACGTGTGACCCCACCAATGGATTGCTCGCTGAACAAGGAATCGATTGGTGGGGCCACACGTTCGGTTCGAGTCCCGATTAGCGACTCTAGAGCTCAGATCGTGTCTAGCGCAGCGGTTCCCAACCTTTTTCGGTTCGCGACCCCAAATTTGTAGCCAAAAATTTCCGCGACCCCCAGGAAAGGTTTTGCGACCCCACGCGACCCCTACTTTAGCATGCCTTTGATACAAAGTGCGGTAATCCGGCTTAGTTTGGAAGCAGTATTGTCTCAAAGTTGATCAAAACGGTCACAAATGTCTGTGAAAAATCGTGTTTTGGGCCGACTTTAAGCATCTACTGCGTCTGATCCAAGGCGGTATTTCGTCCTCCCTCAACGGGCAATTGGTCTTTGGACCTTCCTTTTGCATGCCTTTGTTACGGAAAGCGATTATCTGCCTTAGTTTGGGAGCAGTATTGCCGTAAAGTTGATCAAAACACGATTTTTCAGACATTTGTGACCGTTTTGATCAACTTTGAGGCAATACTGCTCCCAAACTAAGGCAGATAATCGCACTCCGTAACAAAGGCATGCAAAAGGAAGGTTCAAAGACCGATTCCCCGTTGAAGGAGGACGAAATACCGCCTCGGATCAGACGCAGTAGATGCTTAAAGTCGGCCAAAAACACGATTTTTCACAGACATTTGTGACCGTTTTGATCAACTTTGCGGCATTTAAGCAGTCACTGCGTCTGATTCGAGGCGGTATTTCGTCCTTCCTCAACGGGCTATTGGTCTTTGGACCTTCCTTTAGCATGCCTTTGCTACGAAGTGCGATTATCTGCCTTAGTTTGGTAGCAGTATTGCCGCAAAGTTGTTCCCGCCAGTTGTTCCCACCCCACAGATTTGAGCTCCATAAAACGGCGGTCTTCTCGCCCTCTGTGCTCTGTTCTTGTTGTTCAAAGCCACGCACTCCGAGACCCGCTCCTTACCTGGTCCATGGCGACTGGCCCTGCTGGCCCTGCTGGCCCTGCTGGCGTGGTCTCGAAATAGTTCGTCGAGGGTTCGATCAAGTTGTCTCTGATGTCGTGGTGCGGCTGCTGCTTCTGCTGGATTCCGGAGTCCGCCATGACCACGACCACGGGGTTGGGGGAGGGCGGCGCCGACAGCGGCGTCCTCGTGGAGTACACCGTGAAGACGGGGCCCTCCGTCACGACGGGGTCCTCATACCTGTGGGCAGAGGCTCGGTGAAGCGGTCAGCCTGCGAGGGCAGGCACTCTAGCGGCGCGGTCGCGGACACTTACAGTGAGGTGTCGTTGGAGGGCATGACGACGTGCACCCCGGGCGTCACGTGCAGAGGTCCCGGTGTCGCCGACGGCCACCTCACGGGCAGCACGTCACTCGCCCCGGACTGCACCGTCACCGGTGGCGGCGTCCACCGCTGCGGCGTCAGCGGCATGCGGTGTTCCGGGGCCAAGACCGAGGCCGGGGCCTGCCTGTCCACCTCCGGGGACCACCTTCCAGGCAGCAGGGGCTCCGACGGCCGCTGCACCGGGAGCGCCGCCTGCTCGACGAGCACCGCGGCTTGCGGGGGCGCCTCGGCCGGCGCCTCGGCCGGCTCCACGAACACGATGGGCTTCCAGTCCGGCAGCGGCATCGGCGGCGGAAGCATCCCCTCGGGGACCTGGGGGTCACTGGGGGCGGCCGCGTCCTCGGCGGGCACGGGCGTCGACGGGAACCTGACGGGCAGAACGGTGGTGGCGACTGGCGTGGTGCTGGTCGCCGGGCTGGTCACGGCGGTGGAGGCTTCGCCGACGGGACGTCCTTGAGCTATGGGTGAGAAAACATGGAGTGTGAGAATCGTGGGCCTCCAGCGTGTGAGAAGCCTCCATGAAGAAAATCAAGAAAATGATCGTGACTTGAAGTAGCGTGGGCAGTACCTCTGACGGGGGCGGTGACGGGCGAGAACCCTTGCGACGGCGGCGGCTCGGTGGTGGGCTCGGGCTGCTTCTCGGTGGTCGTGGTGGGCAGGGCGGCGCCCACCTTGTACACGCTGGGGGTGGTGGGGGCCGCGGTGGTGGGCGCCTCAGTCGCCACCGTGCTGGCCGTGCTGGTGGTCGTGGCGGCGGTCGGCGCTGCCGTGCTGGTGGTCGACGAGGAGGCCGCCGTCGTGGTCTCGGACGCGTGCCGCGGCGGGCAGCACCTGGGGTGTCCGCGGCCACCAGGCTCCCTCTGGCAGTACGGCTCCACCGCAGTGCTCGCGCAGAACGTCCCGGAGGCACTGCGAGTCGGAAGCACGGGTTCAAATACCCACACCAGGAGGATTTTTTATGAGGTCTGCCTACCTGTCCGGGGTGTGCTGGCCCAGGGATGCGGGCAGCCCCATGGTCTGTGCGTGCGAGGTCTGCGCGCGCCGGGCGCTGGGGCACCGCCTGCCGCACGGCTCGGCCTCCAGGGGGCTCTGGCCGTCGATGGAGTCGGCCAGAAAGCAGATGGACGACAGGTGGCTGCACAGGTTCGTGTCTGCGGGGCACAGATTTCGCGTCCTAAATGCCCCCGCACGTGGGCCAGAAGACTGGTAAGGCAGTCAAAATCCCGGACGGGTTTTGAGCTCCAGAGTTACTAAAGGGACTCGAACCGAACGTGTGACCCCCACCAACGGATTGCTCTCCGAACGAGGAATCTGTTGGTGGGGTCACACGTTCGGTTCGAGTCCTTTTTAGCGACTCTGGAGCTCAAAACGCGTCTTGAATTTTGGCCTGTCCCGCTCGCCGTGTCCTGGCCCACTTTGTGCACGCGTGCAGAAGGGCTGCGTCGGCCGCGTGAGCAGAAGTCCGCCGTTCTGCGCCAGCTCGCCGTAGTGGCCCGCGTTGGTGTGCATCACGTGCACCACGCTCGCGTCGCCCGCGTCCAGGCGGTGCTTGTTCTGCGGCCGGATCAGCGGCCGCGCCGGGTCCAGTCCTGCAAAGGGACACGGTGTGAAGGACGAGTGCGGCCAGGAAATTCCGGAGCTGCAGATTGGCTAAATAGGACTAGAATCGATCATGTAACCCCACCAATGGATTGGGATTGCTCTATGAACGAGGAATGCATTAGTGGGGTCACACGTTCGGTTCGAGTCCTGTTTAGAGACTCTGCAGCTCAAAATGCGTCTCGAGTTTTGTCCGCCTCCACCGGTCCTCTGGTGCACTGTGCGGCGATTCCGTGGGGTGCGAGAGCGACAGAGCGGCGTACTGGCGTACCGATGATCTTGTGCACGCGGAACATGACGCTGTCCGCCATGATGCCGCAGACGTGCGCGCCCAGCGAGTGGCCCACGCAGGTCCAGGCGTCGCCGCGCGCGCCCGAGTCGCGCAGCAGGCGGGCCACGCCGCCCACGCAGCGCGCGGCCAGGGGCGCGTTGTGCACGGCGGCCGGGTAGCACGGCATCCTCACCAGCGGGGACCAGTCCACCACCAGCAGGTTGTAGTTGCCGGACTCCAGGTACGCTGCGGAGGGCAACTTCAGTTACACTGCTAATTTTAACCGAGTAGGTTAGGTTAAGTGAGGTTGGGATACGTGAGGTTAGGTTGAGGTAACGTTAGTGTGCAAGTCTTCGGCCTCGCCGGCCACCCACCGTCTCGCAGGATCGTCATGGGCAGGGTGTCGTGGGCGCTGGCGTAGCCGTGCACCAGCACGATGGTGTGCTTCTCGGAGTCCCAGTCGCCCTGCAGCAGGCTGTTGGCCTCGGACACGTTCACCAGCCGCGACGAGTTGGGGCTGAAACGAGCGTGTGAGTGTGCTGCAGACTAATTCCGAGAGCCGTTTTCCTCACTCGCTGTCTCTCTCGCACTCATAACGATGGGAGTCTGCTGCTGACGCTTTTTCTCCCTCACACCCCTACGGGACGCCCCACGAGAGCGGGTGGTACTTATAGCAGAAGTCTTAGCGGGCGGTTCACGGTGGGCGGCCAGAAGACCGGTGGAGGCGGCCAAAACTAACGCGTTTTGAGCTTCAGAGTCGCTAAACAGGACTCGAACCGAGAGTGTGACCCCACCAATGGATTCCTCCTCCGGAGAGCAATCGATTGTTGGGGGTTGGGGTCACACGTTCTGTTCAAGTTCCATTTAGCGACTCTACAACTCAAAACGCGTCCGGAATTTTGACCGCCTGGCCCACAGTGGGGCGGTCCTACCTGGTGTAGAGGTGCACGCTGAGGTCGCCGTCGGGGCACACGTCCTGCGTGTCCTGCAGGCGGCGCCAGACGCACTCGCTGCGCGGCTGGCTGACGTTGAGGGTGCCGAAGGACAGCGCCTGCAGGATGGCGCCCTGGCGCTCCGCCCCGGGGAACTCGGACACGGCGTCCCAGTGCAGGTCCTCGTCTGTGGTAATGGAAAACGAGTGCCGGTGTCAATACCCCGCGCGATGCGCAGGCCGCGAGTCGCTGTCGCGCGGAGTAGTGACGACTCTCTCGGCGGTGCGTGACCACCACATGCAAACCGCAGCGCAAACCACACCGTTTCGTCGCTCTGTCTTTCTCACGCCTGTGGGGCGATCCACGAGTGGGAGAGAGACAGAGCGACGAAAGCGCTGTTGGGCCCGCGGGCCGCCGGAAGGGCTTTCTCCGTCACCGCCCTGCCCTTCTGGAGGGACGGCCCACAGTGGGCCAGAAGACCGGCGCAGGCGGCAAAAACGCGTTTTGAGTTCGAGAGTCGCATTGGGTATTTTGGCTGTCCAGATTTTCTGTTCTCCCTCTGCGACTACACTGCGTAATGCGCTGCGACGCTGTCAATCAAAGGCACATGCGTCACTACACCAAAAGGCGATACTGATGAGGTTGGCCGATGAGCTTCGTGTGTGTGTGTGCGCGCGTGTGTGTGAGAGTGTCAGTCCGCCCGTCCGTGCGTAAAAGGGGAAGGGGTGCGAGCCATCACGTACTGATTGACCCGCTTGGTGTGGCGTGGGACACTGCGATGATTATTTCGGATCAGTGTATTAAATCAGTGAATAATAATATATTTTAAAAAGTTGCCACGGATTTAATTTACGCGCTCTTTTCGCATCAGAGGCCACGGATTTGAATGAAAGCCTATGAACTCATGAAAACCCGAACCAATACACTTGAACTTTTTTAGGTGAGATCAAGGTGAGTAGTTTACAGTGGTGACCCATACGGGCAGCACTACACTATCGCGATATATCGAATCCACCAAAAACGAGATATCGATACGGCATGGCGGCCGAAGCCGAGCACGTGAGCTGACAGGACAAGGCGGATGTCACTGTGCTTTCCGTTGCTCAGGCAGCGCACGTCGCTGTGGGCGGGGCGGGGCGGGGCGGGGCGGGGCGCCAACGTGAGGCCCGGAGTGTCCCATGGAACAGTTAGGCAAGTGGTCACTGAACGGGACTGTACCGACCAGTCGCCAAATGAAGGGGGTCCTTTGTGTCCTCTGCAGAGCTCTGGGTCCTTCTGGTGCAAGCACGGCAAGCAGAGCTCTCTCTACAGGATGTCCAGCGATAAGCGCCGTGCCACAGAGAAAGTGCTGTACTCACAAACGTTGCTTTAAGTTTCCAGTGTACCATTTTATTATTTTTAAAAACAATTTAAAAAAGAGAGTTTGCTTGTTTAGGCCGTAAAAGGCCAAACTTTGGCTTAACTCAGGGCTTAAAATAAATTATGGGCCCGGGAAAATGCATTTACTTTTAATAAAAATGATTTTCCTAAAAGCTTCACAATTTTATGAGGGTAGGGAACAAGGAGCCTTCTTTCAAAGACGTCCTGACGGCCTCCCTAGAGAGACGCGTTTTGAGCTCCATTGTCGCTAAATGGGATTTGAATTGAACGTGTGACCCCACCAACGGATTGCTCTCCGAACGAGGAATCCATTGGTGGGATCGGTTCGAGTCCCATTGAGCGACTCCTGGAGCTCAAAACGTGGCTAGAATTTTGGCCGCCTTCGCAGGTCTTCTGGCCCACTGTGACACAGCCAAGCACTGTCAAATGTGTAACCTTTACGCACGGCGACCTGCCAGCTTGTCGATCCTCCTCTACGTACCAGGCGCACCCGGTTCACTGGCGGCGGCGGCGACCAGCAGGCTGGCGAGGACGACGTGGATGGCCGCCATCCTGGACGACGTGGAGGCCATCCTGGAGGGCGTCCTGGAGGACAGCCTGGACGCACGGGGCACCTGCATGGCGCGGACGACACGGAGTGACACGGAGTGGCGCGGAGGTGCGAACTGGCGACGGCCAAAGCCCTGCCGCGAGCCATAGGTATGGGTCGGGTCGGCGTTCCCGGCCCCCGCCTGGTGTTTTCTCTCTCGCTCGTACGGTACTCGCCTCTCTGTCTGGCGCACGCGCATGCGTGTACACACACACACACACACACACACACACACACACACGGCGGTGCCATTATTCCCGAAAGATAATCCCTCTTGTCTGCGAGTCTTTACGACACTTCGACCACGTTCGGCCCATCGACTGATTTTCCACGCACTTTCGATCGTTTGAAGGGGCGGACGATTGGGACGTGAGGAGTGAGAGAGACAGCGCGAGTGTCACACTCGTAACCACTAGTTTATTTTTCAATTACATATTTACAAAACATACATGCTAATTACACGCAAGAGGGTTTGGCCCTACGGGCAATAGTCTAAACGTACTTTACTAAACACTCATACCAACATTAAGGACGAACGGTAAAGTTACTCCCTTTCACTTGGCACCAACCACAAAGAGATTGGTCGGCCTTTGCATCAGGTACTCAAAGATCCATCCGCAACAAGTCACCCCTCTGTCATTTCGGCACCCCTCCCTGCCTTGGTCAAGTTCAGCTCTCTTAAAAAGTGCAGTCTATCTTTCTGAAATAAATACACTGTGAAATGTCTAGAAAAAACAACGATAACAATCAGAATAACATCAATGATGACAACAAAAATTCAACAAAATTATCTTATGGCAAGCTAGTCCAACTTTAAAACAAACAATAACGAAAACAGCAACAACAACAACAACAACTTGGCATCGCACCACGCGGAACTACGAGAAACCACCGACCTGACTAACGTAGTCTAAAAGTACCCGTCATTTGTGTAAAGACTATTCAACACACAGTCGCAGAGTGTTCCTCACCCGAATCACAAAACCAAATGCATCTTCCCAAAACCGAAGTCGCGTAAACTTTTTGACATGTCACGTAGTATGGCGAGAGGTCACAATTGACAAACACACAACACAATAAATAACGATAACGTCCGCGGTCCCTCCAGTGGGCCACGGACATAAATTATAAATTAATGAGCGTTTTTTTGGTTTCCTAGAGTCTTCCCTCCTCTCGTCGGCCAGGGCACTGTTTCCGGTGTGCCCGCTCAGTCGAAGGGGCAGTCCCTGTTCAGCCGCATGGCCATGCAGTACGTCCCGCTGGCACTGCAACAGTTCCAAGGAAATAAACAACATTTTCACAGTGTGTCACAGTGCTCAAAGTAGACTCCACCTCTACCTTCTGTTTTTTTAAATATTTTTCAACTTTCTTTTTTGAAATTTTTAAAACATTTTTGTTAGTCTTTTTTTGTAAACGGAAACAATTTTTTTTTCTTAAATTTCATTTTTTACCAATTTTTTTTTAAAGTTGGTGTCAGCTGGCGCGCAGGGAAATATGGGTTTACGCTGGAGTAAAGATAAGGGAAAGTAGACCGGCGTGACACCCACCTGTCCGGAGTGTGCTCCCCGAAGGGCATCCTGAGGCCGGGGTTGGCGATGAGCGAGCCGGCCAGGGGCCTGCACTTGGAGGAGCAGGGCGTGGCGAACCAGCGGCCCGGGTGCGACACGGCGGTGGCCAGGTAGCACGCCGACAAGAAGTGGCTGCACCGGGACTTGCCTGCAGCAGAAAGAGAGAGACAGTGCCTACCTCGGTCCGAGCGTGCACGTGAGAGTGAGAGAGAGAGACTCACGCAGGCGGTGGCCCTTGCAGGACGGCTGCACGCGGCCGCCGTTGATGCAGAAGTCGGCGTGGCCGACCTGCGCCTCCTCGCCCAGCATGCCGGCGTTGGTGTGCACCACGTGCACGATGTGCGCGTCGTCCCGCGTCAGCTTCAGCGACGGCTGCCCGTACTTGTCCAGCAGCGGCCGCGCCGGGTCCAGGCCTGTATGTGAGAGCGAGAGGGCCGTCAGGTCGGGGCAGTGCGGAGGTCGGCGCCGCGGTCTCTGCACAGCCGCCAGCAGCGCGCAGCGCGCCTGGGAGGTAGGCGTCCCAATGGGCAGGGGAGGCCGGTGGACGGCAGTTGGGATGCCTACCTCCCAGGCGCCACCGCACCACAGTGGGCCAGGAGACCGGCGCCCCAAACTCTGGACGCGTTTTGAGCTCCGGAGTCGCTAAACAGGACCCCACCAATGGATTCCTCGTTCGGGGAGCAATCCATTGGTGGGGTCACTCACACGTTCGGTTCAAGTTCCATGAAGCGACTCTGGAGCTCAAAACGCGTCCGGTATTTTGACCGCCGCCACCGGTCTTCTGGCCGACTGTGCGGCCTGCCACCGACCGGCCACTCACCGATGATCTTGTGCATCTTGCGGTCCATGTGGTTGCTCATCATGCCGCAGATGTGCGCGCCCAGCGAGTGGCCCACGCACAGCGTGTCCTCGGCGCGCGCGCCGTGCGCCGTGAGGTGCGAGTAGAGCTGCGCCGAGCACTGCGCCACCAGGCGCGTGTTGCTCAGCGCCGACAAGTAGCACGGGAAGATGGTCAGCGGCTCCCAGTCCACCGTGAACACGTTGTAGTCGCTCCGGGAGAGGAACGCTGCGGAAAACAACACCGATGTCACTGTCAAAAATAAATAGGAGCTTAAGTGGTGACTTGTTTATTTGTTTTCACACGCGTTTGCAAAGGTTTTGGGTACGGCGAGCCTTCACTCTTATGGTACCGACTCTCCCAGCGACGGTGACAACAACCAGCAGGTTCTGGCGTCTCGCCCAAAAACAAAAACAAGAGCAAAACAAAAAGAGCGAGCCCATTATATTCTTTGTCTCCACAGGAGAGTCGGGAGATCTGCTTAGAGTCACGGAGGCTGAACCCGAGAGGGAGACACGGTGACACAGAAAACGGTGCGCCCGGCTCGTAGGCAACCCCGTCAACAGTGTTGCCCCCTCCAAAAGCAAAAATAAATAAATTTAAAAAAATCAACGAGTGAGAGCTTGAACCTGGAACCTTACCGTCCCGAATGATGGTCATGGGGGCTTTCCTCTCCGTCGAGTTGAAGCCGTGCACGATGATGACGTTCTTCTTGTGGGGGTCCCAGCCCCCGTAGCGCAGCGCGGACGTGGACCGGATGTCTATCCTCTTCCGGAACGGGCTGTTGCTGCAGATTGAGGAGGATAGATAGAAACATGAGCACGGGAAGTGCGCCTATCGGGCAAAATAACCGAACCGATACATAATGGGCCAGAAGACCGGTAAATCGGCCGAAATTCTGAACGCGTTTTGAGCTCCAGAGTCGCTATAAATGGGAATCGAACATAACGTGTGACCCTACCAATGGATTGCTCTCGGGACGAGGAATCCATTGGCGGTGTCACACGCTCCGTTCGAGTCCTATTCAGCGACTCTGGCCGGAGCTCGAAATGCGTCCAGAGTTTTGTCGCCTCCGCCGGTCTTAACCGCCTCCACTGTGCGATAGAATGGAACCGATTTCCACGGCCAGGGCTGCTTACTGAGTGTACATGTAGAACTTGATGTCCGGGTCCGGGCATGTGTTGGTGCGCTTGTAAATACATTTCCAGTACCGCACGTCCATGGCGTTCCAGAACAGTCCGTCGGCCCCTGGAACAGACAGACGCACAGCGGCTGAAAAAATGGGTCTGAACTCATCGCGTCGTGATGGATCTTCCGGATGGAGTGCGAGGGAGTGCGAGGGAGACAGCGGCGCCGCGGCAGGCCATCGACGGGCCGGTCATCGAAGACGTCGAAGACAGTGGAAGACCGACCGAGGGGCAGTTGGAGACGGAAGGCCCCAGAACAGGTTCCCCACAAAGTGTGACAACTGCCGGCGGACCGGCGGACGGACAACGAGCTTCCTGGCTGTTACTTTCATGCCGGCCGATGCGAGTGCCGTGTGCCGTGTGCCCGACGCTCGGGAATCGCGCACCAGAAAGGCGGCGACGTCGCAATTGACTTCCTGCTGAGGGCCGCCTCGGTACAATTGTGTGTTCACGGAGGGAAGAAGAATTAAGAAAAAATGCGGAGAATTTGGGATAAGACAGGGAAACAGGGCTTGCGAGGACTCCTCAGCCTTGGCACTGCCTGACGTATCGGTTCGACGTCGGCCTGTCGCGCTGCCTCGCACTCCTCCGAGAACTCCGTGAGCTCGACAGAGGCAGAGCCGGGTCCATACGATATGCAGCAGCCCCGTCCCTGAACTTCACCCTCCGCCAAGGTCCCCTCCTCGTTCCACGCGCGGCTCACCAGGACGGTGTCTCTGTCTCTCTCGCACCCCCTCGGTACCCCTCGGGACTCCCCGTGTCCAGGGGGACAAAGACACGGCCGCGTCCTAACTCGATGATCGATTTGGGGGCCTCTGAAAGGTTTCCCAGGTTGTGGCAGGCGATGATTGCCCTCGAACAGTATCGCTCCGTCTCTCTCGCTCTCGCAGGGAGTCCCGGATTTTCCGAGGTGGCGCCGAAAACTACGGATATTCGCGAGGCGCCATGGACAGAAAGGAAAAGTCATGGGAGCCACTCCCCGTTCCAGGCGGCGCTATCGCGACGGGATCACCAGGGCGTCCCCGTCTGTCTGTCTGTCTGTCTGTCTGTCTGTCTGTCTGCCTGTCTGCCTGTCTGTCTGTCTGTCTGTCTGTCGGTCTGTCTGTCAGTCGGTCTGTCGGTCGGTCGGCCTGTCTGTCCGTCTGTGCTTTGGGACGTGCGCCTCCAAAACGTCGCGCCGGAAGAAAGTCCCTCCAAAACGGGGCGGATCCAGGTGAGAGGCCGCCAACAACTGCAGGCGATGTGACGGGCACTTGCGCGGGTCTGGTCGCGGAGTTCTGCCCGCGTGCATGTCACACACACACACACACGCGCGCGCAGAGCGGTCAGAATGCGCGCGGATAGAGCGGGCAGATGGACCGCCGGCACAAGGAACGACAAGGAACGTACCCCGATCTGGTTCCTGCTTCCCCACTCGAAAGTAGGTCCAGGGAACCTGATGGACACGGCCTGCACTGCCTTGACGGCCCGGACGGCCTGGAGTCCAGGCCCTCGACGCGGCGAGGCGAGGCTCGGGTCAGTGGACCAGAGTGTTAATGAAATCGAAAACGCGCCGGAACCTCCGGCGGATTCGTTTTTGTTTCCCCGGCCGCCGAACGACGCCCGAAAAAGGCGGCGCCCTTCACTGCTGAAGGGCGTAGGACGGCGTAGGGCCTCAAGGTCGTCCTTCAAGGTCACCGCAGGGCTCAATTAGAGCGGTGAGTGGCGGTACCGCGGTCCCAGGGCTTTCGTAACACTGTCGCAGGGCTTTCCGTTACGTGGCGTAGGAAGGGCCAGCCGAAGGGCGGCTTGCCGTTACGTAGGGCCGGGACTCTCACTGCCAATGTCGGGGCCTGCCGTCCCTTGCGCGTGGCTTGCGCGTGGCTTGCCCGGCCCGATGACGTTTCGTACAGTACAATAAAATTGGGTGCGATTTCGGTCGGGCCCGAGGGAGCCTGCTGGTCAGGAATTTGAGACGCGAGACCTCCACTCTCATTTAGTCCCCAGCCCAAAATTTAAAAAAAAAATCAATAATTTTTTTAAAATAAATTTTTTTATTAAAATGTAAATAAATTTTTAGAGCAGCTTTTTGCGTACTTTGCATTGCCACCGAGGTTTCCAGGGCGCCTGCAGGGGCAGGATCCACCCGAGTGCACCACTCCATCTATCAGGCCGGGGCCCGTCACTCAAAACTATTGATATTCTAATCGGGTCGGACGACGGTTCGGGTTCAGCCGGCGCAGCGCGGGCCATGGCCGGCGGCACGGCACAGTGGACTTACGAAAGTCGGTGAAAGTCACACTTGGTCGCTTTTCGTTTCAATCCGATGACCGGCCATCGTGATCCAGTATCCAGTATGGCAAGCGGGACACTCCGGACGAGAAGGCTGCGGCCCCGTGTTCACAGCGCCCGGCCCTTTGTATACTCAACGAGCAGCGCTGGTTTTTAATTAGCGTGGGCTCTGGGGCGTGACCTTACGTAGACTCGTGCTTCTGCGAGTGAACATAAAGCACACCTTTCGACAGCATTTTTGTTACAGTGGCTCCAGCTTCCAGTGGAAAACTAACCACCTGGGTGATTACCGTAAACCCCGCGGTGTCTCAAAGACAGTGTCGGCGACACCACGCAGTGGGCCAGAAGACTGGTGGAGGCGGCCAAAACTCTAGACGCGTTTTGAGCACCAGGGTCACTGAACGCGACTCGCATCGAGCGTGTTGACCCCGCCAATGGATTTTTCTCGTTCGGAGAGCGATGGGGTCACATGTTCGGTTCGAGTCTCGACTCTGGACCTCAAAACGCGCCTCTAGAGTTTTGCCCGCCTCCACCGGTCTTCTGGCCTACTGGTCGACAGTGGATCATAAAGACAAAGACGACGAGACTGCTGCTAAGTGAAAGCCGAGAAGACAACAGGTGGCGTCATAATCCGAGCGGTACAGTCGCCGCCAAAACGCTTCGGCGTGCGCGATGACCCCACACCGCAAATAATCCCAACGGTTTAAGAGAGGGAGAGAGAGAAAATACAGTGGCCGGCCGTTTCCGCTGCGCCTCCACCAGAGGTCCGGAGGTGGATGCCCTCGGGCTTCGGGGGTGGCGCACCGTGGCGCACCTCCATGCCCACGCTTCCCCGAAAAGTTGAAACGAAACGAAATAGAAACTCGGCGATTCGCAGAACACAGTGGCCGCACGGCGCCCGCAGCTCGCTCCTCCCGCTACGGATATCGCGCATTGTATGCAGATGCGTCCGGCCAGATGTCACCCAGTTCGGCGCGCCCGCGGCCTGGCCGGGGTGACGTATGATCTCGGGCCGTGAGCCGAACCGAGTTTGCATCCACTTTTGGGCAGCGATGTGGAGCGAAGACGGGCACCGCTACCACTGCATTTTAACGCTTCGGTCACTGTGAGACTACCATCAACTGCAGCCACTGCATCGTCAAGGCAAGCCGTTTTGTAAATTTGATTTTTTCATTTATTTTTTGGTTTTGTTTTAATTTTTTTACGCGCACACTTGATTTTGGAATGTTATTTTGTCCCCCACTCTTCTTTTAACGGTGTAGGCCCCGCGACGGCCTTGACACTCGCCGGCGAATTGGGATGAAAGTGGCACTTTCCTTTTCCTTCACCGCCTTCTGCCGGACGGGCCGTCGCCTCTCCTTTTGTTTTTGTTTGTTGTTTTCGTTTTTCAATTTTACCGCCGCCCCTCTTTGTTTCCGGCTGCGGTCTCCGCCTTACCAGGATAATCGGCTTTATTTCGTTCTTTTCATTTTTTTTCGGTCATCGCCTTCTTGTAATGGGTGAGGCGTCCTCGCGTAACCCTCATTGCTGTTACGGCACCACCATTTTTCATACGACGCCCTCCTTAAAGGACTGTCGCCTGCCCTTTCTTATCCCCGAAGCCATCTCAACAACAACAAAAACATCACAGAGAGGGGCTGGTAATAATAACAATAATTGGTTCGGTGAAGGGGAAAAAAGAAATAAGTGTGATTGCGGGAGGAATTGCCGCCGTGCTATTGTTTCGTTGTTCACTCACGTCGTCTGCTGCGGCGGCGGGTGTAGAGTATTTTTACAACGGCAATAACAGCAGCAACAACAACAAGCCACTGGGTGCCTGGCGCGCCTGACGGTCAGCCTGCGAACCTCGGGGTAGGCAGCCAGGCGGTGCACCCCTGCGTTGCGGTACGGCCCACCCCGGGGTTCGCAGGCGCTCCACGCTCCGCCCCGGCGAGACGATCTGTCTCTCTCGCACTCCTGCGGCGTCCCGCAGGTGCGAGAGAGACGGAGCGACTCTTGGGATCGGCTCGGCTGTGCCCGGTGATGCGACCCCTGCCCTGTCCGGCGGTACTCCCATAAGGAAAGCACGCGGCGGCTGGACACTGTAAGAGAATGTTACGTCAAATCGACTTTGATTACTTTTACTGCTGTATTGTACTGAAGAATTTACAGGCTACTCCAATGATATTACGAAGGAAAGCAACCGAGCTATAGTCGATTCGCCTTACGACCCGCGTTCCCCCGCGTGACGGAAGCACGCCGTCGTCCGCCCAGCGGCCCAGCATTCCATCCGATTCCGTCGTCGCGTTCCTGGGCCCGCACGGCCAGGACGCCGACGGCGACCAGCGGCCCGGAGGCACGCCCCTGCAGTGCGCCAGCAAGCTGTCTCTCTCGCACCCCTGCGGACCGCACCGCGAGTGCGAGAGAGACAGGGCGACGCGGGAGCGCTCGGCGGGGAGGCTGCACAGCAGCGGCGGTCCACTGGAAGGACTCCCGCATACGCGGCGCCTACTTCCTGGTGCCCCGCGAATGCCTTGCCCAGCTCGGGCCCTACGCAGTCTCTCTCTCTCTCTCTCTCTCTCTCTCTCTCTCTCTCTCTCTCTCTCTCTCTCACACACACACACACACACACACACACGTGCGCGATTTACCGGCCGCCTTTGTGTAGGCCTGTATAAACGACCGCGCCGTCGCTCCGTCACGCTGTCCGGCAGACGCGACGCGAGGCTGTCAGGAAGTCGCGGACGCCGCGGTGGCGGCGGAGGCCCTTAGCGTCCACTGGAGGCAGCCGTCTCATCCAGGGTTCAAATG